AACACATAAAATCTAAAATAGTCAAGCCGAATGAATTTAAATAGTGAATAAGTCTTGCAATGGATTTGAAGAATATATACAGTGTATGGACATGTAACTTTTTACAGCGTGTATAGAACTTTCTCATCCGGAGACTATAAATTTATAGAAAGAAAAAAAAAATAACGAATTTCATTTGAAATTGAAAACTTTTGTTCGTTAAACAAAAATGTATTGTTTTCTTTTGTTTGTACATTTTTTAGAAATTAAATATCTCTTCTTTTCAAGTTTTTTTCCAAAAAATTTTTTCCGTTCTTTTAAATAAATAAATTCTTTTTTTTTTTTGTTTTAATTTAATTTTTCCAATTTAATGATCTGATACACTTTTGCAGCAGCACAAAAGAACTTGAAAAGAGAAGAAGAGAAAAGTTTCCATTTTCATTCTTTCAATAACTTTTTTTCAACTTTTTATTTCTCTTTCGTCTGTTTTGTTTACTTTTTTTTACGTATTCTTTATTTTCTATTAATTAATTTTACTATAGACAGAAATTACAATTATTATTATTATTATTAGCTTTTCATTTCTCTTTTTCGTATTCCTTATTTTCTATTAATTTCTATATCGATATTAAATATTTATAATTAATAAATTTTTTTATTTACGATCGTAAATAAAAAATTTTATTATTATTTTTTTACTATTATTATTATTATTATTATTACAATTTACAATGAATTGAAATTATTTTTGAACCAAAAGTTCCTTGTGGAAAAATTGAAGATTTTCTTTCTATTGAAAACAAATTTTTCTTTTTTCAAATTCAAAGCATATAGTGACAAGCATAAATTATTTTTTTACGAATTCTAAAGTCCTCTGAACCTGTAGGAGTGAAAGAAGGAAAAAAAATAGTTGGAAAAAAAGATCAAAAAGTATGTATTAGAAAAGTCAAACCGCCAATCGATCAATAATACGAGAAAGTTGAGCTTTTCAGAAGCTCAACCCCTGCTGCGTTGACCTAGATGCGCCTTATCGATAAAAAGGGTATTTAAGCTTTAATTTTTTCTTTTTGCGTAAAAATATCATAATTAATTTTAGTTTCAATTAGAAAAGAATCGCTACTATATGTATTTTTAATTTTTGTTTTACTTTGAAATTAAAATCGATATTGATTTCCAATAAATCGGATAAATGAAATTCGTTTCGGAAAACTCTTTTTCTGTAATTTATACCACTATTTTTAGTTTAATTTTTACCATAATTAACTGTTTAGTTAATTTTCTTCTTAGAAAATAATTTCATAATCAAAATTTAAACTTATTAAGTACAAAATTAATTATTACTGTTCATATTTTCAAATTCTTTTTTTAAATTTCACGAAAGAATTCAATTGTTTTCTAAAATTTTAATAAATCCTACGAAACAATTCAATTATTTTTTTAAATAGTAAAATCTTGACAAAAATTCAATGATTTTCAAAACAATTTTAATTGAATTCCTTGGATGAATTCAAATATTTTTAAATATTTCCATAAATTTCAATTATTTCCTAAACTTTTAATAAATTCTTCGAAACAATTCAACTATTTTTATAAATACGAAAATTCTTCGCATGAATTAAATTATTTTTAATCAAATTTAAATAAAATTACATAAAAGAATTTAATTATTTTCAAAAATTTCCATAAAATGCAATTTCAACAAGAATTTAAAATTCTCTAAAAAGAATTTAATTATTCTCAAAATATTTTTAAAAAATTCTATATGAAAATGAAATTACTTTCAATGCAATTTTTAAATATATTCGTGAAAAAATTGAAAGAATTCAATTATTTTCAAAAAATAATCAAATTCTTGTGATAAATTCAATTATTTTGAATATACCTACTTAATTTTAATAGAATTCTTTAAAGAAATTCTATTATTTTCGAAACAACTTTAATTGAATTTCTCGAAAAAATTTAATTATTTTCAAATATTTCTATAAAATTCTTCATAACAATTTAATTATTTCTTTAAATTTTAATAAATTCTTCGAAACATTTCAATTATTTTTATAAATAGTAAAATCCTTTGCAGAAATTCAATTATTTTCATTTACTTTTAAAAATTTTCCTCAATTCAATGATTTTCAATATCTACTATTTTAATAAAATTTTCCAAAAGAATTCAATTATTTAAAAAAGATTTTAATAAAATTCTACGCAAATATTCAATTATTTTCTTAAATAATAAAAATTTCACTGGATTTCAATTATTTACAAAGTTTTTATAAATTTCTTCGCAATAATTTTTAATATTTTCATAAATAATTAAATTTTTTACAGGGATTCAATTATTTTCATAAAAAAATACAATTTTTTAGGAATTTAATCATTTTCATAAAATCGAATTGCTTTCAAAATTTTCAATTAAAATTATTAAAGAAACTCCATTAGTTTAAAAATAATTCAAAGAAATTATTCAAAAGAATTTAATTAAGATTTTTAAAAATTTTAATAAAATTCTTTGCAACAATTCGATGATTTTCAATACATAAAAATTGAAATTGAAAATATTTGAAAAGAAAAATTATAAAAAAGTTTAGAAACAAAATGCAAACAACAATTAATTTCAAACTGCGAACACATAACCGGAACATGTACCTACTTTATTATTATTAATTAATTAATTAATTAATGTTTTAATTATTTTTATTTTGTAATTAATGCAAAATTATAATGACAAATAGAAATTATCAGAATTTTGTTCACTTCTTTTCATTAAGAGACTAAAATTTTGTTAAATATTATGTTTTGCAAATTGAAATTATGCAGATTTTTGTTCTTTACTTCTAAGGTAAATTAGAAAATTGTTAAACAACTGCGATTAAGAAATAAAAAATTTATTTATTTTGCATTATTTTTGTTTTTGAATCACAATTTTTTTAACAAAATTATTATTTTGTTTTAGAAAGAGAAGAAAAATATTTGCACAATTTCTATTTTTAATCTTATTTTTGGAACAGGATTTTCCACAGGAATTGACATTCAAAAATTTCAAATTCAAGCTTTTTTTTAAATTAAACAATTTATAAAAGTATTGTTATAAAACATGAAGATATCGATTGTTCCGAGTCGAAGACTCGGAGTGATCGATTTCTTTATGTTTTCTAATAATTAAAAATGACCGGGAGATAAAATCATTATTTTACATTATAAGAATATTGTTACTGTAACTTCATCAAAATTATTTTCATCATTTTAACTAATTATTATTTTCTAGAATTTTAAAGTCTTTTTTATGAAAATAATAATTGAATTCCTTAAAAAAATTTTATTATTTATTAGAAATAATTGAATTCCTGTGAAATTTTCATTATTTATGAAAATAATTAAATGTTTGCATAGAAATTTAATTAAAATTTCTTTTAAATGATTGAATTCTTTTTGGGAAATTTTATTAAAATAGTAGATATTGAAAATCATTGAAATTAGAAAAATGCGTTTTATTTTTGAAAATAATTGATATTAGGACAAGAATTGTTTTGACATTTATGAAAATAATTGAAATTTGGAGAAGAATTTTGTTATTTATAAAGATAATTGGAATTTTTAGGAGAATTTTTTTCAAATTTTGAACATAGTTGAATTTTATAAAAAGAATTTTATTTTTTTTTTTTGAAAATAATTGAATTTCTGCAATTATTTGTAATTTCTCCAAAATTGAATTTTTTTAGTGTTTTCAACAAAAATTTAAATTAGAAAATTTTTAAATTCTATTATTTTCAAAATTGCTAATTTCATTTAAAAAAGGTAGTAAGAAGTTAGCCGCGTACTTTAATTATAATTAATAAAAATAATTTTTTTTTTAAGTAATCTCTTTGTTCTTAATTTTTATTGTTGTTAAACTACCAGGACGTTAAAAATTTGATTATTATTATAATTATTCCTTTATTTTTTGTTTTTGTAATTTGACAGACAATAAAAAAAGGGGTGAAAAGAAAATTACTCCTTTTTTCGTTGAGAAGTAACCATCTAAATCTGGATTTTCTCATTACGGATGCTTACGAAGCAGAAAAACTTATAAATCGGCATCTCCGGCGCTAACTTTCAACGTTTCCTCTCCATGTCGCCACAGGAGGAAGTCCTCTTAAAATTCTGCTTTTGGAGAAGTTTACTCCCCTGTAATCCGTTTAAACGTCGTCTGGAAAATGGCTTTTATACTTTATTTGGAAGCAACTTTTAAAGCTCCAACCCGCAGGTCCTTAAATTGCCGCAGGTTTTTTTTTTTTTTTTTTTTTGAACAAAAACAAAAAGCGAAAAACAAAAAATGAGAAAAAAAAGACAAAACACAAAAAAAAGGAATAAAAAATTTCTCGCCAGTGTGCAATATATATTGTCTTTATTACTCGCGCAATACAGACAATGAGTTTATGTCGACTGCGATTTACTGCTTATAGTTTGTTTTCCCTTTTGAACGTATACGAGTTCAACTCTGCCGGATGCAAAACCTCGTATCTGATGTTGTAATTTGCAAATAATTAATTCGAGAATTAATTTTTAATTATGAATTTCTAATTTTCAATTTCTCATCACGAGTTTTGAATTTTATTAAAACTTTTAGTTTTTAATTATGTTTTTTTTTTTTTTTATTTTATTCTTTGAGTTTTTTATTATTTATATTTGGCCTACGTAATTTCATATATTTATTTATTTATTTTCAATTCTTTCTATAAATTAGTGTTTTTTCAACGAAAAAGAAAAGATAAAATATTTCATTCGTGAAGTAGTTATAAAACAAAATTTTTTTTAATTCTCTGAACAAAATTTTATTTATTATTTCACTATTTATGTCTTGACAATACGACAATATTCTTTCATTTCGTTTAAAATATAAGTTTTTTTTCATTTTTCTTTTATTTTTTACTCTCGAAACTTGTTTTCAAAATTGAAAATATTTTTTGCACGAAGTTGATAAACAGTACATAAAATTCAATGCATTAAATTTGTTATCTACTTTTTTATGTAAAACTATTAGGTGGCAAAATATTTTTTTGTGAAATACCAAAATTACTTCTCTATTCTTTCATTGTGGGTGAAGAAGACAATTTATTTCATTTCCGTCTTTAGGAAAATTAAAATGATGTTAACAGTGATTTAGTAAGTTATTTTGATTTTGTGTACTGAACAAATGTAAGAATAATTACTTTTATAGAAAATGTGTTAAATAATGTACCAACTTTTTTACAGTTTGGTTCTTGCAGTAATAACCAGAAGTGGATTTGCAATAGGTAATAAAAATAAAAGTACACTGAGAAAATAATTATTTTTCAATTAAACATAATAATTTTGATTTAACGGATTATTCTCCTTTTTATTTATAAAAAATATTAGAAAATTGTTAATTGTTAAAAAATTATGATTAAAAAATAGGAAACATACCCTTTTTATGCATAATTTTTATTTCTCAATAACAATATTGTTCAAAAACTCATTCTTTTCTTTTTTGGGACAAAAAAAAGCATATTCCCGTTTCTTAATATTTTTGTAGAAAATTTCTTAATTTTCATAAGAAAATAATTTGCATTATTTCTATTTCTAATTTACAGTTACTTTAATAAAATTCAAAGTTTCTTTTAAAATAAAGAAAACAAATATTTATAAATTCTATTTGTCAATTACAAATTTTAATTGAAAATGAAATTGAAAATATATGAATTTTTAGAAAATAAAAAACAAAATTTTACTCAAAAAAAATGTTCTGATATTTACGAATTTCTTTAATTGTAAAATTATTCAAAAACACCAATAACTTATTTTCTAAATAAATATTTAATCATTATTATTTTTCCATAGGAATTGAAATTCTTCGAAAAATTCAAATTCAAACCTTTTTGAAATTTAACAACTTATAAGAATATTTATTATAAATTTATTTATTTATTCACCTTTAAATCAATTTTTATTTGTAATAAATGAATTTCAATTAAAATTAATTCCTACGAAGAATATTATTAATATTATATTCAGAAGAATTGGATTCATTTATGAATAATTTAATTATTTATGAAAATAATTGAATTTCTGCAAAGAATTTTATTAAAATTTTTAAAAATAATGGAATTTCAAATCCATTTGTTTACAATTCAATTTTACGAAATTTTGATTATTCGGAAATTCTTCAATTGAATATATATTTGAAAATAAAAATTTCAAATAATTTCAAAAAACACCATAATTAAACTTTTTTAAAAAAAAATTAATTTTACAGAATTGTTCATTAAAAGTATGAAAAATTCAAATTTTCAAAGATTTTAATTTGAAATTTAGTATTTATGAAATTAGGTATCAGGACAAGAAGAAGAAATTCTTCTAGAAATTTTTTTATTTTTGAAAATAATTAAATTTCTTGGAATAAGTGTTTTAAAAATTTTGTAAAATAATCTGAAATTCTTCTAGAAATTTTTTTATTTATGAAAATAATTGAATTTTTGTAAAGAATTTTTTTATTTTTGAAAATAATTGAATTTTTGTAAAGAATTTTATCAAAATTGTTGAAAATAATTAGATTTCTTGGGATAATTGTTTTAAAAATTTTATACAAAAATCTGAAATTCTTCTAGACATTTTTTTATTTATGAAAATAATTGAATTTTTGTAAAGAATTTTTTTATTTTTGAAAATAATTTAATTTTTGTAAAGAATTTTATCAAAATTGTTGAAAATAATTAGATTTCTTGGGATAATTGTTTTAAAAATTTTATACAATAATCTGAAATTCTTCTAGACATTTTTTTATTTATGAAAATAATTGAATTTTTGTGAAGAATTTTTTTATTTTTGAAAATAATTGATTTTTTGTAAAGAATTTTTTTATTTTTGAAAATAATTAAATTTCTTGGAATAAGTGTTTTAAACATTTTGTATAATAATCTGAAATTCTTCTAGAAATTTTTTTATTTATGAAAATAATTGAACTTTTGTAAAGAATTGTTTTATTTATAAAAAGAATTGAATTTTTGTCAACAATTTTTTTTTTTTTGAAATAATTGAATTTTTCTAAAGAATTTTATCAAAGTTGTTGAAAATAATTAGATTTCTTGGAATTAGTGTTTTAAAAATTTTATAGAATAATCTGAAATTCTTCTAGAAATTTTTTTATTTATGAAAATAATTGAATTTTTGTAAAGAATTGTTTTATTTATGAAAATAATTGAATTTTTGTCAAGAATTGTTTTACTTATGAAAATAATTGAATTTTTGTCAAGAATTGTTTTATTTATGAAAATAATTGAATTTTTGTCAAGAATTTTTTTATTTTTGAAAATAATTGTATTTCTTGGAATAATTGTTTTAAAAATTTTATAGAATAATCTGAAATTCTTCTAGAAATTTTTTTATTTATGAAAATAATTGAATTTTTGTGAAGAACTTTTTTATTTTTGAAAATAATTGAATTTTTTTAAAGAATTTTATTATTTATGTAAAATAATTACGATTTTATATCGTAAAAGTGAAAACCTGGCTTTTTCACATGTTTCATTATTTATTTTTGACATTTTTATTTATTTTTGATTTTTTCACTTTGGACATTTTTATTTTGTATTTTATGTACTTTTTTTCTTGGACTTTTCGGTCTGGATTTTTTGTTCTGTAATCATGAAATTAATTTTTTTCTATATTATTTATGAAAATAATTGAAATTTGAAAAAAAATAATTTATAATTTATGAAATTAATTAAAACTCTGGTAAAAAATTGTATTATTTATGAAAATAATTTAATTATTACGAAGAGATTTATAACAAATTGTATCCCATCCAAAAGTGAAGCACTTTAAAAGAAAATTTCACATACTTTTTTCCGTGTATAAAGATTTTGCAAATATTCAGGAGAAAACCATTTGTGCAGATTGTTATTTGCAATAGGGTAAGTGCGGGTATAGTCAGACAGTACTAGTAGTCGGACACTTTCGTGTTTTTTGGCAAATAAATAATAATGCATTGTGATAATTACTTTAAAAAGTATACTGGACGAATGTGTGAAGTTTATATTTTATGAAAATACTGTTATTTTACAAAATAATTAAACAAGAAATATTTTATTTAATATTTTAAAAATCATGGTGTCCGACTATAGATACAACCATTTTCGAGTAGCGCGACGAGTGGCACAAAGTTTTGTTGATAATTAATCATAAATATTAAAACTTATAGGATGTAAATATTATATTAATAACTTCTAATATGCTTTAATTCCATTTTCCAGCAGATAGCAATTAGAAAATTATCTTTTTTACTTTATAAATCCAAAATATTTGACAGATGTCCGACTATAGAAAAAAGGGAAAAAAGTGTCCGACTACTAAAGCATTCGTAATTTTTCATTAAAATGCTTATATTTTATTAAATACTCAAGTATTTGTAACAAATTTACATGATTTTTAATCCTAAAGAACTCCTTTAATTGATAATGTGCTTATAAACACAGTAGATATTTGTTATTTCAAGAAAAAAAGCATAATATAAGATCGTATCCTTAAGTGTCCGACTACTAGTGCATTTACCCTATATTGTATTTTTAATTTTCAAAATGAAAAGATTTTAGAAACAAGTTATCATCGTTATTTTTTTTAGTTACAATGCCGAAACTAAAGGTGACAGAAATCTCAGAATCATCATGCAAATTAATGTGGACAAAACCTATAGATAGTAAAGAACCTATGAATTACACTTTAGTTCGTAGTCAAATTGGAGAGAAAAATGTTTCTTACTATCTGTATGAAAATGTATTAATAAAATACATGGGAATTGATAGTCTTCAACCTGGAACATTATATACTTTTACATTATATGCTAAATTAGGCAATATGAGTTTAACTCCTATTTCAACTACATGCCACACAAAGGAATTTTTAGGTATGAAATTGTCAGTAGCATTATTGCTATGCAGAGTATTATTTGCAGTATTCTATTTTTAATTTTCAAAATGAAAAGATTTTAAACACTAATTTAAAATCGTTATGTTTAATTAATTTACAGGGCCGAAACTACTAGTGAAAGAATCCACAGAATCATCATGCAAATTAATGTGGACAAAACCGATAAATAGTAAACAAGCTGTAAATTACACTTTAGTTCGAAGTCAAATTAGAGAGAAAAAGGTTTCTTACTATTTATATGAAAATGTTTTGATGAAATACATGGAAATTGATAATCTCGAACCTGAAACATTATATAAGTTTACATTATATTCTAAATTGGGCAGTAGGAATTTTAATCCTGCTTCAATAACATGCCACACAGGAATAGCTTTAGGTATGAAATCGTTTTTTATACATGATAAATAAATAAATCTTATTTGAAATAATATTTATTTTAGACAGTAAATCATATTTGTCTTTTACAATTCGCGCGAAATGAAAAGATTTTAAAAACAAGTTATTCTTTAATTTATACAGTGCCAAAACTACAGGTGACAGAAATCTCAAAATCATCATGCAAATTAATGTGGACAAAACCTATAGATAGTAAAGAACCTATGAATTACACTTTAGTTCGTAGTCAAATTGGAGAGGACAATGTTTCTTATCATTTTTATGAAAATGTTCTTGTAAAACACATGAAAATTGATAATCTTGAACCTAAAACATTATATAATTTTACATTGTATGCTAAATTAGGGAAAAGGAAATTTACTCCTATTTCAAGAACATGCCTCACCAAATACAAAAATTTTTATACTGACACCATAAGGTTCGGATAAGATTGCCTTATTACTGTTAGGGACCCTGTATACTATTTGTCCCACAGTAGCTTATCCAAAGTTATTTAAAAATGAATTAAAATCAATAAATTGTATTTAAACAGAATTAATGCGATTTTATATTTTCTATTATACGATTTATTACATATTTGACAATTAATAAGTGTTTAAAATAATGTCACAGTTTTTCATTTGACTACGGGAGCCAGGAATTGATACCAAAAATCGTGTATGAAATTAAAAATTGATCTAAATTTTTAGCATCAACTTGGTCCACTTTAGTCAACTTTAGTATCAATTTGCTACTTTCAAGAAAACAGTGCTTACAATTTAATTTGTTCCCCTCTTTTTGCTGAAAAATTTTTATTTTTTTTACTAAAAATAAATTATTATAAATTATCTGTCCACACCTGAAGTTATAGTCATGATCATTCTTTTTTTTTATACGTTTTGATAGAAAATAGAAATAAAATATAAAATCATTACGATTTTTTAACAAAATTCATGCCTTTGTTTTTTTATATGTTCTGTTAGATAATATTATACTTCATTATTTTTTTACTATTTTTTTAATTCAATAATATTATTTTTATTTCTCAAATAATTCAAATATATTTTTATTAATCTAAAAAAATTATTATTTATATTATTCATTATTTCCTTTGTTTCTAAAAAATTAGCATTTTGTAACAAAAATTTTAGATAATTAACAAATGTAAATCCTGCAAAACATTTTCTTTTCTAATATGAAAAACTTAATTACTTGACAAAATTTTGACTTCTTCCTTGACCCTAAAGAATATTCTGATTCACTCTAAAAATGATTAGACACTCCAAAAAATGTTCTATTACATTTATTTACGAATTTCTTTAATTCTAAAATTATTTGCAAACATAAATAACTTCTTTTCTAAATAAATTTTAATCAATATTATTTTCCCACAGGAAAATAATTAATTCTACAGAATTGTTGGTTATATGTGTGAAAAATTAAGATTTTCAAATAATTTACTTTGAAACCTTTTTAAAATTCAATTATTTCTTAAAATTCATACTATAATGATTTTAATATTCAAATATTATTTGAATATTTGAATAATTTGAATAATAAATATTAAAATCTAAAATTTTAACTGAGATTCATTTTTAAATCAATTTTTATTAGAAAATTCTACGAGAATTCAATTATTTAAATGGAAAAAATAAATAATTTATTGAATAATTCAATATTTCTTGAAATTTAATTCTCATAAAGAATTTTATCAAATCATTTTTAAATTGATTTCTTTTAACGATTTTTAATAAAATTGCTAAGAACAATTACATTTTTCGAGGAAAGAATAATACCTAAAAAGAATTTTATTATTTATGAAAATAATTCAATCCCTGTAAAAACATGTTATTATTTATTGAAAATAATTAAATTATTGCGAAGAAATTTATAAAAAAAATTTGTAAATAATAGAATTCATATGAAATTGAGAAAAATTTTTGAAATTAATTGAAATTTTGCCAAAATTTTTTTAAATTAATTGAATTTTGGAAAAAAATTTGACTACTTTTGAAAATAATTAATTTTATGCAATCATTTATAATTTTTTCAAAATTCAATTTTTTTAGTGTTTTTGTGTAAAATTCGTCTATAAATCCACTATTTTTAATAATTAATTAAATATATATATATTAAAAAATTTAGCAAATTTCAGAAGAATTTGAATTATTAAAATTTTTAAAAACCTAAGTTAGCTTCCTTAGAAATTAAAAGTTTTTAATAATATTATTCAAAAATTCTAAAAATTAATTGAATTTTGAAAGACTAGTAGTTCAAATTTTCATAAAAAATTTTTTAAATGGTTTTACATTGTAAGTATTTTGAAATTTTAAATAAATAAAGAACAATAAGTATTTAAATATTATTTGACAAAAAAGATTCAAATTTGAAAAATTTAATTTGGAAATTCTGAAAAAATTAGGTTTTTGAAATAATAGTAATTAAAATTTTTTGAAGATATACTTGAATTGCCGAAAATAATTTTTAAAAAATGAAAAATGAAACTAAATTTGAAATTTTGTAAAATTTTATAATAAAGAACTTAATTTTTCCATCTTTAAAATTAAATTATAAAAGATTTTTATATTAAATTCTTTGACAGTAGAATTATTAATTGTATATTTTTAGTTGTAAATAAAATAATAAATAAATTAGGTATATTATCTTTAATACCTATACAAATAAATATTTATTTATTAAAGAAAAATTAAAATTTTTTTTCTTATTATTTACAATTTTTCAATAAAATAAAACAGACTTTTTCTATAGAAAACATGGAAATATATGACACATTTTACAAACTGAAATCACAAAAAAAAATCGATAAATTTTTTCTTTTTCACATATATTCATATATATATAACAAAAAACTCTGTAAATTATCCATTTTTTCAATTTTAACAACATGTTTATCGTTCATTTTTCCCTTTTGCAATTCACAGTCGAACTGGATTTATATTCTATTAATTTTATATGATTGATAGATTCGTATATAGAATGTTATTGACATTGAGCAGGAAAACAAAGTGATAGAAAAAAAAACAATTTTTATTCTTCTTTTAAATGTATTGTTTTTTCTCTCTCTCTCTCTCTCTCTCCCCCAGTTAAAATAAATAACCAGAGAGAATATATACATTTTTTTTTGTCAAGTTTTGAAATATTTTTTGTTTTACTTTTTATTTTTCAAAAAAAGTGTGATAAATATATCTACAAATTTTTTTTTATTTATTCTTTTTTTTTTGAGTGGAAAATAAACACTTAAATGATAAGGATGTGATTGTGTAACTTAAAAGAAGGGGGGAAGATATATAGAAAAATCTCATTTTTCTTTCTTTATTCTCCATTTTTTTTATGGAGTTCAAGGCAAACTATGGATTCGCGACGTTGACAAATTGAGACAAAGAAGAAATTCTACGTAAATTCTCGGGAAAAGTGAAATTGTGATAAAGATAAAAAAAAAAAAATAGATCCCCAAGTGAGAGAAATTTGTGTTGTAGCATTTGTTCAGATTTTTTTTTCTTTGGATCAATTTGGGAACTCTTTAATTTATTATTATTAGTATTATTATTTTTGGTATTTATTTTTACCTATTTTTATTACTGTTTATATTATTTTTTTGTTTTTATCACAATTTTTATTTTTATTACTTGTTTTATTATATTTATTTTTTTGTTATTTTTTACTATTGTTATTTTTATTATTACTTTTAATTAACTACTATTTTTAAAACTATTTTTTATTTTTTTTGTATATAATTAACTATTTAGTTGAATTTTTTATAACGTTTTGAAGTTTCAAATGAATATAAATTTTTTTGTTACTTGTTCAGTTTGAATTTTAGTTAAAAATTATTTTTTGTATATTAAAAAATTGAATCTTTGACTAAATAAAAATTTAGTTGATTTTATTAATATTTTTCTTTTATTATTATTTTTTATTTTTATTACTATATTCGTTGCTCTATTTATTATTTAAAATAATTTAAAATTAGTGGGTACCTAAATTATTTTCATTTAAAAAAAATTATTGTTATTACTTTTATTACTTTTATTATTTTTATTATTTTGTTATTATACCTAACATGCATTATAATATTTCTAGAATAAATAGACGAAAATAATTTATGCAAGTCAAGTAAATTTGTCGGAAACATGTTTGAATACTTAAGCAAAGGCTTAAAATACACTCAATGATTAGTATATATATATATTTTCATGAAAAACACATTAAAGATCTGAATGTCATTTGATGTTGATTTGCAATTCTGTTTCTTGAAACGATCATCAGCGAATGTCTTCAAAAGGAATTCAAATATTTAAAACCTTCTATAATAGAGTCGATTCATTTCCCTAAAGTATACTATTATTTAGACTATAGCCTTCATTTTCCTTGAAGGTCGTGGCTTACAATAATAAAAGAGAAATAAATTTTTCTAATTTTCTTAATAAATAAATTGTAAATAATTGTCCTGATTTTTCGAAGCCAAATAAATAAAAAAAAAAATTTTTAAAGAAATAATTATTATGACACATAACTGAAAAACTAATTAGTATATTAAATTTTCAATTATTTATATTATTTTAAAACTTTAAAGTATATAAAAAGAAACTTTACCAAATTTTGATACTAATTTCGAAAAAATCAATTATTTAACAAAATTTTATACAATTTATTTTTCACAATAATTCAATTACTTTCACCAATAATAACATTTTTCATGAAAATTCAATTTTTTAAAAAATTTTTGATAAATTTCTAAGCATGAATTTAATTATTTTCATAAATAATAAAACTTATCGAAGAATTTCAATTACATGTTTTTTATATTATTTTAAATTAATTAATCGAAAAATTCAGTTATTTTCTTGTGAAGATAATAATTTATTATTTACTTCCATATAAAGTATTTCACAAGAATTCAATTTTACTTAAAATTTTAAACTAATAAAATTTTCATAATATTTTTATTATATTTCGAGAAAATTAATTATTTAAAATAATATTCATAAAATTCTTCTAAAAAATATGATCCACAAGTTTTGAACGTTCAAATGAACGAAATATTTTGGATTAAAAATATTTTCATAAATTACTGATTTGAATAAAAATTTAAAACTTAGATTCTACGTTTTAAAAATTTAAAAATTAATTTTTTTGATAGTGACTCAAAATTATTGCAATAAAAATTGAATTTAAAGAAGAAATAAATCAATTTCGTTCATTTGAACGTTCAGAACTGTAGCAGCATTAAGAAATTCAATTACTTTCAAAAATAACAAAATTTTTCACAGAAATACAATTCTTTTTAAACATTTTTAATAAACTTTTCCGCAATAATTTAATTATTTTCAAAAATACGAAAATTCTTCTCAGGAATTCAATTATTTTTGAAAATAATACTAAAATTCTTTGCAAAATTCAATTATTATCATAAATAACAATATTCATCACAATAGTTCAATTCTTTTTTAAAGTAATAAATTTCTTCTTGGAAATTCCATTATTTTAAAAAATTCTAATAAAATCTTTCGCAAGAATTTAATTATTTTCAAAAATAATAAAATTCTTCTCAGGAATTCAATTATTTTTGAAAATGTCACTAAAATTGTTTGCAAAATTCAATTATTTTCATAAATAACAATATTCATCACAATAATTTAATTATTTTTAAAAGTAATAAATTTCTTCTTGGAAATTCAATTATTTTAAAAAATTCTAATAAAATCTTTCGCAAGAATTCAATTATTTTCAAAAATAATAAAATTCTTCTCAGGAATTCAATTATTTTAAAAAATTTTACTAAAATTCTTTGCGAAATTCAATTACTGTCAAAAATTTTAATAGAATTCTTTGTAAAATTTAATTATTTTAAAAAAATTTTTGCAATTTATAATTTTTAATATCTACTATTTTCATAAAATTTCCAAACAGAATTTAAGTATTTTAAAAATTTTTTGTAAAGATCTTCGTAAGAATTAATAATTTCTTTTCATTAATAATAAAAATTCCTGAGGAATTCAAATATTTAAATTAAAATTTGCATAAAATTAGTCGAAAGAAATGAATTATTATTAATAATAGAATTCGTTGCAGAAATTGAATTTATTAGCAGGATAAGAAAAAAGTAAATATTATTGATGAAAATCAGGAAAAAGTCAGGAAAATAGAAAATGTGGAATGGAATTTTTGGCAATTTTGTCTAAAACAAATTTTTTTTGGTCGTATAGTTTAATTTTACGATAGCTACTTTTTGGACTGTTTTTTTTTACTTTGAAAGCTACATATTGCAAGTTTTTTAAAATTAATTATCGACTGCGAAGTCTGTAAAATTTTAATATTAATAATATTAATTTATTTTATGTAAAAAAAGGAGACGAAAAAAATTAAGAAGCAAAACTGATTTTAATTTGAGATTCAATTAAATAAATTGTAGTTAAATTATAATAATTAACATTTAGAATGATTTTTAAAAATAATATTATATTTTGCTTTGTATCTTGTGCGAATAATAAAATTAAAAAATTTTCTGTTTCAGGGAGGAAAACAAAGAAATGAGTTTCCGAAAGGGTTGTTCAATACTTTCCCGTCAATTTGACTTTCGATTTAGAAAAAAACTTGAAAGTGTAATTTTAAAAATTTTCCCTTTCTATTTTTCAATTTAAAATATTATTTTCATTTTGGAATTGTTCAAAATATCGGACATAGGCGAATGCAGTAAACTCTGTAAGTTTTTCTTCAAAAATTTATATTATAATCGTTTTTCTTTTTTTTTCCAATAAAATTTTCAAACTTTAGATAAAGAGGAAAATGAGAAAATTGAAAAATACTGCAAGAGAAATGTCTTTTGACATATTTAATTTTCATATTCACTTTATTGAACTTTCCCGCTATTGGAACTATGATGACATTTACGATAATATTACTTATCGAATTTTAATAATTTCGCGCAGAATTTAAATGAAGGAATGAAACTTTTCAAAATTTGAAAATTCAAACTATTTTCTAAATTAAAAAAAAAAGTTTCCTAATTAGAAATTTAAGAATGAAAAAATTTGCATAATTATAAATTTCCGTAATCAAAATTTCAATTATTTTTAATACACTAATTTTAATCGATTTCTTCGAAAAATGTTATTATTCTTAAAAATTTTATTAAAATTCAAATCAAAGGGAAAGAATCAAATTTTAAAAAAAATCCCAAACAAAGAATTAAAAAAGAAAAGAAAAGAAAATCCCTGGTGAATTCTGTGAGAATTTAACACAAGTAGTCCTTTTCATTATCACAATCTCTATATAGCACAGTACGAACTAATTATATAAACCTTTATTGCCTTCTATCCCCCTAAACGATATCTCGATTCCACAGAATGCGCCTAATGGAGTTTAGTATTATACAAATTGTCACCGAGTATAAATTAAATATTCCAAGTGTTCTTTCTTTTTTTTTTTGTCTTTAAAAGAAACGAAAACCATTTTCAACCACAATAATAATTGACACAAATTTTTATATAAAAAAAAGCAAAAAAGTGAAATTATTCAGGACACTTTAATGAAAAAAGTTTCTTCTTTTGAATTTTAAAACTGACTTTTTTCAATTTCACTTGTCGCGTTTTAAAGGAAAAAACCTTAGCATGTTACTTATATATACAGAATATATAGTTTCGATTTGAATTTTAAAAATATAATCCCACAATTTCACTTGTCAGAATTTGTGGACTTTATGGCAGAAAATAATTCTCAAAAACGGTTGGTCGTAATTGATAACAAAAAATAGGAGCCCCAACTGTTTTCATATACGACTAGAGAAAATTTTTTTTACAATCTAAATATAATATTTTTTTGTTAAATAAACGAAAAAATTAGAAATTGAATCAAATTTCAGTTATAAATTAAATTTAAATAAAATTTTCGAATTGAAATTAAATTTCAATAAAACTTTAGAATTGAAATTTAATTTAAATAAAACTTTAGAATTGAAATTTAATTTAAATAAAACTTTAAAATTGAAATTTAATTTAAATAAAACTTTAGAATTGAAATTTAATTTAAATTTTAATTCTAAAGTTTTTATTTAAATTAAATTTCAATTCTATGAAACTAAATATAAAATTTAAATTACTTGACTCAGGGATAGTTTTATTACTAAACTTTTTATTTATTTAGAATAAGAATTGCTCAATAGGGACGAAAAAAAAATTTTTTTTTGTGTGTTTTGGAAAAAAGTACAAAATAAGACTCAGAATAGAGAAAAAATAAGAATCGAAAATTTTCAACAACACAATACTATCTCTAAAAGAGAAAGCAAAAAGTATAAAAAAAAGATTTTTATATTCCACAGGATCGCCTGGATTTTATCCGGTTCTTTTCTCGACTTTGCTACCCTTCTTGTCATTACCCTGTTTACGACAGACAGAGGCCATAAGCAAACATTTTGCAACCACAATTTTCTAGAAAAAAAAAGAAAAGAAAAAAAATTCCCCTGTTACCTTAGAACAAATATATATTGGAAAAAGTAGTCTGACTAAAATTGCTTATACTACTTGTGCTTATACTACTATGATTGTCTGACTAAAATTGCCCTTTTCTACTTTTACGAATGATACAAATATGAATTCTATATTAAATTTCTAACTAAACATTATGTCAATTATGTTATATTAAAAATTAAATTATTACAAAAAAAAAATATCATGACAAAAAAAAATTATAATTGTTAGTAAGTGATTTATAATTATATTTATTTCTATGTATTCTGATTTAGTCTGACTATAATAGAGTCGTACTATCTGAAAAAATACATTTTTATTATATTGATTTCGTCTGACTAGAAAGGACATTACTACTGGGGGAAAGTATTTTTATGAATTTTGATACAGTCTGACTAAAATTGCTTATACTACTGAACTCACTACTGTATACCTTGTCTGACTAAAATTGTTTATCACTACTTACGACAGATACAAACAGAATTTTTTCATCAAATTAAAAAAAGTTTTATTATTTTAATTTGTTTTAAAAAAATTGCTTTTTATTTCAATTTTTATAAATATTTACACTGTTCTTTATATTTCAATAAGTTAAAAATAATTAATTTGATAGCAAAAAATCAGTCACTGATTCAAATACAGTATGTAGATAAATTTTAAAAAAATTATCGAATTAATAGAAATTTTGTGAAATTCAACTGAAAATAATTAAATTTGTTAAAGAATTTCATTAAAAACTTTTTAACAAATCGAATTTTCAAAGTATTTTAATTTAATAATTAAAAAATAATTGAATTTTCATGTTTCTTTGTGCGAAGATTAATAATTAAAATTTTTTATTAGTTAATTTAAAAAAAAGATACACACCTAAACTTTTTTAATAAAATTGAATTTTCGCAAAGTTTTTTTGAAAATTCTGAAAAATAAGATTTTTGAAATTTTTCAATTCTATTGTTTCAAGATAATTGAATAATTATAAACATATAATTGAAAATTTTTGAAATAATTGAAATTTCTTTACATTCTATTAAAAATAATAAAATTCTTTTAAAGAATTTTATTTAAAATTTTCGAAAATAATCAAGGGAAGTTAGTCACTGTAATTATAATTTTATTTTTAATAATTTCTTCGCAATTTATTCAATTATTTTCATAAATAGTAAAACTAATTGCAGAATTTCAATTATTTTTAATACAATTTTAATCAAATTCCTCGAAAAATGTAATTATTCTTAAAAATTTTATTAAAATTCGTCGAAAGAATTCAATTATTTCTAGAAAGCGTAAAAAAATTCTTCTCAAGAATGCAATTATTTCCATAAATAGCAAAATTCTTCGGATTTACTAAATTCTTTTGAATATTATTTTTAAAAAAATTCTTCACAAGAATTCAATTATTTTCATAAATTTCCATAAAATTCTAAAAAAAACTATTTAATTATTTTTAAAAGTAATAATATTCTTCTCAGAAATTCAATTATGTTTAAAATTTTTTTTAAATTCTCCTCAAAATTTCAATTATTTTTATAAATAACTAAATTGTTCTCCACAATTCAATTATTTTCCAAAATTTTTAATAAAATTCTACGCGAACATTTAATTGTTTTCATAAATAATAACATTCTTTTGAAGGATTCAATTACTTTTATAAATAGTAAAATTCTTTGCAGAAATTCAATTATTATCTATCATTTACAATTTTAATAAAATTGAATTAATCAAATTTTTAATTATAATTATAAATAGACAAGATTATTTAAAAAAATTGAAAAAATTCTTTGTTTAATTCAATTATTTTCCAAATTTTCAATTAAAATTGTTTAAAAAAAACATTATTTTCAAAAAATTTAAAGAAACTCTCCAAAAGAAAATTATTATTTATAAAAACTCTAATAAAAATTTTTGAAGCAATTTGCAGATTTATGTTTGAAATTAAATAAATTTAAATTTGATGAGAAAAATAAACCGGGAAAAATTAGGACAAAGCCGGGAAATAATCGGGAATTTTGTCGAACAAAAATGGTAGACACCCTGGTCAACTTTATTAATTTTTTTTTTTAATTTCTAATTTTTTTTAATTTTTATTGCTCTCTAAATCTGAATCAGCGATAAGTATGCCACTATTTCAATTAGCGTATATGCGCTGTGAATTAGTGAAATTTCACTAAATAATCAGTGAAACTTCACTGATTAATTAGCGCATATACGCTGTTTTAAAATAGTGGCATACTTATCGCTGAGAATCAGTGAAATTTCGCTGATTCAGATTTAGAGAGTGCTTACAAATTAGATAAAATAATACTTCTGATGAATTTTATTAGGTCTGAATAAAATTAACTGATATTATATAAGTAACTGTGTACAGGAACATTTACACTGAAAAAAATCCATAAAGCATTTTATCTGTAGAAAAATATTTTTTACACGAAATAAAATTTTTTTATTAAGAATTAAAAATATATTTGTACTAAGTAATTAATTTACAGTTTTTTCTAAGGATAGCAAATTGTGACAGAAACGTTTTAAAATAGTTAAGATGCAACATTTTTATGCTAAAATGGTCTCAAAAAAAATGTTAGGCAAAATTCATAGCCAAAAAAGTTCATAAAGACCACGCTAAATTTCAAAATAATTTTTAATGAATTATTTATTCCATAAATTTTCTTAAGAAATTCCTCATTTTCACTTTGACTGAAAAAAATTTTCACTTTCACTTCAAAATTTATTAAGTGAACGTTATTAAATAATTTGAGTTAAACATTCTTTGCGTAATAGTGAAAATTTTTGGAATTTTTTTTTGGATTAGAAATTTTTTAATGAAAATGAGAATTTAAATGTTTCATAAATGTGAAAATTTTTTTAATGAAGTTAACATTATTTTATACTAAAAGTAAGAATTTTTTTAATGAACATAAAAATTTTTTTAGTGAAAGTCAAAATTTTTTTTTACTGAAAGTTAAAAGATTTTGGATGAAAGTAAAAAATTTTCTTGAGCGAAAGATTTTTAAAATTGTAATTCTTTTGTAAATTGGAAAAAGCACATTGGGAAAGTTAATTGGCTACTCGTTATTTTTCCCTTTTCTTAGGCCACACTGCTTATATAAACGATCGTATCGGAAAACAATCAGAATACACAGCGACTTCCATTCTCAATATTCCCATCATCCCTCCACCCCTATCTACTTTCTCTCTTTCTCTTTTGCAGTGTGTGTATACTCAACTTCAAAGATCAACGACACATGATCTCGGAGGCAATACACATTATATTTCCTCTTTCCTTTATTTTGCCACACAAAAATTACCTCCTCTATTCTTATTTTTTTTTTTTTCTTTTTTTTTTTTTTGCGAAAATAGAAAATTATAATTTCCTCTCCGGCATCCGCATTGCTTTTTTATCTTAACATTTCCAGTTCAATGATGAGTATATGTATATTTTATTGACGACTGTAAATTGCAAAGGCATTTCGTTCTATTTATAAATTTTAATAGAAAGCGTTTTTCCGATTTTATATTTTTCAATTTAAATATTTTTTTTCAATATTTTTTTTTCTTTTTGCAAATGAATCTATTTTTGTTAAGAAAATATTTGTTTTACTATATTACAATTTTCCAGACTAATTTTTTTCTTACTGTCTATAAATTTTAAAGGAAAAATGTTTAATAATTTCAATTAGTGATTAACGATTTGCTTTTGAACTAGTAAATTTCACTAATAAATAGTAATTCCCACTAATTTAAATAAATAAAAAATTAATAACTATTATTATTATTATTATTATTATTTTAATAAATAGTAATTCCTACTAATTTATTGGTAGGTGGTTACTTTTTCTAAAAACTATTTTCTAATCCTTTTTGTCTAAAAAAAGCAATTTCTAATGAAATCTGTTTTCTAAAAAAGTTTTTCTAACAAGTTTTCATTACTAAAAAAAGTTTTTCTAAAAAGTTATGATTTCTAATATTATTTGTTTTCCCAAAGTTTGTAAAATTCCATAATTTTTTTTTTTTATTTGAATCAAAAAATATTTTTTTAAAACACTTTTTTAGAAAATTTTAAATATCTTTAGGGAAAAAATTCCTATTTTCTATTTGTTAATTACCAATTTATCAGTAAAATAAAAAATTTCAGAAAATTAATCATTTTTTAGAATTTGGAAAGTAAATTTCAAATTCCTTTTTCTACGTTTATAATTAAAGTTTATTTATTTTTTAATTAAAAATTATTCACTTCTCTAATTAAAAATTTTTTTTATTTATTTAACTAACAGAATTCGTTACAAATTTTGTTAAATTTATTAACAATATATAATTGAAACCAATTTTGTTTTATTGCATATGTTTAACTATTAAATTTGATTATTAGGGTGAATATGATGATAATGGCATATTAGGAATTATTGATTTTTGCAACTAATACAGATCACCACGATGAGATTTTAGTTGAAGGTCATTTGGGGTCAAAAACGTGGCAGATTTAGATAATTTATTATCGTTATTATTTTCGTAATCCGCTCATTAAAATTATCAATAATACAACAATGAAACCCAAAATCTTCTAATCCGTATCATATATATATATATATATATATATATATATATATATATATATATATATATATATATATATATATATATATATTTATTCTCACAGAATTATACTTATTTGACTTTCGTGTAAATTGTTAATGAACAAAATTTTTTTACATTATACAAAAAAAAATTAAAAGAGAAATAAAAAAATAAATAAATAAATTTATAAATAAATGTCTTTTCGTGGATTTTTTTTTGTAAATTTTTTGATGGAATTTTTTTATTGTTTTTAAAGGCTTTTTTTCTTAAATTTTTACTAAAAATGAGAATGAAGGATTCTATTTTCAGATATAATGTTTAATTAAATTTCTCATGTTTATGTAGAAGGTAAACAAATGATATATATATATATATGTATGCATGTCGAGTGTTAAGATGACAGAAAAATGAGCCATCACGAATGTCCTTAAGTCCTTCAACATACGTGAGAAATTTTCTTCGAGTGTGCCAAGAAAGTATTTCAGATTGATTTACCCTAATCCAAGCTACATCAAATTTAACACGCACCTTCCATCACAGCTGCTACTAGCAGGAAAAGTAATATGTAGGAAAAAAAAGAAAATAAAATTGCAAAAATGAAAGTTAATAATTTTTTTGATTATTTTAATTTATCAATTTTCATTGTCAATGTCTATTTAATACATCTAGAGAAATATTTTTGTTTAAACCAAAGGCACAATTTATTTAAACCAAATATATAATTTACTTGAGTCAAATACATAATTTATTTAAACCAAATAAATATTTATTTGTAATAGATTCTACTAAATTATTCATTTCTTTGAAATACAAATTTTATTCGACATAGATAAAATTTTTATTTCAAACAAAGCAAATTTTCTATTCCAAATAAATCAAATTTACTTGAACCGAACAAAATTTTATTTGAAACAAATAAAATTTATTCGAATCCAATAAAATTTATTTAAACCAAATAAATTTTATTTAAACTAAATAAATTTTGAATCACATACAAAATTAATTTAGATCGAATAAAATTTATTTGAAACAAAGTTTATTCGGTTATTTGAATCAGAAAAATTTTTTTCAGTTTATTTGAATGAAACGAAATTTATTTTTAAACCAAATGAAATTTATTTGAATCACACCAAATTTATTTCAATGGAATAACATTTATTTGAGCCAAATAATATTTTTATATTAAAATCAAATAAAATTGATTTGAATCAGATAAAATTTATTTGAATAAAATAAAATTTGTTTACGTACTAAAAAAAATTGATTTTAACTAAATAAAATTTGTTTACACTAAAAAAAATTAATTTAAACTAAATAAAATTTATTTGAATCACACAATATTTATTTAAATCGATTAAAATTCATTCGAATCCAATAAAATTTATTTAAACCAAATAAAATTGTTTATTCGGTTATTTGAATCAAAAAAAGTTTTTCAGTTTATTTGAATAAAATGAAATTTATTTAAACCAAATAAAATTTATCACATACAAAATTACACAAAATTTATTTGAATCGAATAACATTTATTTGAACCAAATAAAATTTTTTTTATTGAAATCAAATAAAATTGATTTGCACCAGATAAAATTTATTTTAATTAAATAAAATTTGTTTACACTAAAAAAATTGATTTAAACTAAATAAAATTTATTTGAATCACACAAAATTTATTTAACAAACAGAATTTAACAGACTAAAAAAAATTATTTGATTCAAATAAATAGTAATTTGATAATAGACGCAGGTAATCAGTTATTTGAATTAAATAAGTTTTTTTCAGTTTATTTGAATGAAATAAAATTTATTTGAATCAAATAAAATTGATTTAACCTAAATAGTATTTATTTAAACTAAATAGTATTTCTATAAAGAACATAAAATTTCTTTAAATCGATTAAAATTTATTTGAACCAATCAAAATTTATTTAAATCAATTTAAATTGATTTGAACCAAAAAAAATTTATGTAAATCGATTTAAATTGATTTAAACCAAAAAATATTTATTTATTAAAACCAAATAAAATTGATTTGACTCAGATAAAATTTATTTGAGTATAAAGTAAATTTTTTTAAACCAAATAAAATTGATTTAAACATAAAATTTATTTGAATCACACAAAATATATTTTTAAATCGAATAAAATTTTATTTGAACAAAGCAAAATGAAATAAAATTTATATATGAGAAATAAATTTGTCTCACAGTCAAATATATTTTTTTTCTAATTTTTTTACACACTTTTTCTAGGGTTGTCAAATTGAGACAAAAAACGTATCAAAATAGTTGCGAAGCAACGTTTTGATACGTTTTTTTTGTCTCAATTTGATATCCTTAGAAAAACTATGGAAAAAATTAACAAATGTGTAATTATAATATTCAGATTATTTTCATCAACAATCATTAATATATTCGTCAGTTTTGATAAAAATAATTTTCTTCAATATTTTTCAGTATAAAAAATGTCATTATTCGGAGCGTATATATCTTTCGGGGCTATTAAAAAACGAAAGTCAATATTTTTAATAATTGTGCGTGATAAAAAAAGTTTTATAATAGTCGGTTTATCGCGATACTTGAAAAGTAATTGGACTTTCATAAAAAAAAAAAACAAAATGTTCCAAAACTTTGGGGAAAAATTCAAGAAAATTTGATTTAAGATTTTCACATGTGTGACGATAAAAGTTTTTCCAGACAAACTTGACGGCAACACTCAACATTATAACCCATATCTCTTTATATAGAGAAAACTCTTCCTTCAAATAGAAAACCAATACTAGAATTTAATTTCTTTTCAAACTTTTGACACAATAGCATAATTGAAATATAATATTTTTTTTATTTGCAATAAAAAATAAAATAAATTTATTTTTTTCTAAATGTTATTAAAAACTTTAAAACTAATTAAACTTTCTAAATTCGAAATAGAAATCTTATTTTAATTATACAAATAAAATTTGTATTTGAATCATAAAAATTTTCATGAAATACAAAAAAAAATAATTTTTTTAATTAATAAATATTTTTTATTAATTAAAAAATTACTTTTTGCAGATAACGAAGAAAAACTTTGACTTTCAAATCTTTTTTTTCTTCTCGCAGAGAAAATTGTGTGGAAATCTCTCTCTTTTTTTTACATACACCACAGGAGCTTTCGTGTCATTGCCCTTAAACTCTCCAGCGAGACTTCATTTTGTATTCTTGATACGCACAGGATCATTTAGACTTTAAGAGTGACTGGAAGAAAGTCTTTTTTAGAAAAGTGTAGAGTGATAAATTCCAGACGCAGGAGAGTCGCGGCTAGACACTGAAAGAAGGGAAAAAAGAAAGTATAAGAAGAATATTGGAATTAAAGTTCTGACAACTTAGACGTTTTGATGGCACAAGAAGTAAACTGCGAGAGAAATCTTTTCTCTCTTCTCTCTCATTTCTATACTTTCATTTTCCTACTACAACATCTTTTCAAATAAAATTCCAAGGGATCAATATATGACGTTATACGTGTCACTCCGAACTTCGATCACGAAAAAACACCTTTTTCATTGAGGGAAATTATTCTTTTCAATCTGTTAAAATAATTGACAAAAAAAAAGAGAAGAAGAAAGAAAGAGAAGTAATATTCTACAAAAAAAAATTATTTGATTCAATTCAATCAAAGATTTATTTTATTTGGTAGTTGGTAATTATTAATTATTAAATATTAATTATTAATTATTAATTATTAATTATTAATTATTAATTATTAATTATTAATTATTAATTATTAATTATTAATTATTAATTATTAATTATTAATTATTAATTATTAATTATTAATTATTAATTATCAATTATCAATTATTAATTATTAATTAATTAACTATAATAATCGTCGAATTCTGTCCATGTTAAACTTTTGTGCATGTTTTTGATTTTTTAATATGTTTTGATATAATATAATACATACTACTTTATTTTTTTTACTATTTTTTAATTTAATAATATTATCTTTATTTTTCAAATAATTCAAAAATATTTTTATTAATCTAAAAAAATTATTAATGTTATTATTCATTATTTCTTTGTTTCTAAAAAAATTATCATTTTGTAACAAACGTTTTAGGTAATTAACAAATGTAAATCCTGCAAAATATTATCCTTTTTTTAATATGAAAAACTTAATTGTTTGACAAATCGAAATTATGCAGCTATTTTCTCTTTTTTTCTAAAAAAAAATTGATAACTTGTTGAAAAAGAAAATGAGAAAGTAGAAAATATTTTGCACGTTTTCTACTTCTCAATTACAATTCATAAACAAAGTACAAGTTTCAAGTAAAAAAAAAATATAAATCAAATTTTTTTTAAAGAAATTTTAAATTTAATTTGGAAAAAATATTTACAAAATTTCTATTTGTTAAAAACGATTGTAAAATTATTCGAAAACATCAATAACTTCTTTTCTAAATAAATATTTAATCATTATCATTTTTCCATAGGAATTGAAATTCTTCAAAAGATTCAAATTCAAACCTTTTTGAAATTCGACAACTTAGAAGAATATTTATTATAAAACATGAAGAAATTGATCGGTTTCTTCATTTTTTTATAATAAATTAAAGATAACCGAGTGATAAGATCATTATTTTATATAATAGAAATATTTTTTACTGTAATTTTTTCAAAATTATTTTTATCATTTTATTTTAATTCAATTATTATTTTCTAGAATTAAAAAAAAAATTCTTCTTTAAATTAATTACCTTTAATAATTTTTGACAAAGTTCTTTGAGAATTTTCAAATCCATTTGTTTACAATTCAATTTTAGGAAATTTCAATTATTCAGAAATTCTTCAATTGAAATATAACGTATAAAAATATTTTTAAATAATTAATTTCTTTTGACGATTTTTAATAAAATTGTTAAAAATAATTACATTTTTCAAGGAATTCGATTAAAATTATATTAAAAATAATTGAAATTCTGCATTGAGTTTTATTATTTATGAAAATAATTGAATTCCTAAAAAGAATTTTATTATTTATGAAAATAATTCAATCCCTGTAAACAATTTTTTTTATTCATTGAAAATAATTAAATTATTGCGAGGAAATTTATAAAAAATTTGTAAATAATAGAATTCACATGTAATTGAGAAAAATTTTTGGAAATAAATGAAAAATTTTGACAAAAATTTTATTAAAAATTTTTAAAAAATTGAATTTTGCCAAGAATATTATTAAAAAAATTTTAAATAATTGAATTTTGGAAAAGAATTTGATTCCTTTTGAAAATAATTAAATTTATCCAATCATTTATATTTATCATCATATTCATAATTTTTCCAAACTTCAATTATTTCTTAAAATTCATGCAATAATATTATTTCAATATTATTTGAATATTTGAATAATTTGAATATTAAATATTCAAATCAAAAATTTTAACTAAAATTCATTTTTAAATCAATTTTTTTAAAAAATTGTTACGAGAATTCAATTATTTAAATGAAAAAATAAATAATTTATTGAATAATTAATTATGACAATAATTGAAATTTATAAAACATTTGTAAAAAATAGAATTCATATGAAATTGAGGAAAATTTTTGAAAATACATAATTGAAATTTTGCCAAAAATTTTATTAAAAATTTTTGAAAAATTGAATTTTTGCCAAGAATTTTATTAAAAATTTTTGAAAAATTGAATTTATGCCAAGAATTTTATTAAAAAATTTTAAAATAAATTGAATTTTCAAAAAGAATTTGATTACTTTTGAAAAGAATTGAATTTCTGAAATTATTCGTAACTTCTTCAAAATTCAATTTTTTTTAGTGTTTTTGAGTAAAATTCGTCTATAAATCCACTAGTTTTAATAATTAATTTTAGCTAGTTTTCTTTCAAATTTAGTAATTTTCTTTTAAATTTTCTTTTATAGTTTCCTTTAAATTCCTTAAAAAAAATGTAATGAATTTTCCTTTAAATTTTTTTCAAAATTCTTTTTTCTAAAGTTTTTTTTTTATTTTAGTAAAATTAAGACAAGCACATGTTATAGTATATTTAAATTAAATTTCTACATCTCGCAAGTAACAATGATGTAATATACAGTCTACTTTATCGTATATTACTGTTTATATCAAATTTTCTCACCATCCTGTTTTCACCAATTCTAGCTGCATCTGCGGTTTGAATACTCAAATTCTAGAATTCTCATGAAGCGTGATATTCTGGTTTGATAATATTCTTGGTGACAACATGTGAATGTGCATGTGCACGATAGTATTTAGAGGAAAATTTATTATGACAAATAAATTCTTATTTCATGACAATTGGTAATTTAATAACGAATTGTATTTTTCGTTTAAAAATATATTTTTCAATTTTTTTTATAATACCTATAAATAATATTTTTTGGAATTTAGACCAACAATTTGTAACTCTCGTCTAATTTATAACTAATTCAGAGTTGACACAGATCAGGGAAGTCAGGAAATTCAGGGAAAAATCGGGGAAAGTAAAATTCGTGAGGGAAATCAGGGAAAAGTCAGGGATTTTTTATACAAAGTATTGAACAAAATTAAACTTTTAGACTTGATAAAAAAATTCTGAATTTTTGTCTTTTTCGTTTGCCCCATAAACTATGAAATTAGTTACACTTTTTAATACATATTTAATTAATTATTAAAAATAATGATTTTATAGAAGAATTTTAATTAAAAAATACTAAAAAAAATTGAATATTAGAGAAGTTAGAAATGATTTCAGAAATTCAATTATTATTTTCAAAAGTAGTAAAATTCTTCGCAGAAATTGAATTACGTTGAAATTTTTTTTTTAAAAATTCTCGTCAAAATTTCAATTATCTTTATAAATAATAAAATTCATCTCCGAAATTCAATTATTTTCAAAAATTTTAATAAAATTCTTTTGTCAAAATTTCAATTATTTTCAAAAAATTTCCTCAATTCAATGATTTTCAATATCTGTTATTTTAATAAAATTTTCCAAACTAATTTAATTATTTAAAAAAATTTTTGTATTTAAATAATTGAATTCACGTAGAATTTTCTAATAAAAGTTGATTTAAAAATTAATTTCAGTTAAAATTTTAGATAATTGAATATCAAAAGCATAGAGTAAAAAAGAGAATTACTTACAAAAAGAGTTAAGATTTAAAATTAGTTAACTATAAATTGCATTCAAAATTAATTAATTAAAAAAAATAATAATATGAAAAGAAAAATATAGAAATATATTACTTATTAAAATTATAAATTAAAATGATTAATTAATTAATTAACAAAATTATTCAATTTAATTTTTTCTATTGTTATACATTGAGTGGAATTATTTTAATACTCATTTAATTTCTTTTTTTTATCTCATTTAGTGACGTCATAAACACAATAGTTAACTCCATCTTTTATTATTTCCTTGAAACTATGTGACTCGAGAATTCTATTGTACTCTTTGAATTTTAACATTAAAATTCTGCCTTATCAGTACACTGCGGATTTATTTTAGATTACCTACCGTTCAGAAGTTTACCAATTGTGCTCTATAACTAAAATTTACCAATCAAAGACTGAAAGGGAATTTATTTAATTCAAATAACCGATTATACTTGTCTATTATCAAATAAATAATTATTTGATTCAAATAATTTTTATTTAATTCAAATATTTATTTATTTTAAAATATTTAAACCAATAATAATTATTGTTTTAATCTTTTATGGTATTAATTTAATCTACAACGCTTTTTTAATACCTCACAGAGTTCATTCTGTACAAATAATCGTTTATTTGAATCAAATAAATTTTTTTTCCACTGAAGAAATGTTATACATCATATTACTTATATATATTTGCTTTTGCAAAATTATTTTAATTATTTTAATTTTAATTATTATTTTATTATAATTCATGTGTATTTATTATTAAATATAAATACATTTAATAATAAATACACATGAATAATAAAAAAAAATAATTTCTACTCTGAAAGAAAATTTTATTTGGTTCAAATAACCGATTGCTTGTTATCAAATAAATATTCTCTTGAATAAAATAATTTTTATTTAAATCAAGTAAATTGTATTTGAGTCAATAATTTCAGTATTTGAAGAAAATATAATTTAATTGACTTAAATGAATAAAACAAATTAAATAAATAAAAATTATTTGATAGAAATAAATTTTTCTCAGAGTAGGTATAACTTGTATTGTTTTTATTAAATCATGAATGTTACTACTAATTAATTAATGTAATATAATATTGTATATTATATTAATAATAATAAAAATAATAATTATAATTAATATTATAATTATAATATTCATTAATAATATTAATAGTATAATTTCGATGACATTAATTTGATTGTTATAAATTATATTTTTAATGTGTTGTTATTAAAAAAAAGCGTCAATAATAGAAATAATAAATAACAACAACAAAGTACTTATAAGCAAAAAAAAAAAAAAAAAATTAGAAAAGTTGTGCCAAATGAAACAACAGGTAAAATTAATAATACAAATGAGAAAATAACAAGTATGCAAAAAGAATATTCTCAGACAATATGCAATTATATACTTGAAATTTTTGATGAGAAATTAAAATAAAAAATTTGAAATTGATTTATTGATTCTCATATATGGAAGTCAAGGTAATATGACGTAATACATATATGTATAATAATATGTATTCAGTATCACATAGGATTTTCAATAAATCTCCTTTATGAATGCATTTTTATTACTGTTTTATTGATCTTAATAATATCAAATTTTTACATCTTATTCATATAATTATATTTTTATTTAAAAAAGCCAATCATTCGCCAAAAAAAACATTATATTATATTAATTACATACTATTATTTTTAATTATTATTATAATTATTACAAAAAAACTTTAACAAATTTTGATACTAAAATTTCAAATTTAACATCAGATTTTCAAAATTGAAAATAATTATACTTTCTTGTACGAGGAAAATTGAATTTCACAAAAATTGTTTCTATCTGATACCTAAATTAAAAATAATCTTCATTACGAAAATTTTAATTATTCTGAAGAATAGAGAAGGTAAAAAAATTATTATATATTCAACTTTCTGAACAAAGAATATAAATAATATTTTTTTTTAGAGAATTTCCATTACTTTTAATTCGCTAATTTTCCAAAAAATTTCGAAAAAATCAATTATTTAACAAAATTTTATGCAATTTATTTTTCACAATAATTCAATTACTTTCACTAATAATAAAATTTTACATGAAAATTCAATTTTTTAAAAAAAATTTTGATTAAATTCTAAGCATGAATTTAATTATTTTCATAAATAATAAAACTCATCGAAGAATTTCAATTATTTTTATTACTATTTTAAATTAATAATCGAAAAATTCAGTCATTTTCACAAAGAATGTTTTCGCACAAGAATTCAATTATTTATTTAAACTAATAAAATTTTCATAACATTTATTATATTTTGAAAATATTTATTATTTAAAACAATGTTCATAAAATTCTTATGAAGAATTCAATTACTTTCAAAAATAATAAAATTTTTCACAGAAATTCAATTATTCTTTTAAACATTTTTTTCTGTAATTCAATTATTTTTGAGAATTATAATAAAATTCCAAGCAATTATTCAATTATTTTTAATAGAATTTTACAGGAATTGCTCAAAAAATGTAATTATACTTAAAAACTTAATTTCAATTCCTCGAAAAAATCAATTATTTAAAAAAATGTTTTTTTAATATTTTTTTGGAGGATTGAATAATTATTTTCAAAAATTTAATAAAATTATTCAAAAGAAATTAATTGTTTTAAATAGAATTTTAATAAAATTTTTTTGAAATAATTCAATTATTTTTTTTAAATTTGAATAAAATTTTTTCTAAGAATTCAATTATTTAGGTACAGAAATAATTTTTCGAAAGAATTCAATTATTAAAGATAAATAAGCAAATTACTTTTGAAAATTCAATTATTTTGAAAAAATAAATAATTTTTTCAATTATTTTAATAAAATTCTTTTCAAAATTCAATTATTTTCATAAATAACAATATTCATCACAATAATTCAATTATTTTTGGAAGTAATAAATTTCTTCTTAAAAATTCCATTATTTTAAAAAATTCTAATAAATCGTTCGCAAGAATTCAATTATTTTCATAAATAACAATATTCATCACAATAATTCAATTATTTTTAAAAGTAATAAATTTCTTCTTGGAAAATTCCATTATTTTAAAAAATTCTAATAAATCGTTCGCAAGAATTCAATTATTTTCAAAAAAATTTAATAAAATTTGCCACAGACATTCAATTATTGACAAATTTTTTAATAGAATTCTTTGTAAAATTTAATTATCTTTAAAAACTTTTCGCAATTCAATAATTTTTAATATCTACTATTTTCATAAAATTTCCAAACAGAATTCAATTATTTAAAAAATGATTTGTAAAAATTTTCGTAAGAATTCAATTCTTATTCGAAAGAAATGAATTATTTAAAAATGTTTATAAAATTCTTCGCAAGAATTAAATTTTTATTAATTTAATTAATTAATAACAATTAATTAATTGCAATTTGCAAATATTTTTTTAATTTTCAAAAATTTTAATTTATTTTTTATTTATATTTGTGTTTTCTGTTATAAAGTTATAATTAATCATAAGAATTGTGTATAGGACAGATAAAAAAAAAGTTTTAAAAAGAAAATCAATTTTAATTGCCGTAATAAAAGTTAATTAGAAATTTTGATAATCTATATATTTTAGTTTTTATGTAGGTTTTTGTAATTTAGACGAAAATATGTATAATGAGAACGCGATTTATCGACTAAACATTTTCGACACTTTCAATATAATAAGTACTAATAAAATTTTTCTGCGCATTTCATTTTACTGCATTGAAATTTTCCGTTTCAATATTATTCTGATTTTTGAAAAAAAACAGCAATTATTAGCAATTATTTAAAATATATTGATTATCAGTAAATTATTTATAGACAATTATGAATTATATACATTATATTAAAACCTATTAAATATTATTTATTCAACATTTTTACATATTTATTATAATATTTGTATTTGATAAGAATTTTCTATTAATTATAATAAAATTTTATTCAATAAAAATATTGAATTATTCATGAAATGTAAATACATTTGTTCAAATTTTACCGCCAATTTGAAAATTCAAATTTCTTGCTTTGGCAGCACTGGGAATTTTCCTTCATTGTACAGGGGAGGGGATGATATTGTTATATAGGGAAATTACTGTTTTACAATGAAATTTTCGGAAAATGGGAAAATTTCACTATACTCATATTATTGACGATGACGTCCTTCAAATGTTCCTAAACACGAGAAACATTTTATCGATTATGAGTGCGGGAATTCATACTTACTGATACACATATATTCGTGAGTAAAAATACAAGTGTGAGTGAGAGTGAGATCACGGATAAAACGTGTTAGTTGCAGTTGCTTACTAACCGAGAGGGAAGACAGTTCCATTTAAAAAAATTTCTGTTTGTTGTGTGAGGTTATTTCCAATTTTTCCAAAGAGAAAAAATAACACAACGGAATACAACTATGTCAAATGACAAAGATAAATTGTGGTGTAAATCACGTCAAAATGGAGTGGTTCAACCACTCCTTACAGGTATTTATTTATTGCGAAAAAAAATCAATGTGTAATATAACCTCTAAATGAATACATAATATCTATATATGAACGAAAGTTTATTTTTCTTCTCAAATTTTTGACTTATTTTTCTCTTTTCATTTTGTATGCGGAAAAATTTGAAATTTGTGAATTATTAATTGCAAAAGAGGGAATAATTTACTAGATGATGATGATGACTAATGTCACTTTTTTTTCTTAATTTTCTTGATTAGTTAAAGTCATTAAAGTTCATTGGCTCGGAATATAAATTTTTTTTTAAAACCAGATAAATCATTTCTTGCGTCATTTCTTGTAAAACACGTGAACTGAATTTCATATGACGTTGTTTGTTAATTATTTTCTGACAAGGCGGCAAGCTTTCTTAATTACTAAAACGCACCTAGTGAATGACATTTTTTTCTCATTGTCATATATGTAGATGTCGGACAAATAGAATAATTGTAAAAAATTATAAGCTAATTAAAATAAATTACAAAGTATTTTTAATTTAATTCATTTAGTTAAATAAAACGTTAATGATTAAAAAATTAATAGTAATTTCAATTTTCTTAAAATATTCAGAACGTAAAAAAATAATTTTAAGTACACTTGATCATATTATCAAGTTTGCGAGGATAAATCTCGTTTTTCAAGGTCTTTTCAATTTTTTTGCTCCGTAATGAATAAATTCGATATTAAAAAAAATACATGTGCATCAAATGAATTAGTCTTATTTATTTAATACAATAAATTGTTAAATATTTCCCTAGTAATTATGAAAAAAAAACAAATTATTCACGTTTAAAAGTATATTTAAATTTAATTAATTTTACATTTTTTTCCATTCAAAAAAAAAATTATTCCATCTATTTGCGAAGAGAGAAATAATTTTATTAAATTCTACAAAGTAATCTTTTTATATTCTACAAAGTTGAGAAAAATATTAATCTCTTTAAGGAGTTTTTACTGATTATTATTCATCTTTAATTACTTTTTAATTACTCTATTTTCAGATCTTTATCAAATCACAATGGCCTATGCCTATTGGAAGAGTGGTAAAATGCAAGACTATGGAGTCTTTGATTTATTTTTTCGAAAAAATCCTTTTCACGGAGAATTCACAGTTTCTGCCGGATTGGAAGAATGTCTTAAATTTCTCGCAAGCTTTCATTATTCAGACAGTGGTATATATATTTTTTTTTAATTGAAAATCTAAGGGAATAAAAATAATAATTTTTAGGTTGAAACCTTTTGAGTTCGCAATGTTTTTTAAGAAGCGAAAAATTAGAAGGAATTTTCTAATTTTTATCTGCAGAATTTATATTAATTAATTTGATTAATTTTTTCTTAATTTAAAAACTTTGAAATTTTTATTTTAAAAAATGATCGCGTATTAAAAATATTAAAAATGTAATTAAAGCTTAAAAATGTTGAATTTCTTTTTGATTCTTATTTCTATTTTAGTGACTAATTTATAAAAAAATATTTCGTTTCGAATTTTTGAAATGTTTTTTTAACTTTAGTTTTTGAAAACGTTGCGGACTTGAAACTCACTATAAATTAATATTCTAATAATAGTTTTGCAATTGTATTAATTTATATTTATTTAAAAAAAATATATATTTATAGATATTGACTATTTGAGAACGACAATGCCAGACTGTGTAGAGCCAGAGTTCTTTGAATATTTAAAAAATCTTACTACTGATGAAGTCAGTTTGTATGCTATCGAAGAAGGCTCTATCGTTTTTCCAAGGTAAAATAAAATTTTCAATTTTTATCATTAAAAAAAAATTTGGTATCTTTACAACATATCTTTTCTTATCTTTTATTTATTTATATATTTGTTTTATTTTTCATATTTTCTTTCATTTTTGCTACTTTGAATTATTTTTAAATATATTATTTGCAATACAAAACTTTTAAATATATTATGTAAGTTTATTTATCATGTCGACTATTATATCTATTAATAGCTTTATCAATTTTTTTTACAGTTAAGAAATATTTTTATTGTTATTTATTTATTTCCTCTTATTTTTAATTTATTAACATTTTACAAACTAGAAATTACCATTAGCATAAATTACCATTGTATAAGTTATCATTTAATTAATTTTATTTATTTATTTGAAATAGAGTACCACTGCTGAGAGTAGAGGGTCCATTGATAATAATTCAGTTGCTGGAAACAACTTTTTTAACTCTTGTCAACTATGCAAGCTTGGTGGCAACAAACGCAGCTCGATATAGAATGGTGGCTGGAAAAAATATAACTTTAATGGAATTTGGTCTAAGAAGGGCACAAGGACCAGACGGAGGACTCAGTGCTTCCAAATATAGTTATATTGGTAAGTGAAAGATCATTTCTAAAAATAGTACGTCTCATTCTGTAGTTGAAACCTTTTTATGACATTTTTTTATTGCCCCTTTTATTACTCCAAGTTTTTTTTTCCATGAAACATCTATTGTCAATTTTTGTCTTAATTCTCTTAATTTTATTTTTCGTCTCCTCTTATTGACCTTATTACATTTTTTTATTATTCCTTTTAACGTGTCATTTTTTTCACTCTTGTTGCGCAAAATAAATGCAAATTCTTTAAAAGTTTTTATCAAAAATTAAACAATTTTTTTCTAGTTAATTTTTACAATTATTTATTTTCTTTTGTATTTTGTAGTGTATTTGTATTTATTTTTTTTTTTTGTATTTTTTGTATTTTTATATTTTTTTAAAATTTATGAGTGTATTTTTCTTTAAAATTTCTATTTTTCTTTGAAGATTGCATTTTTTGTAAAGATTGTATTTTGCTTTAAAATTGAAAATGGTATTTTTCCCTTTCTTTTCAAAAGTTTAAAAGTTGAATTTGCAATTTTCGTGAAATTTACACGATGAGTAATAGACCCGGTCAAAGAAAGTGAGATCAATATATCGTACTACTTCGTACCGGTGGGTATCATCTACGTTAAATGATGTGAAAGAACTTTCAGGGTTAACTTAGATATATAATTATATATCCGGAATATATGTATATATATACTTTTTGTTTAAAACAAATTAGTTCACATTTGAGTATTGCACCATTTTCACTCATCCAATTGTTTTCGGAAATTATCATCAAACGATTTTTTTTTTAACGAGTTATTGATTTGCACTTTTTATTATTTCCTTCCGCTTTCTAATAAGTAAATTTTAAAGAAAAATTTAATTATTAAACACGAAAATTTACAGCTGCGATGGAAAATTTTTTTTTCTACTTTAAATTATTTATAATCATAAGTCATTAAATTAATTCGTTTTTTGTATTTAAGTCAATTTCTTTCGAATTGTAATCCAAAGGTTTAAATTACAATTAGATTTAACAAATTTAATAATTCTATAATAATAAAATAATAACAGTAATAATAATTATTATTATTAATTTATTTTGTTATCTTTCGAAAAAAATTCCCATCTGAATTTCAATTTTTCAAAAGACAGGGTTGCCACAGGTCAGGGAAGTCAGGAAATTCAGGGAAAAGTCAGTGATTTTTACTAAAAGTACTGGAAAAAATTGAATTTTTAAAATTCATGAGCAAACTGAATTTTTTTTTCTTTTTGCCTCGTAAACTATATGAAATTACCACGAATTTTCATACAAAACCTTCAATTTTTTCTATTTCTGACAATAATTTCTTTTTAAATAATAAAATTCTTCACCGAAATTCAATTACTTTTATAAACTTGAATAAAATTCGTTGTAAGAATTCAATTATTTATATAAAGTTAAATAAAATTCGTTGGAAGAATTAAATTATTTAAAAAAATTTAACATAGTTCTTTTCAAGAATTCAATTATTTTTATAAATAATAAAATTCTCCACCGAAATTCAATTATTTTCATAAACTTGAATAAAATTCGTGGTAAGAATTCAATTATTTATATAAATAATAAAATTCTTCACAGAAATACAGTTATTTTTATAAATTTGAATAAAATTCGTTGGAAGAATTAAATAATTTTCAAAAGTAATAAAATTCTTCGCAGAAATCCATTTATGTTCAAAAACTTAAAAAAAAATTCTCGTCAAAATTTCAATTATCTTTATAAATAATAAAATTCTTCATCGAAATTCAATTATTTTATGAAAATTTTAATAAAATTCTTAGGAAAATTTTAATTATTTTCATAAATATAATAAAACTCATCGCAGGATTTTAATTATTTTTTATACAATATTTTAATCAAATTTCTCGAAAAATGTAATTATTCTTAAAAATTTTATTAAAATTTGTCAAATGAATTCAATTATTTAAAAATTTATTGATAAAATTCTTTATAAGAATTCAATTTTAACAAACATTCAATTATTCAATAAATTATTTATTTTTTAATTTGAATAATTGAATTTTCTAATAAAAATTGATTTAAAAATGAATTATCGAATAATCGATTTATTATGAAAAATAATTGAATTATTACAAGGAATTTTATTACATTTTTTAAAAATAATTTAATTTTTTTGAGAAATTGTACTGCTTGTAAAAATAATTGAATTCTTGCGAAGGATTTTATTAGGATTTTTTGTAAATATTTAACTTATTTTGAAAAATTTTATGGTAATTTAAATTATTACAAAACATGAAGAAGGCGATCAATTCGAGTCGAAGACTCGGAGTGATCGCCTTCTTCATGTTTTGTAATAATATTCTTATAAGTTGTTGAATTTCAAAAAGGTTTGAATTTGAATGTTTTGAAGAATTTTAATTCCTACGGAAAAAATAATGATTAAATATTTATTTAAAAAAGAAGTTATTAATGTTTTTGAATAATTTTACAATTAAAGAAATTTGTAAATAAATGTAATAGAACATTTTTTTTTTTTTTTTTTGAGTATCTAATAATTCTTAGAGTGAATCAGAATATTCTTTAGGGTCAGGGAAAAAGGGAAAATTTTGTCTGGAAATCAGGGAAAAATAAAATTAAATATTTGTGGCAATCCTGTAAAGAGTTGATTTACAAAATAAGAAACTTTTGCCGCAGTTATCAACAATTTTCGCAGTGATGAAGTAAGAAAGTTAAAGAAATTACTTTATTTTTTTCGCTTCCATAATGCTGATTAGTGTTATGTCATTTATTCGATTAATTATTATTATTAAGAGAAAGAAAAAGATAATTTATAAACTTGATTAGTCATTGGGAATGTTATCGTATTTAAATTATGCAAGTTATTATGAATAATAAATACATAATCTTTTATATTAAGAGATCTTTTTTTAGTTTTCGAATTTAAAATAAAACTTTTGAGTATTTAATTCTTTCAAAAAAAAAATTATCTTTTTATTTTAAAGTGTTTAAATTAAATTTTTTTATTATTCTTGACATTTATTATGTTTTATCTTAATATTTTTCAGGTGGTTTTGACGGTACAAGCAATGTATTGGCTGGAAAATTATTTGCAATTCCCGTCTATGGAACTCACGCTCATGCATATATTACATCGTTTAATGGCAAAGATGATTTGCACAATAGAGTGAGTATATTTTAAAATAAAAAATTACTCCTTTAAATAATGACATTGAATACAATAACAAAAAAAAACATTTGGAAATGAAGAAATAAATTAAAATTATTTACAAAAGAAATTAAATTCTTCTTGGAAATAAATGAAATGAAATGATTTACTAAAGAAGTTGAATATTTTTTAGAAATAAAATTAAACGAAATTATTTTTTACAAAGGAAATTAAATATTTTTGAAAAATAAATTAAACAAAATTATTTGCATAGCAAATTAAATATTTTTGGAGAAATAAATTGAACAAAATTATTTACAAACGAAATTTAATATTTTGTAGAATTTTTTTCGAAAGTATTTATTATTTATATTAATTAAAAAAAATACAAGTGAATAATTGTAGTTAAATGTTTTTTAGACACTCGCTCATAAGGAGACAGGTCAAATGAAAGATTTATTAGCAGCTTCGTGTAAATATCGCAAAAATATTGCCGCTGATTTGGGAGCATTGGAATTGGAAGCATCTGATGGAGAACTGGCGGCTCTTGTCAGCTATGCAATTGCATTTCCAGATGGATTTATGGCCCTAGTTGATACTTACGACGTTAAAAGGTATTAATATTACTGAAAAAAATTATTTTGTCAAAATATTTCTTTTCTTTTCTGCAAAAAAAGGACAAACGCAAATCTCTCTCTGCTGCTGTATAAAATTGCTTTTTTCTACAAATTGAAAGCACAACTTTTTAAAAAATAGTTCGTTTTTAGTTTTTAATAATTCGTTTTTTTGATTACTAGATAAATTTGTACTATTATTTTTTTTATTATTAATTTACTATTATTCAATACACTTTTTATAATTAGAAACGAGACGTGTGTAATCTCTATAATATTTCTAACTCTGCTATTTAAAAAAACACACTTTTTCCTAATCTATTTCTCTCTAGCAAATATTTTCCTCTCAAATCACGTATTACAAAATCTTTGTAGTTTTATGAAATCATGCTTTTTATCTTATCGATTTAAATTATATTTAATATTCTCGAAATATAATCTAAATTGTAAACTTTCTTTAAAAATGAAACAGCATTTTTTTATATCTGACATGACTATTTATCTTACATACTTTTTAGTAATTTTAAATCTGAAATAACAATCAATGCATGTCAGCATTTTTGCATCTCTTAAGTAATAAAAGCACTTTTTTTTTATCTGAAATAATTTATTAAAGATTCGTGACTTCGCAAAGTATTTTGAAGATTCTTGACCGTGACTTCACAAATTCGCTAAATTATTTTTTTCTTCTCACTTTGTAACTTTAAATATAAATTTTGTTATTTAGGATGGAAAATAATATTGCAATTCTTCAAATGCTTTGAATTTCACAAAATTTTCTGCAAAGTTTCAAATAAAAATTCGCAATATTTTCTTTATTGGAAATTCAGTGCTGGAAATTGAAAAGATTTCAAAGAATTCATTTATTTCAAATATAATTTAAAAAATGAATAAAAAAATAATAAAGAAAATAAAAAAATGAAATTCTTTTCTATTTTCAGCATTAAATTGCTTTCTTTAATGTAAAATATCTTTTATTTTTAAAAAAGCAATTGAAAAAAATATTTTTAACGCTTCTGTAAAAAAATCGCACATTTAAAAATTTTTCCAAATTCGAAATTGAGGGGAAATGGAAAGTAGATTTAAAAAGTGTGTGCATGAATTTATTTTTTTTAACAAAGCTTTCTAGAGGCGATGAATAAGATAATGATTGAAAAAAGCAAATTACAGGCCATTTTTGCATAGATGATACTCACATTTTGGAATAATATTTAATTCGTGAAAAAAAAGAACGAGAATCGTGTTATAAAAGTTAACTCGAGTGTTTTTATAGCGTAGAGGCACCGTTCAAGAGAAAGGCGCAAAATGAGAGCCTTGTCGTTAAGAATAAACTTCTAAATAAAGGGGCAAATAATAAGGCACTCCAAAACAGTGGGAGTAGTAACCCAATCAAAAGTGAATCGACATCATCTAACAAGAATGGCTTTTTAAAACGAAGCGAATTGGGTGAGCTTTATGTGAGGTACGATCTAGTTCTAAATAGTTCGTTTTGCTTACAGACGGAATCTTTTTGCACTTTTCTTTTTCCTCTATAGTGGTTCTTTTTTGGTAGTGAACAAATTTTTCCTATTTCACGCTTTTATCATTTAGAGAACAAAAAAAAAAGATTCCTGACCTAGTAAAACAAATAACATTTTCGATACATTTTTCATTCATGCATTGAAAAATCATCAATTTTTTTTCTTTTTCTTGCTAAATATAACTTATCCGAATTTTTAATTTCCAAATCTGAAAGAGCTAAAAAGTGATTTTTAAAAAGAGATAAAAGGTAATAATAATAAATTTAATCCAATGATAAAATTTTTATTATTATTAAGACAAGAGTAATTCCTTTTTATTAAACATTTGTTGTTCGAAGTACAAAGAAAAGTGTAGATTTAATGAATAAATAGACAAATAATTGTTCAACCTTATATAATGCCTTCCCAATTCGGCCAAGTTTTGAAAAATAAATTTTCTGTAATTAAGATATGAAAAGATATTTCAAAACATTTAGGTTTTTTCATATTCTTTTTTTTTTGGTATTTGTATTTGTATTTTTATTTTTATTATTATTCCTAAAAATGATTTTACTTTCCTTCCTTATTTTCTAAATTGCAATTCTTTTTTTCGAAAAAAAGAGAAAATTTGTATATCATCAATTCGCAAAAATGTAAATTTCATATTGTTTCACTTTTGTTCTTTTTCATAAATCGTTATTTTCTTGAAAATACATTTGAAAATTAGTATTTATCATTTTGTGGGAGATACATGTATATTTATTAATAAAGTGCTTCCAGAAGTGGTCTTCTCAATTTCTGCGCTGTAGCACTTGCATTAAATGATTTGGGCTACAGGGCAATTGGAATCAGGATCGACAGTGGTGATCTTGCATATCTCAGTCAAGAAGCGAGGGATTCTTTTGAAAAAATTGCAGAAAAATACAATATTCCCTGGTTTGCAAAACTGACAATCGTCGCATCAAATGATATTAACGAAGAAACTATAATCAGTCTAAATGAACAGGTAATAATTTTTCCATAGTCGAAATTATTATTCTTTTGTAGACTATTTATAATTTTTTATTTACTAATTTATTTTTTTTTTATTTTATTTATTTTTCCACTATTTTTATTTCCATTACAGACCTCAGAGATTATCATTATTTAGACTCAAAACTATCAAATTATCACGAATTCTAATACAAAACCTTTAATTTTTTCTATTTCTGTCAATAATTAATTTTTAAAGAACTTTCAAAAAATCATTACTTAGAAATTATTTAATGAACAATTTTACTTAAATATTTCAAAAATAATTGAATTTTAAAAGAGTTTCGTTTACAATTTTTCATAAATGATGAACTTCAGAAGGTTTCAATTTGAAATTTTATAAAATTTCAATTTCGATCGAATTTAATTATAAATTTTAAAGAACTTAGATAAGAAAAATTTTAATAATTCAAATTCTACTGAAATTCGTTAAATTTTTTAATAAATATTTAAATAATTATTGAAAATAATGGATTTCTAGTAGAATTTTAGTTAAAAACACTAAAAAAAATTTAATTTTGCAGAAGTTACGAATGATTGAAAAAATTCAATTATTTTCAAAAGTAATAAATTTCTTCGCAGAAATTCAATTACGTTTAAAAATTTAGAAATATTCTCGTCAAAATTTCAATTATTTTTATAAATAATATAATTCTTCTTTGAAATTCAATTATTTTCAAAAATTTGTAATAAAACTTTCCAACAGAATTCATTTATTTAAAAAAATGTTTAACAAAATTCTACGCAAACATTTAATTATTTTCAAAAGTAATAAAATTCTTTGCAGAAATTGTTCAAAAATTTACAAAAATAGGTAATTGAACTTTGGTGAAGAATTTTATTATTTATAAAGATAATTGAAAATTTGAGGAGTACCTATTTTCAAAAATTTTAATAAAATTTTCCAATAGAATTCAGTTATCTTCACAAATTTTTAACAAAATTCTACGTAAATATTTAATTATTTGCGTAAATTTTAAAAATTTCCCAGGAATTCAATTATTTACAATTTTTTTTTTTTAAATTTCTTCTCTATAATTCAATTATTTTAACATTTTTTGACAAAATTCTTTATAAGAATTCAGTTTTAAGAAACATTTAATTATTCAATAAATTATTTATTTTTGTGTTTAAATAATTGCATTCCCGTAGAATTTTCTAATAAAAATTGATTTAAAAATTAATTTTAGTTAAATAATTGATAATAATTGAATAATAAATGAATTGTAAGCATACATTTTAAGAAATAATCGAATTTTGAATAGGTTTCAAATTAATATCTTTAAAAATCTGAATGTTTCATGCTTTTAATTAACAATTATGTAGAATTAATTTTTTTGAAGAAGTTTATTTAATTTTTTTTTAAATTATTTGATGTTTTTATTTTCTTAAATATATTTAATAGAAGAATTTCCGAATAATCGAAATTTCGTAAAATTGAATTGTAAGCAAATCAATTTGAAAATTCTGAAAGAACTTTTTCAAAAAAATATTAAAAATAATTGATTTAAAGAAGAATTTTTGTTAAAAATTGTAGAAAATAATAATATTGAATTGTAATTATGAAAATAATTTTGAAGAAGTTGCAGTAACAATATTTTTATAATAAAAAATAATTATTTTATCACTCGGTTATATTTAATTATTATAAAACAAAAAGAAATTGATCGATTTCTTTATATTTTATAACAATTTTCTTTTAAGTTGTAGAATTTGAAAAAGGTTTGAATTTAAAATTTTTTTAAATCTTAATTCCTTTAAAAAAATAATAATGATTAAATTTTTATTTAAAAATATAAGTTATTGATGTTTTCGAATAATTTTACAATTAAAGAAATTCGTAAATAAATGTAATAGAACATTTTTTTGATAATCTAATCGTTTCTAAAATGAATCAGAATATTATTTAGGTTGAGGGAGAAAGTCAAAATTTTGTCTGGAAATTAGGAAAAAGTCAGGGAAAAATTAAATTAAATTTGTGCAGCAACCTTAATAATTGAAATTTTGTAAAATTTAATTGAAAATAATTGATTTTTTCAAGTATTTTATTTCAATTTTTGAAAATCAATTTTTATTTAGGTAAAAATTGTGAAAAATACATGAATTTTGGAAGGGTTATAGTTGTAATTTCTAAAAATGATTAAATTTCAGATAATTTTAAATTGTATTTCCCGTGAAAATATTATTCAAGTTTTGTATAATTGAATTTATAAATCAGTGAAAGATCTAGGAAGTGCAAAATAAAATTTTTGTGACAACACTGAATGAAATAATTGCCTTTTTGTATTTTTAATCGACTAAAGTGACTTTTTGCGTTTTAAAGTCAATTCAAGGCCCGTCATTATTTTTTTTTAATTTAGTCTTAATAAATTAATTCTTCTGTAAACTATTTAGAAGTTCCTTTTATTTTTTTTTTTAATTTTCAATTCGAAAATATTTTTTTTTAATTTTTGCTTCCTCGAGAAGGAAGATTTGTAGATTTATTATTTATTTTTTGTTCGGAATATTTAATTTAAAAAAAATATTAATTTGTGTGAATAATGAAATATTTTCGTTTACTTTTAATTATTCTAAATGTAAAATAATAATGAAAATTATTTATTTTGCAGAATCACAAAATAAACAGCTTTGGAATTGGAACACATTTAGTGACGTGCCAACGACAACCGGCTCTTGGTTGCGTCTATAAAATGGTGGAAATTAATAAATTGCCGAGAATAAAGCTCAGTCAGGAAGTTGATAAGGTTACAATGCCAGGCAGAAAGAATGCTTTTCGTTTGTACGGCGCTGACGGGCACGCACTTGTGGATTTACTTCAAAGGTATGACGAGGAATCGCCCCAGGTTGGGCAAAAAGTCCTCTGCAGACATCCATTTCAAGAGTCAAAGAGAGCGTATGTCACTCCAACGAGAGTCGAGGTTCTGCACAGAGTGAGTTTCTTGTAAAATTAATTAAATTAATTTTCCAATTTTTCATTTTAAATTTAATCTCAATTTTAAATTGAAATTCAGGCTTTGTACTCATCTTTTAAAATCTGCTATTATTTAAAAATAAATTTTTATTAAAATTTTAGAAAATAATATTAGAAGAGTTGAATATTAGAAATAGTTTTCGATTTTCTATTTTTTTCTTATTAAAAAATTTGTTAATTATTTTTAAAGTTGTACTGGAAAGACGGTAAGTTGTGTCGACCTCTGCCAACTTTACAAGAGACTCGTGAAAGAGTACAGGAATCTTTGAAAACTCTACGCAGTGATCATAAACGGAATTTAAATCCAACTCCTTACAAAGTAAGTGCATTTCGATATTTATAAAAAAATCAAATTAAAAATACTGATTTTTCTCTCTCTCTATCTCTCTCTTAATTTACAGGTTGCTGTAAGTGATAAACTGTATCACTTCATTCACGATTTATGGTTACAAAACGCGCCAATTGGACAATTATCATGAAGAGGAGGGATTCGAAAATTTGGCAAAGTGAATAATCAAAGTTTACTTTGACAGTGAAGAGGAATATCTTTAACAGTAATTCATTTACTGGTGTGCAATAGAATTTGGCAAAAAGGAAAAAAAAATTTTTTTTATTGCTGGGCTTGTCGATATTTGACATCTTATAAAAAAGCATATATATATATATTTTTCTCCCGGCATTCAATAAATCTTGAAATTTTTTGCCAACTGTACTATGCAAACAAAAATTGATTTTGCATCTATATTGTTACTAATTCTGCTAAAAAAAAAGAAGCAGATCTTACACACTTAGTACAAATGTCGTTACTATGTAGGAAGTAATATATTTCGTTAACGTCCCGTTTTGAAAGACGATGACGTAAAGTTTTATTGAATCGTGAGCCAGAGGGGCCTTAAAAAAACACACATACACACACAGCAAAGAAAAAACAAATAATCTTCATATTATAAATAAAAGACCAGTAAATAGGTTCCTCAAGAATTAGAAAATAGTAATAAATGTTTCACTGTGAAAAAAAATGAAATTCGAGAGGAAAAATCTTTTAAATCTTTTAAAATTGTTGTTATCAATGAAAAGAAAAATTATTTTCTATTTCTTTTTTTTTTTTGAAGTACTCGAGACACGTGAAACAAATTTTAATGAGTAAGATCATGATATCAAATTTATTGTTCCTGAGGTGACAAAATTAAGAAATCTTTAACTTTTTTTTGTATGTATTACAAGTTTAGTTGTATTAATTTTTTTTTATTTAATAATTTAGTTACAGAAGTTTAGAGTTTTTTTTTAATCAAGTCTGATATATTCAGAAAATTAGTTCTTATGCTTCTATTTTACGTTTGCACATTTCAAATGTTCCTTAATTTTCATAGAAAAATTTAAATGTAAATTTAAATTTAAATTTAAATTTATCTTTCATCAAAGATTTTCTAATTTGTGTCCATTTACAGCATATCGAATTTGTAGGGGGAAATATTTGAGAAGTAAGCGAATAAATTTATTGGATTTTTCAATTTTTATTTTTAATTTATATATACAAATTGATAAAAATTTTGTATAAAGTTCTTTAATGTGTAACAAATATTTCAATATAACAAAATAATTATATTTTTATGCGTAACAAAAAGTTTTCCAAACAATTTATCAAATTTCATTCGTTTGCTTACTTCTCAATTAATTTCACCACTAAAAAAAGAATACAAACTTGTGTATAGAAATTGTATTTTGAACAAAGAAGAGCATTTTGCTATTAAAGCAAAAATATTGTGGTTAACGAATATGTAAAATTAGAATATAGGAATAAGACTTTTAAAATTGATTGACAATTAAAATCTTTCGTTATTTGGAGTTGTCGTGAAATATATATATATTTTTTTTTATCTTAAAAATTTGGAATTATTTCTTAAAAATAATGTACGTTTACTTAAATAATATATCAACGTTTACTTAACTTCATAAGTAGAAAAAGAATTAAAGTTTACTTAGCTTCTAAGTACAAAATGAATTAAATAATTACGGGTATGCATCAAATGAGTGACTTTAAAAAAAAATATTTTTTCTGCAGAATATTTTTAAAAACACTAAAGTGTTTTTCAATAAATATCGCATAATAATGTGTAAAAATGCATAATTAATTAATTATATTTTAAAGTATTTAACTATAGAAAATTTAACTTTATTTTTTAATTTAAAATTTTTATTTTACTCAAAATAAATTTATACTTTGTGAATGAAATATTTACAATTCTAATTATTTTTCTTTTATTTATTATTTTTTCTTTTGAAAATAATTTTTCTTATTGCAGTTTTTTTCTAATTATGTTTTAATTTCTATTCTATTATTTTTATTGCAATCTTGAAATTTATTAGAATTTTAGTTTAATATTCGTTCTTATAAAAAAAATTCATGAAGAAGAGATTTTTCGTTTTTTATTCACTTTTATTTACTAGAAATTGCATTTGTAAATTAAATTGCATTTGATTGTAAAATTAATTTTTAAATTACAGAATTAAGTATAAATTGTAAATGTTTTTGAAGACATTTTTAAAAATCCGACAACTCCTTTTTGGAATTAATTTTCCTATAGATTAAAAAATTGAAAAAAAGATTTTTTAGTATTTTGAGAGCACAAACTAGTCATTTGAGAAAAAAAGTGTTTAAAAGTAAAATTATGTAGAAAATAGAATTTAATTATTGTGGTGTGTAAAGCGAACAAAATTTAGGGGTTGATCAATTTTTTTTTATTTTAGGTCAACTATAATTTGTATATTTTCCCTCTTCTTTTTTATTTGTCATTTCAACGAATTTATTGTTAACAATATAAACGAATTAAAAGTCTAAAAAAAATTTTTTCAATTTTATAATATTTTTTTTATTACTTTTGAGATTATTGTTGTAAACGCACAAAATAATTTGATTTATTATTTAGTATTTGATAAAATATTTTTTTTATTAATATTACATTGAAAATTGATAAAAGAATAATTAACACTTGAGATTCTGTTTTTCTTCGAATGTTTAATATAACAAGTAATAATTTAATAACTTAAGTAACATTCCGTTTAATACTGACAAAGAAAATTATTTCGATAAATTAGATAAATGTCTCAGGCTTTTGTTTAATTTATTCACTATAATGTTTGTTATAATTAGACAACGTTGTTACTAAACTTTTGTATTGAAATGTGCATTTTCGAAAAATCAACCGACCCCTGTTTTTTGTATTAGTTGATCTTCAATAAATAAAATAAATAAGTCTAAAGAAATTGGTTTTTTATTTACTGCTTAATTTTAAATAGTATACAAGAATTGTTTATTTATTTTTATAAATAAAAAAATTTCTCGTGAATTTGAATTTGAAATTTGGCGGTTCATTACCGGCCAAGTGGGGATCTACAATACCAGCAGTGCTCCTCCAATCACGTGAGTGATTGTCGTGTCGTGATTTTTAATATTCAATTTATTATATTGGCCATCCTGACAGTTTATATGGGCTATTGATGGGAGGTCACGTCATACAAAATTATTATCTTGTTGCTATTAAAATTGTGAGAATACTGTGAATTCTGTCGATTTGACGTGGACAACGAGGAATAACAGTGATTTTCTAGCGTTAGAACATTATAGGACAGTAGACTGTAGTTTTTTGGTAAAAGAAAAGTTTTAATATCCTGAATAACGTGTACGGTGCGCCGCCGTCGGCGAAAACGCTTCCTCGAGAGTGTATAACTCTTTCGTGCATTGGTGTTTTGTGAATATATACTTGGAACTGGCGGTGTTTCGACGTACGGCTCTGACGGACCGTACGACAGGTTATGTCAACTGGATTATCAGGTGCTGTCTCAGATCAGGTCAGTCCTGTCTTCATACGTTTCTACCAACATCCTCATTATCCGGCAGAAACCATTCACTGGGGACAGCCATTCTAAATTTTGTCTGTTTTTCCATGCTACGGAATGCAGCGGATGAAAGGACAAACTAACAGTCAGGGTGAGTCTATACCTATGTATTAATTGTCAATTAAGTATCCTCGATTATTCTTCCTATCTGATAATAGAATAAATAAATTTCACCGACAACATATCTTTCATAAACAATTCTCTTTCTTGTCACTCCAAAGTTCCTGGGCAGTACTTCGTTTTTTTTCTCTTTATCATTGATAAAGTGAATACAAGTTTCATATAATAATTGCTGTACATATTTTATCTTTAATTTTCCCAACAAATCATTTAAGCAAATATTTTATTTTTAAAACTATAATAATATTGTTTTACTTAACAAAAATTGATACTGTACTCATCCTTTGTTATTTGCCCATAAAGCCCGATTTTCATGTCTAATGACTCACTATTAGTTTTGTAAATAGTTTTCTGATATATATTTTTATCAAACTCGATTTAAACATTACTGTATACAAATTTTTATAGTCTATGTAGTATGAATTTAATTTTACATAATTTTAAATTTTAATAAAATCTAATAAATCTCAATTTCTAATAAATGTGCTCTAAATATTTTATAAAATCGTAAAATAATCGTATAATAAATGAATTATGAACGATTTAAATAATTCACCGCAGTAAAAAGAATCGTATCAATGACATTTTCATTTAAATAATTTCAATTATTTGAAATCTTTAAAGAATTTTCTTTTTTTGTTGCACCTTATAAAATTTCTACATAAAATAGTAGTAGGCACAATGAAATAGATTTTCTGGGTCATTTTGCAAACTTTCCACAAGTCTCTTTTAACTGGTAGTATGAAAGCACTTTCACATCAAATTATACTTTAGACTAACATGTTTCTCTATTTAACTCATATCAAGATAACTGTTTTATGCCTATCTTATTGATAATTATTAACTAGATTAAAAATTACCTTTCTTAAATAATTAATCGCTAATATTATCCGAATTACTAGACTTTGAGTTTGAATTCAGAATTTTTCTTCGTATAGGTAATAATAAGAATTCTGTGATGATAATAATAATAATAATAATAATAATAATAATAAGAATGGTAATAAGAATAAGAATAGTAATAAAAATAATAATGAAAAATACATTGAAAAAACTATTTAACTCTTTTAGAATTCGATGGGTATTTTGTTAATAAGTAACCTAATCACACCGGAGTTTCGATTAAATTGTTTCTGAGAAGATGATAAAGCACACCCACATAAGCATATTCAGGAGAAATTTACATGCGTATCTGAGTTTTGTTTTTTGTGTCGTTTGAAAGGTGTAAAGTGTAAACCTTTCAAATGACACAAAAAAAATGACGTGAAAAACAAGACAATTTTTTTAGAGCAGGGAAAAATATTTCTGCTTGTTAGTTTGTTTATTACCAAGGACGAGTATTTTTTTTTGTACTTAATTGAAAAATCGATAGAGTTCAATTTTTATGGTTAGAGAATTTTCTTTTTGATTCCTTGAAAACGAAGTGGAATGTTAAATTTTTCTTTTGAAAAATTGTTTGGAGTAAAGTAACAATTGTTTGGAGGGAGAAAAAGAGAAAGGGAATTGTTTATTTACTTTTGATTACAAATGTTTATGATTTTTTTATTGTTTTGTATTGTATTATTTTATTTTTACTTTTTATTTTGTTTTGTTTATTTTTTGGTCGTTTCTTTTGTTTATTTGTGCAAAATTAGATTTATATTTGTTAAAAGTTGTGGATATTATATGAAGGTTTTTTTCTGCAGTAAGTAATGGTCCCAAGGAGCATCGTCAGCAGCAACAGCAAGGGGAACATGGGGGAGCAGAAGACACTGGATTTGATTCCTGGCGAGGTGGCAATAATACACAGCATCACTCCAGCTATCCAATTGGCACAGGAGATCCCTACAGTCCCTATTATGCAGGAACATCCTTTCCTTATCAGACATTCGGTGCAGGCGATGGCACATGGTCAAATGGAACCGATCCAGTTGCATTTCTCTCAGGCTACGGTGGGCAAATAAGTCACGATGCATACGGAATGGACGGAATGTTCTCCGCCAATGCAGGCGGTGGTTTTGGAACTTTTGGTCAGCCGGCCTTTAATTATTTTCATGGCAATGGTGATTTCAATGCATGGGGAACGCCAAGAAAGGCGCGCTACGAGGACTACTATCAACAGCAGTCGCGCGGCGGTGAGAACTATCAGACTACGAGCGGAGGTGAGATGAAAGGAATGGAACAGAGTGTTCAGGGTCTATCAATTAGTGGCGAAGTGCCACGACAAGAGCAACAGCCAGTCGCTGCCAGTCAACCGAAATCAGAGCCCAAGGAACCGAGGAAAATCACATGGGCAAGTGTCGCGAGCCAACCAGCAAAGCCTGTGCCTCCTCTCTCATCAACCCAAGGGATGAAGAAAAAAGCTGGAATGCCTCCACCGCCCATCGTACCCGGCAAACACAACATGGACATTGGCACTTGGGGCGAGGGTAAATCTTCCATTCCACCACCAAAGGCGCCACCCCCGCCTCAAGTACAACCGCCACTGCCATCGCCACAGCCACCGGTTCAAAGACAGCGACCTCATCCATCCACTGCCCAACCCGTTTGGAATCGACTACCCACCAGTCCTCCACCGCAACAACCAAATCAACAGATTCAATTGCCGCCGCAAATTCAGCATCAACCTCCGCCCCCACCACCGCCTCCTCAACAGCAGCAGCAGCAACAACAACACTCTCATCATCACCATCCTCCTCAACATCATCAACAACAACAACAACCACCACCACAACCTCCACCGCAACAGCAAATGAATCCCCAACAGCAATTAATGGCAAACCCCGTTCTCGACGAACTAAAAGTTAAAAACGAATACAATCCCATCGAACTCGAGGAAATAGCCCCGAGTTCAAGATTTTTTGTTATCAAATCCTATTCCGAGGACGATATCCACAGATCAATAAAATATGAGATTTGGTGTAGTACCGAGCACGGTAATAAACGATTGGATCAAGCATTCAGAGAGGCGAATCGCGAGGGTGCACCATTATATTTGTTCTTTTCGGTGAATAGTTCGGGACATTTTTGTGGAATGGCACAAATGGTCTCGTCCGTCGATTATCAGAGTAATAGTTCCGTATGGTCGCAGGACAAGTGGAAGGGACAATTTCGTGTGCGTTGGATTTATGTGAAAGACGTACCAAATGGACAATTGCGTCATATTAGGTTAGAGAATAATGAGAATAAACCGGTGACCAATTCGAGGGACGCACAGGAAGTACCGCACGCAAAGGGCGTGCATGTTTTGCGTATTTTACATACCTATCGTCATTCGACTAGTATCTTTGATGATTTTGGACATTATGAGCGTAGACAGGCGGAGGAGGATCAGCGTAAGGTGCCAGTTAATCCAATACCACATCATCCACCAGCTAATCATAGGAATAGAGGGCATCCAAATGATATGCCGAGGGAGCATCATCAATATCATCAGCATGGACAGCAACATTCACATCCACCTCATCAGCATTCACAACATTCACGCGATCAACGGGGTGAACAGCAGCAACAGCATCAGCAGCAGCGTGATCAACGGGATCATCCTCATCAACGTGAACAACAGCAGCAGCAGCAGCGGGATCAACGGGATCATCCACATCCACGTGATCAGAGGGATCATCCGCATCCACGTGATCAGAGGGATCATCGTGATCAGCGCGATCATCCGCATCCCCGTGATCAGAGGGATCATCGTGATCAGCGTGATCATCCTCATCCACGTGATCAGAGGGATCATCGGGATATGCGCGATCAACGTGATCAGCGGAAAGTGAGTTGTTAATTTTTACGATCTTTGAAGTTCACAATCTATGATCAGGGCTCGAACCAGTGAAAGTATTTAAAAATACGGACTTTACGGACCAAAAATAAAAAATTACGTACCATTTACGGACGAATTACTGACAAAAATATAACCAGTCCGTGTCAAATAAGAGAACATTTTACTTAAAACTATAAATTAAATTCTTTATAACCATAAAACATGAAGATACCAATAACTCCGAGTCTTCGACTCGGAGTGATCGATTTCTTCATGTTTTATAATAATTAAAGATGACCGAGTGATAAAATTATTTACAATTCAATTATTATTCACAAGAATTTTTAACTAAAATTCTTTCTTTAAATCGATTATTTTTAATAATTTTCGAAAAAGTTCTTTGACAATTTTCAAATCCATTTATTTACAATATTTAATTTTACGAAATTACAATTATTCGTAAATTCTTTAATTAAATAAATATTAGAAAATAAAAACTTAAAATAATATTTAAAAAATTCAATGGGACTTTTTCAAAAAAATTAATTTCAAAATTTAATTACTTCTAAAAATTCACTCTATATTGCTTTTAATATTTAATTATAATCTAAAATTTAAACTGAAATTCATTTTTAAATCAATTTTTATTAGAAAATTCTACTGGAATTCAATTATTTAAATACAAAAATAAATAATTTATTGAATAATTGAATGTTTCTTAAAATTGAATTCTCATAAAGAATTTTATCAACAAATTTTTAAATAATTAAATTCATTCGACGAATTTTAATCGATTTTTCGAGAAATTCGATTAAAATTTTATTAAAAATAATTGAAATTCTGCAATGCAATTTTGCGAAGAATAATATTACTTTTGAAAATAATTGAATTTTTGCAATAATTTGTAACTTTTACAAAATTGAATTTTTTTTTTCGTGTTTTTAACTAAACATCTTTCATAAATCCATTATTTTTAATAATTTTTGAAAAAGTTTGAAGAATGAAAAAATTGATTTTTACTATTTATAGAGCATTTAAAGAAACTGTTTTAACATAGATTAAAAATTATAAAAAGTACCATTTCTATTCAATTTTTTTTATTTGAAAATTCAATTGTTTCTTTTTATAACTTATTTCAAATCATAATTTTTTAAAATAAAAAATGAAAAAATTATGATAAAAATATGATTTGAAATTAGTTATGAAAATAAATAAATGAATTTCTAAATAAAAAAAATTAATAAAAATGGTACCTATTAAATTTTTGAAAAATTCGAAAAAGTTGGGCTTCTAAAATATTTCAGTTCTATTTTTTAAAGACAATACAATTTTGGTAAAGAAATAATTTAAAAATTTTGAAATAATTGAAATTTACTAGAATCTTATAGACAATAATTGAAAAAATGCTTTAAAAAAAGTATACATAAGTCAATTTTTTCATTCGACAATTTTTTTGTGGGTATAAAAACATTTTCTACAAAATTACGGATGTATTTTTAAATTTATCAATTTTTAAGAAAAATGAAAATTCAAAAACAATCAAAATAAATTCGGACTGATTTTATTTTATGACTATTGAACTCCTCCCAAAAAATTAGTAAAAAAAACAATTTTATAGAATATTTAAATCATTTTCTTAATATAGTTGAAAATATAGACGAATCTTCAACTTAAAAACTTTGAATTTTCTTTGAATTTTCTTCCAACTTGAGAACTTTTAAATCACAATAAATTGTATAACAAAACTTTTTTTATTTCACTAAATAATGAAATTTTAGAATAACTTCCCTCAAGTTAATAATTCTAATTAACTTAGAAAAGATTTTAATTGAAGATATTTGCAATTTTCAGAATTAACTGAATTTCATAAGGTTTTAAACTAATTGTTTTATTCTTTTATATAAGTAAAAAATAATTAATTAATTTAATTAAATTCATCAAATTATTAAAAAAAATAATAATTTAAAATTTTAGTAAATACGAAATACTTCGAAAAATAATTCTTGAGATAATAAATTAAACAAAAGAACTAAAAAAAAATTTATTTTTTGAAATCTTAGAATAACAGACGTTTCTTTTACTCAAAATTTTAATTATTCATAAATCGGTTAAATTAAAAATTTCCTTTATGATTAAAATTTAGGATAGTATAAAAATTCTGTTAATTGATAATTTTTGTGAATGGAAATTTCTATTTTATGAAATTTTAGATTAAAATACTTTATTACAATACTTATAGAAATTGCATTTAATAATAATTCTGTTACATTTCGAGAGTCTGTTCTAAATCAAAATTTCTAAGTTTGAAATCTATTGATCCGATTAAATAATAGTGATTCTGCTAATTTATGTTTCTAAAGTTTTGAACGTTCAAATGAACAACGATATTTTTGGTATTTCTATTAATTTGTATTTTTTTTTATAAAAAATTATTTTGTACACTCAACAAATTAATTTTTAAGTTAACAAATTGTTTAATTTATATTATTTTTCATTACAATTTAATAATTTTTTGATATAAAAAAATTCATTTAAACGTTAAAAATTTTTGGACTGATTTAATTTTAAATTACCTGCTAAATGAAAATTACTTTAAAGAAAAATTTTTTTAAAAAAAAGTTTAAGAGAACTTATTTTATTTATTTATTTAGAATTAAACAGTCAATTTTGATTAATAAATGTTTTTAATAGAAATTTCATTGAATATATCTTTTTCTAAATTTTTTCAGTTAAAATTAAAAGTTTAAATAAAAGAAAATAAATTTAAAAAATATTTGAGCCAAAATGTTAATTTATATAAAACAAAAATTATTTTCTGTAAATTTTGAATTTTTATTTCAAATATATTTATTTTTTATTTATTTTTATTTATTCTTATTTAGTTTAGAAATTTATTTTATTATTTCATTTTGCTATTTTTATTTCTAAATTTAAAATAAAAATATTAACGTAACTTAAGTGAAATTTCATTTGTTATAAATTTTACATTCAAAATATAATTAATTGTACTTCTTAACTTTTTAAGAAACTTTATCAACAGCAAATAATAAAATTATGAATAATTTTGTTCAAAGGGGATATTTTAAAAAAATTTAATATTTTTTATCGTATCTTATTTAAATTTGTACTAGATTTTTCCGGCCTGATTAAAAACAATTCCGTTCTTTAGAATTGAAGACATTGATAATTATTTCTATTTGTACGTTTGTATGTATAATAATCATAAGACCTATTCAATTATTGTTTTCCACACTCTAGTTTCCAACAGCGAGTTATATTAGTATTAAATGAAATTAAAGTGTCTCTTCGAATCACTCTGAATTCAATTTCAAGGTCAATTCGAATCTCTTCCTCGATATTGATTCGTATTAATAAGTCGGAAATTTGAAGAAAAGGAAATAAATATTGTTTTTTTTAAATAACAATTACAATTACAAAAAATAGTACAACTTTAAAATTTTTATTTCTTTTATTTCCTTTTCTTTATTTTCTTTTCACTTTTATTTTTTCTTCCAATGAATATTTTCGATTTTTTCCATTCTCATTCCAATTATTAATTCGTAAGTTTCAAAAGGAAACAAAATAAGAATTACAAATACTATTTATTTATTTTTTTAGGAACGTGACAATCGCGGCAGAGGCAGAGGGGGTCCTCGTCAGTAGCAACGGATTCCATCAAAGATTGAAATTGTGGCTAATAGTAAACGGCAACGAGGAAAAATGCTGCGACTAATTATCAATTTATTACTTATTCCTTCGCTTAACTCCCGGAATGACGAGAGGTTTCAATTCGTCGTGATTGGACCGAAGACGTCCACGCTACTCCATTTAATTAAACGATTAATCCGTACGATAATTAGCGTTGCAAACACAAACAAAAAAACTTGGTAAATATTATCTATATTCATAATTATTACGAACAACAACAACAACTTGACTTGAATTTACACAAGGGCTAACGGGAAACATTTGAGACAGTACGGGGCGCAAAGTGTGGTGTTTAACGTGCTACTATGTGTTTGACAAACATTCAAATTTAATAATTAAAAAAGAAAGAAAGAAAGAAAGAAAAAAGAAGAAACGAAATGAATGAATAATTATTAAAAAGAAAAATGAAAGCTGAAAAAAATGAATTGTGTGGGAAACCATCGGAACAAACAAGAAAAAAAAAACTTTATGTGGACATTAAACTCTTGTAAAATGCTTGACCATACTTTTGTTGAAACTGAAGAAATTCTATATATGCAAGAAGCGATATTATATTGCGAGTGTCGTTTGAATTAATTACTGTTTTTTGAAAACTCCAAATGAACGTTTAATCTGGTGCCTGCGATCGAACTGCGATTCTCGATTAATAAACAAAAGAAAAAGAACAATAATAATAATAAAAGAAAAAAAACGATGCAGGAATTTATCACAACGTTATAAGTTTAATTATACGGAGTAAAAGAAAATCGATGGATAATAACAGAAATTATTGTCAAAAAAAAAAAAGAAAAATGGTTATATTTTAACCATAAATCTATTGCCTAGAGTGAATTATAAAATTTGCAATTTGATAATGTCAATCATCAATTAAATTATTACGGCCAAAGGTATAATAAATTGCTAAAGAGTCCATGAGCCAAAGAGAAAATATTACGAAAATAAAATTCGTACAATTGTTGAAAGGATTCGATAATTATTATTTAATCTCTCCATGCTTTATTACAGTTGAGACATCTTTTAACATTAACTATTTATTAATTATTAATTAATTAGAAAAATCTTTAGGAAATTCTTTTATAATCACTTGATTCTTTTGCTTAAATTGAGCATTCATTAATATTTTATGTTATAAAATGTAATATTAATTGTAACATTTAAATTATGTTAATTATTTATGATATTGATAATATAATAAGTAATTTTATTATTAAAACAATTATTGATTTTATTGATAAAACAATTATTAAGAGTTCACTGATATTTTTAACTATATCAAGAAAATAATCAAAATATTCCATAAAATTGATTTTCTAGTAATTTTTTGAGAGGAATTCAATGGTGAAAAAATATTGTTACCATTTTTGAATTTTATTTTCTTCAAAAATTGCTAGATTTTGAAATCTATGCATAATTTTGTAGAAAATATGTTTTTGTAATCATAAAAAAATTGCAGAATGAAAAAATTGATTTTTACTATTTTTGAAGCATTTTTTTTTTAACTTTGTTTTTAGGCTGGAAATTCTAAAGAAATGGATAATTTATAAATAAATTTCAAAAATATTATTCAATTACATTTTTTATTTCAATATTTATTTGTTTATTTTTCTAACTAATTGCAGGTCACTTTATATGTAAAAATTAAAAAATATAAGAAATTATGAGTTTTTTGTTCATAAGTCGTATTTTTTTAAACTTTGCTTTTAGGCTGAAAATTCTAAAGAAATAAATAATTTTTAAATAAATTTCAAAAATATTATTCAATTTTTTTATTTGGAATTTTATTTATTTATTTTTCTAATCTCAATTTCAGATCATAGTTTTTTAATATAAAAATTTTTAAATTATTAAAATAAAAATAATAATATAATTATATAATATTATATTATATTATATATAATATTATAATATTATATTATTATAATATTATATTATATTATTATTATTATTATTATTATTATTATATTATTATTATAATATTATATTATATTATATAATTATATAATATAATTTTTTTTAAATTATATGATACTTAAAATTATAATTTTGAAATTAGTTCGAAAATAAACAAATGAATTTTCAAGTAAAAAAAATTAAATAACAATGGTATTTTTTTAGCATTTTTAACCTTAAAACAATTTTTTTTGTAATGCTTCTAAGATAGTAAAAATCAATTTTTATTTTCGGTAAATTTTTTTGTTAATACAAAAACATATTTTCTACCAAATTACTTATGAATTTCAAAATTTGGCAATTTTTAGAAAAAATAAAAATTGAAAAAGTGTCAAAATATTTTCTGGACATTTAATTCCTTTCAAAAAATTACTATATAAAAACAATTTTGTCGAGTATTTAAAATATTTTCTTACAGTTAAAAATAGCAGTGGAATCTTCCCTTAAGTTTATTAATGAAATAATAATTATTAATTTTGTTAATTGTTAATAATTGAATTAAAATTTCTTTTCTGATAATACATTGATTAATAATCAATTATTAAATTTAGTAATTTACTAATTAATTAGTATCTTAAAGTAGTAATTAATTTACTAATTAATTTTAAAATTTTCCTTTCTTTTATCAACATATTAATATCAGTTAATGTTAGAAGAATACCAAGAAAAATATTGCACTGCTTTTTAAATATGCAAAAACAAATGGAGAATATTTATTAATTTTGACAAAATTTCTTGATTTTAATCGAATTTATATTATGTGGTCTATATTGATGATTGATTTATTGAGAAGAATATGGCAATGGCGATAATTACAATTAGTGTTTGTAATATTTTGATTGTGAATTTGCGATTAATGATTTTCATTGTTAATAATGTCTGTTATTACTTTTTCTCTTTTAGAACAAGGTTTCTTCAGAGAAAAAAAAAATGCGAATTCTCTTCTGTTTTTCCTTTTTTTTTTCTTTTCTTTTTTTTTTTTTTTTGCAAAAACCAGTTTTATAGTTGAAAAAATTTCCCTTCCGCCATCAAGTGTTTTTGTTCCTTCTTTTTAAAAGTGAAATTTACGCCATTTTACATTGATATTTAAAGTTTATAACTTTATATGAAAAAACATCTGGCGGTATTAATAATGCGCTAAAAAGGAAATGTGAAGAAAATGCTTTCCACAGTCGTATGATATTTTTGTATCTACTTTTGTAGCACTTGTTCAATTGCTGACTGAGTGAGACTATTATAGTTATCGATTTCATATTTTTTTTCTGTCGAATTCAAGAAAATGACGATTATTTATTTCTCGCAATCAATTTTTTTGTGTGAGTGCGCTGGATAATTTTTGTTTTCGGGGGATTTGAATAAGAAGGAAAAGGATTTTTTTAAATGTAATTTTTTATTAATTTCTTTTTGCTATTGCTGTTTTTTTTCAGTAGAATTTATTATTTACGAATATTATATTGAGTAAAACAATTGTAAATTTTGACTTATTTTTATTTTTACGATTATTATAATTATTATTATAATTATCATTATAATGATTTAAATTCAAATTACTGTTTTTGAATTTAATTGAATTGATTAAATTGTAGAAAGTTCTGAATTTAATTTTTTTTTCTCAATGAATTTAACCATTTTAGAGATGAAATGGTACGAATGTGAATTTTTACATAAATGTTAATGCGAGAAATGAAATTCGTAATGGCCTTTTTTTCAAGCATTTTCAATAATTGTCAACTCTGTGTTAGCTGCAAAGGAGGAAAAAAATACTTTTTTTCCCCAAAAGCTGAGCATTATAAGCGCACACGCTTCTTTGAAATACACATCAAGATCGCCAGCTCTGAAAATTTTTTTCATGGACTAATTTAAAAAAAAATGATTGAAGAGAGTATTTTTTTTGTTTTTTGAAATTGCTCTCTAATTTGGTGTTTTGAGAAAATGTTGTGCCTCCGTTTTAACGATGAGTTTTGCAGCACGAGAATGTAAATTGTTGTAAATTACTAAAAAAGCTTGTAATTGCAAAAAAAAAATTGATTTGAGCGATGATTTTTATTTACGCAAGCAGGTGTGTTTATGAAAGTGACAATTTTGTGGATATTTTCTCTCTTTTTTTTCGATTTACTGCAAGATACTGCGCCTTTTTTTTAATTGTGAAATTAAAGTTTAAGACACTTTAGGTGCCTTATAAGTTTTCACGAGACACTGAAATTTGGAGTTTTTACAAATTTCTCTCTTGCGGTGCTGGGAATTTTGATTTTTGCAGTTCCGTTTGCCTCTTCGTAGTTCAATTGGCCCGTCTGTAAAGGAATAGAAATAATTTTTTTTCTCTTTTTCCAGTTTTCAAAAGGAACATTTTTAAAAAATGTGTAAAAAAAATTATATATATATATATATATATAATTGTAAAAGTGTTATAAAGTTTGAAAAATCAGTTTTGCTGACAATTCAAAAGAAATAATCGATTCACACTTTTCTATTTTATTCTCTCTGTTAATTTTCTATTCAATTTGAATTATTTTAATTTATATAATATAAATTAAAATAAATAAAATATTGAAATTAAAAAAAAATTGATTGACTAGTTTATAAATTGCCGAGGAGATTTTTTTTGGATAAATTCCAAAATATAAATAAGTGGATAGAGGAAATTTCTTTGAATTTCAATGTTGAAAAATAGGTAAATCAATATTTTAGAACTATTTAGTTATTTATGGAAATATCGAGTGACTTACTTCGAACTTTTTGTTGCGATCGGATAAGTAATAAGTTGGCTCGTGAATTATATCATTTCCCAGAATTTCTTTTCGTCTGACGGCTATTGGATACTTTTGATTTGTTTCAATCTAGGAAATTGAGGATAATTTAATAAATCATTAAAATAGAATTAAAAATTTCCAGACTGTTGAAATTTTCCGTTATTTCTAGAGATTAAATTAATTATTTTCAGAAGTAAATTTATTACCTTATCAGTCCATTGAATTTCGCTATCAAATTTATTTTTCTCTTTATTGGATTTGTAAAATTCCTTTTCTTGAAGCCGATTTTCGATCAAATCGCCACCACACGAAGGAATTTTTTGTATTAAATTTTCCTCATTAATTTTTTCAATTTCGGCTTTATTTTCAGATGTTTCTAAACAATTCTCCATTTCATAGGCATTTTTTCCTGTTTCTTCGATTAATGATTCTTCGTTCTCAATAATTTTCGAATTTCTTTCGAGTAATCCTAAATGAAGAAAATAATCTCTCATATTATTCTTTAAATTTTCGTTGAATTTTTCCTTATTTTCCTCTATGTATCGATAGACGAATAAATCGGCACCAGTGATGATGAAATAATGATTGAATGCATTAATTTTTGTTCCAATGAAAAAATCCTCGGGACCGTAAAATTCGGGATTATCAATATTACAGTCGGGTTTTTTAATTTTTCTGGCTGATAAAAATGTTCCACCTTTTCGGCCAGAATTTGGTTTGATGCATTCGTTTATTTGAATTTTTCCTGTACTTAAATTGTATTCGAGAATAAAGGAGCGTGTATCGTCTTCGGGATGTACGGCGTCCATTTTCATCGAATATCGTAATTTATGGGGAAAATTTAAAATTTGACGGACAATGGAATCTTTTTTTGGTACATAGTCGTGAGATGAGAGTTTATAATTTAGAGATTTTTTGTCTTTTAGTGAACAATTGAGACGTGGTGCTTGATCTATTCCCAATATTTTCGAATAATATCCTCTCGTAAAATTGTCGCAATCGAAGAGAAGGAATTGTCTTCCGAAAATTAAAATCGTTTCTCCCACCTGTTTAAAATAGTATTTTTTTTTTGGTCAAATTGATAATTTTTTCTTTTTATGCAAAAATTGGAAAAAAGGAGAATTTAATACAAGAATTGTCGTGGGTCAGGAAAATCAGAAAAATGTCAGGGAAAATGAAATTCATCAGGTAAATCAGGGAATTTAATCAAAAGTGCTGGAAAAATATCAAATTTCTAGAATTAATACAAAAATTCTGATTTTTAGTATTCAAAACCATTTTTGAAAAATTTGAAAAACTTTCAATTCTCATAGAATTTTTTATTATCGTTGAGAACTTTTTAGTCACAATTTTATGAATTTTAAAATAAAATCTACCCTAATTTTTCTTATTTGTGTAAATAATTAAATTAATTTTAAAAAATTAAATTCTGGAATAACCTTTTTAAAGTAATTTAGAAATTTAGAAAAAAAATTTTATTTAAAAATTATTGCAATTTACAAAAATAATTAATTAGAATAAATAATTAATAATTATAATAATATAATTATTATATTATATATTATATATATATATTATATTATATATATATATATATATATTATAATTATTATAATTATTATTATAATTATTAATTATTTATTCTAATTAATTATTTTTGTAAATTGCAATAATTTTTAAATAAAATTTTTTTTCTAAATTTCTAAATTACTTTAAAAAGGTTATTCCAGAATTTAATTTTTTAAAATTAATTTAATTATTTACACAAATAAGAAAAATTAGGGTAGATTTTATTTTAAAATTCATAAAATTGTGACTAAAAAGTTCTCAATTTGTTTAAAAAATTGAGTTTTGAAAGAATAGTACAAAAATTGAAATAAATTTTTTTAACAATTGAATTTTCGAGGTTTTTTTCAAAATTCTAAAAAACTTGCTTTTTAATATTTCAGTTTTATTTTTTAAAGGTTATTAAATTTTTATAAAGAATTAATTGAAATTGAATTGAAAATACAATTAAATTCGTTAAAGAATTTAATGAGAGATTATAAAAAAAATTAAATTTTCAAAGAATTTTAATAGAATAATTTGATAAAAAAATTTATACTTTATAAAATTCAATTTTTTTTTGTCAATTATTATATTAAAATTCATTGAAAACTCGATTTTTAACTATCTCTCATTAAATTCTTTAACGAATTTAATTCAAAATTCAATTTCACGAAATTTTAATTAGTTTTTGAAATAATTAAATTTTTCCAAAATTCTATTAAAAAAAATTGAATTTGTTAATGAATTTTAATAGAAATTTTTTAAAAAACGAGTTTTTAATAAATTTTAATAGTTAATTTACAAATTTATTTTAAAAAGATTGAAATATAATTTTTTTTTAAATTGAGTTTTCGAAAAATTGAATTTAAACTTCAGAAAAATGAGGTTTTTAAAATAGTTCAGTTGAATTTTTTTGCGAAATAATTGAATTTTTATAAACAAGTAATTGAAATTTTTTAAAATAATTGAAATTTCCAAGAATTTTACTAAAAATAATTGAATTTTTAAAAAAATTTTAATTTTAATTCTTTGAAATAACGGAGGAAAGGGAATTTTTTTGGAAATCAGTAAAATACGTATTTTTGCTGAAATTCAGTTTGGAAAAACAGGGAAAAACGAAATCGAATTTTTGTGGCAACTTTGAGTATACCTTTAAATCGTTTGGTGAATAATATTCCACCATTTCAAAATCTCCACGTTCTAGAGACATTCCAGGATATGATCCGGGCACGTCTTTCCAATTTTTAGGAATTCGGGTCTTTTTCAGAAATACTGAGACCGGATCTTTACCATCGTTCGGTCGATGAATTTCCCGAATACTAATTGTATTGTCTGTTAAGAAATAGAGAATTTGATAGGAATCATCTTCTTGCATTGCGTCGAATACTAGAACCATTCCGTCGTATTGGAAAAATCGTCTTCTTGGATCATTTTCAAATTCATTGATTCCAGTGGTATTGGTTTTCTGTTCAGTCGATCGATTTAAAATATAGGGATCAATTGGTGGCTCTTCCTTATCGCCGACGTCGATTCCTTGACTCGTCATAAATTCTCTTGTGAACTTATCGCAATCGTAGGTGTGATAGAGAACTCCATAAATTTCTAAAAATAAATTTTGAATGTTAATACGAGCCCAGAAATTTCTAAAAATATTTTTTTCATTTTAATATGTACCATTTTCTGTTCATAAAAAATTTCAAAAATAATTTCTCGAATTTAATGTGTACAATTTTTAGTTCGTGAATTTTCAAAAATAATTTCTGTATTTTAATTACAAGTCAAATTTCTAAAAATAATTTTTAGATTTCACTATAAGTCCATAAATTTCGAAAAATAATTTTTAGTTTCCAAATAATACAATTTTTGTTAATTTAGAAAAGATATTTTAGAAAAAATTAAATGATTTTTTTACCGAAATCAATTCCCACATTTAAATGCTTCCAATGATAAAATCCATTCTGATTGCGAGTAATTTTTCCTCTTCTCACCAGTGTACCTTGATTAAATCCAGCATTATCAATTTTCGGCTCTACTATCGATAAAGTGTCATTTTCCAAATAGTAAATAATATTCACGTATCGAATGCGAAAATTCTCAGTTTGTGAGCCAAAGACTTTCTGTCGAAAATACGCTTTAAAACATAAACATTTTTGTGAATAAAGTTTATAATGTGGAACAAATTGTCGATATGGATAGAATTTAACACGTCCGTAAGTTAGTGCTGGATCGTAACTAAAAAAAAGAACATTCATCAAGTAATTAATTTTTATCATCTATAATTTATAGTTTATTATGAAAATTTTGCTGCAAAATTAATTAATGAAATTTAATTTAATTGAGAATTTAATTAAGGATATGCACTATACGGTGTCGTTTTCATTCGCATATGCACTGGAAACAGCATCAATTGGCTTTGGACCAATTCCAACGTCTGAATCTCGTATCACTCGTATTCCATTTGAGAATCCGAATTTTTGTTTTAGTTTGTAATCTCGAATCTAATTTAATTTTTTAATTAAGGAAGAATTAACTTTTTGGTTATATTTTTTTTTTAAGAAGAAGAACACAATCACTTACTGTTGGATTCTGAAAAGTGTAGCCGGGAATAAAGGGTAAACCCTCCATTTTTTCAATTAAAATTTAAATAAATCCAGTGGAACAATATAAATTAACTTTTTAAGCAAATAAATAATGAAATTTAAAAATGCTAAATGTAACCAAATTCTCAATTTGACAGTTCGGCTGCTTATTATTGATTTTGAAACTATTGTCTGCTTTTGTCAACAAGTCGTCGTTAAGGGAGTAATTATTCAGAGACAATACTTTTCAAAATAACACCATAACGAATTTTTAAATTAACTATTTATTATTAATTTTTTTATTTTATATTCTATTTTTTTATTTTCTTGTTTTATTGTTATTTTATTTCTTGTTTATTTTATTTTCTTTAAAATCGAAACGATGTTTAATTAAAAAAAATTGTTGAGATTTTTAATTTAAAAAAAATTGTTGAGATTTTTTATTTAAAAAAAAATTGTTGAGTTTTTTTTTATAAAAGAAACAAAAGATTTTAAGTTAAAATAATGTTTAATATCTTTAAAAATGTTTGAAACGATTACAAATTATATAATATTTATGTATGTATAATAATAAAGGCATGAAGTTTTTTGTTTTTTTTTCTTTTTTGTGTTTTTTTAATATTTATTTCTTAATTATTATTGACAACAGTAGCGTTGGATGGTATTTGCTAAAAACAATTTTTCTTAAAAAAAAAAAAAAAAAAATATGTTTTATTTACGTGAAAAAAAAATTAGAAGCTAATTACTTCTTTGAAAATTGCCATGCAGCCTGCTGATAACAAACCCGCCACTGGAACAGTGACTATCCAGGCGAAGGCAATATTTCGGAAAAGTTTCCAGGAAACACCTTCACCACCACGTGATGCCCAGCCCACGCAAACAACGGAACCCACTTTACAATGAGTCGTTGACACAGGTAAACCAGCCTTACTTGCCAACAATACTGTTAAAGCAGCTCCTACCTGTCAAATCAGTTTAATTCAATTATTACATAATCAAAATTTATAGTAATTGAAAATTATTTCCATATATGAAAAAATTTTTCTTTCAAATAATTTTTTCCAAATAATTAATAATTAATTATTTTTATTTAATTAATAAATGGGCATAACTTGTTCTTGTCCGTTTATATTGAAATAAATTTATTTATTAATTAATTATTTAAAAGTAAAAAGTCAGGAATTTATATTTTTACTAATCATTTAGAAAAATATAACTGATTGTCACTTTTCACTTTTAATCAGTTCCCTTTTTTTTTTTTACTGAAAATCAGTTATTTTTTTAGTGACAATCGGCTATTTTTGACTGATTCATATTAAACGATTAGTGTTAATTATTAAGTTATTGCAATTAATTATTCTATTAATTTTATATTGATAACTATTACTTTTTAGATAATTTAATATTTTTAAATCTTCAAAAAGAGAAATTAGATTTACAGTAACAATGTCACAGATCAGCTTAATTTTAATAAAAAAATTATTTGCTTCAGACATTTTACGTAAATTTGACAAAAAAAAATTTCCACAAAAATTTGATTTTGTTTTTCCATAATTTTTCCTGATTTCTAAACATAATTTCGACTTTTTCCCTGATCATCAAAAAAAAAATTATCAAGACGAGTTCAATTATAAAAAAAAAATAAAAGTTTAAACCTTACCTTTTAACTTTATTTTATATTCATTTTAACGTTTTTATTCAGATTAAAAATAAAATTACACAATAACTCGATTATTTTCAAGAGTTTGAATAGAATTTTATAAAAATTAAATTATTTTTTCAATTATGCACTCAATTATAAAGATTCAATTTGTTTTTAAATAAGACTGAAATATTTTTTAAAAAAACCTATAATTTTTCTGAATTTTAAACAGAATTTTTCGAGAATTAAATTTTTTGGAAACATGCTATAAATAAATATTTTTAAAATTAACTAATAAATTAACTATTAATTAAAATTCGATAGATTAGTTTCTAATAAAATTCTTTAGAAATTAGATTTTTTCAAAATTTCTAATAAAATTCCTTAACAAATTAAATTTTTTAAAATGGAATTTGAGAAAAATTTTAATTATTTCAAAAATTTTCACTTACTTAAACTATAACAATATTGAATTATCTTTAAAAAAACTGAAATATTTTATTTTTTAAAAAAACCTAATTTTTTTGAATTTTAAATAAAATTCGATTTTTTTTCAAATCTCTAATAAAATTCTTTTAACAAATTGCACAAAATTTTAATTAATATGATCATTCTTTAATATATTTTGAAATTAGTTAAATTTGTCAATATATATTTAATTAATTATTAAAAATAATGGATTTATAGAAGAATTTTAGTTAAAAGATATTTTAAAAAAATTGAATTTTGAAGAAGTTACAAATGATTGCAGATATTGAATTATTTTCTAAAGTAATAAAATTCTTCGCAGAAATTCAATTATGTTCAGAACTTTTTAAAAATTCTCGTCCAAATTTCAATCATTTTTATAAATAAAAAAAAAATTTTCCAAAATTTAATAAAATTCTTGGTAAAATTTCAATTATTTTCAAAAATTTTCCCCAGTTTAATGATTTTTAATATATCTACCTACTTATTTAAAAAAATTTCAACGAGAATTCAATTATTTCAAAAATATTTTAATAAAATTCTACGCAAACATTTAATTATTTTTATAAATAATAGAAATTTCACAGGAATTCAATTACTTACCATTTTTTTTTATAAATTTCGTCGCAATAATTCAATTATTTTCAGAAATAATAACATTTTTTACAGGGATTCAATTATTTTCTTAAAAAATAAAACTCATCGCAGAATTTCAGTTCTTTTTAATACAGTGTCAATCAAATTTCTCGAAAAATGTATATTTCTTAAAAATTTTATTAAAATTTGTCAAGAGAATTCAATTATATTAAAAAATGTATTAATAAAAACCTTTATGAGGATTGAATTTTAAGAAACATTCAATTATTCAATAAATTATTTATTTTTGTACGTAAATAATAGAATTCTCGTAGTATTTTCTAATAAAAATTGATTTGGAAATGAAGTTTAGATAATAATTGAATATTAAAACCATTATAGCTTAAAATTTTAGAAATAATTGAATTTTGAAAATTTTTAAAAATCTGAATTTTTCATACTTTTAACTATGTAAATAACAAATCTGTAGAATTAATTTTTTTGAAAAAGTTTAATTGATTTTTTTAAAAAATTATTTAAAGTTTTTATTTTCTAATATAATATTTAATTGAAAAATCTCCAAATAATCGAAATTTCGTAAAATTGAATTGTAAACAAATGGATTTGAAAAAGTCAAAATTGTGTTTGGAAATCAGGGAAAAACAAAATTAAATTTTTGTATCAACCCTGATTAAATTTAAACTTAAAAATCGCCAACAGGGTTATTTATGGAACATCAGAAGTTAAATTAAATTTTTAAACAATTGATTTTCATAAAAAAATTTATGCAAATTCTATTTTAAATAATTGAATTAATGTAAGAAAAAAATTTTGTTTGAAAATAATTTAAAGTTTGAGTAGAATTTTTTAAAAACTTTTGTTTAATAATTAAATTCTTTCGGTAAATTTTATTAAAATACTAGAATATTGAAAACCATCGAAGTGAGAAAATTTTTTGAAAATAATTGAACTTTTGTCATGATTAAAATTTTAAAATAATTTTAAAATAATTTTTTTTTAAATTTTTGAAAATATTTAAATTCTTGTGATGAATGCTGTTATTTATGAAAATAATTGAATTTTGCAATGAATTTTATTAAAATTTCTCACAAATAATTTAACTTTGTCTAAGATTATTGTTATTTATTTATAAAGATAATTGAAATGTTGACCACAATTTTTTTTAGATTTTTTGAAAATAATTGAATTTCTGCGAAGAATTTAATTAATTTTTAAAATAATTAAATTCTTGTGATGAATATTGTTATTTATGAAAATAATTGTATTTTGCAATGAATTTTATTAAAGTTCCTGAATATAATTTGAATTTCGGCGAAGAATTTTGATATTTATAAAGATAATTTAAATATTGAGAATTCATCTTAAAACGTCAAGCAAATAAATTTCATTTTTAAGAATTTTAATTTTTCAAGGTTTTGTCATAAAATTCAAGATGCTTTCAAGATTTTCAAAGTAGCTGGACACCTCTGATTTTCCATAATTTTACCCCTTCGGTAATTATTAAATTTAAAAATCGATAATAATACCTCTATTGTGAATCCTGTAGTAGGTGTAATGCGAGCTAAATCCTGTCCCAATGTTCGAATAACTCTACGACCCCAAATCCAAAGTCCCGTTGAAATTCCCAAACCACCATAGAGAAGTATAAGCAATGGTGTATCTGCCTCTTGCTTAGCCGAACCTTCCGCATAAATAGCCCAAAGTGCAATTAACGGTCCAATTGCATTGCTAACGTCATTACCACCATGTGCAAAGCTACCAAAAGCAGCAGTTAACACTTGCAAAAAAGAAAATAATTTCGAAACATCTGGATGTTCTTCATTCATGTCAATTGTTCCCTGACCACCTTCGGCATCGCCAGCAGCCATTAGTAATGGACTCGCACTATTATTGCCCCTCAATTTTGGTGCATCCAAACTCGACATTTCCGTGCCACTTGCAACTGGACCATTCTCAGCAATCACTGATAATGCCGTTGTTTCTTTCGTTTCACCCGGACTGAAACCCGCATTTCTACCTGTACTATTGTGTGATGAAAGTATCTTCTTTCGTTCATATGGGACTAAAAATATATAAACAATCACAGCTGACAATAAGCCGATACCAATCGACGCCGTTACACTTACCCACCAGGGTAAATTATCCAGCATTAAAACTGAAAAAGAAAAAAAAGACAAAATTAATATTTTTTTTTCTAAATCGAATAAATTAAAATAATAGATAATTAATTATATAAATCTTAAATTATTAAAAATAAAATTGAAAATGAAATTTATTGCAAATATTGGAATGAAACAGGCTTCGCACTCATCTACAAAAATCTACTATTTACTATTTTTTTACGTTATGCTAAGTACTATTTGGGTACTTTTTTTAGATTTCAGCCACTAACATCTAGTATTTGTTTGTTTTTTTGTTTTTTTTTTTTGACAATTTCCACTAAATTTCTATTATTTTTAAAACTACTTTAAATTAATTAATCGAAAAATTCAATTATTTTCACAAATAAAGTTAAAAATATTTAGAAAAAATTAATTATTTAAAACAATGTTTATAGGTAATATTCTTATGAAGAATTCAATTATTTTCAAAAATAACAATATTTTTCACAGAAATTCAATTCTTTTTAAACATTTGAATAAAATTTTTCGCAATAATTCAATTATGTTCAAATATTTTAATAAAATTGTTCGAAAGAAATAAAGTATTTTAAAGACAATTTTAATCAAAATTTTTTAAAATAATTCAATTATTTTAAATAACTCAATTAGTTACATAAATAATTCTTCGAAAAAATTGAATTATGTCGATAAATAATAAAATTATTCCCTAAATTTCAATTATTTTGAGACATTTTAATAAAATTCTTTCCAAAATTCAATTATTTTGATAAATAACAATATTCATCACAAGAATTCAATTATTTTTAAAATTAATAAATTTCTTCTTGGAAATTCAATTATTTTCAAAAAAATTTAATAAAATACGACACAGACATTCAATTACAGTCAAAAATTTTAATAGAATTCTTTGTAAAATTTAATTATTTTTAAAAAAATTTGAGCAATTCAATGATTTTCAATATTTACTATTTTCATAAAATTTCTGAAGAAAATTCAATTACTTAAAAAAATTTTTGTAAAAATCTTCGTAAGAATTCAATTATTTTCATGAATAATAAAAATTTCTCAGGAATTCAATTATTTAAATTAGAATTTACATAAAATTAGTCGAAAGAAGTCAATTATTTAAAAACTAGCTAATGTTACGCGCGCGGAACGAGGTGTTCAATTTATTATTGTTATGCAAATTACAAAATTTTTTATTTTCAAATATAAATTTTTAAATAATGTCATAATCAAAATTTAAAAAATTCACTTATTAAGTACAAAATTAATTATTACTGTTCACATTTTCAAAAATTTTAATAAAATTTCATGAACGAATTCAATTATTTTCTGAAATTTTAATAAATCCTTCTAAACAATTTAATTATTTTTTAAAAAGTAAAATCTTTACAAAAATTCAATTATTTTCAAAACAATTTTAATTGAATTCCTCGGAAGATTTCAATTAAAAAAAAAAAATGTTAACACATTTCGAAAAAATTCTATAATTTTTATAAATAGTAAAATTCTTTGGAGGAATTTCATTATTATCAAATATTTCTATACAATTCTTTATAACAATTGAATTATTTCTTAAAATTTTAATAAATTCTTCTAAACATTTCAATTATTTTTATAAATAGTAAAATTTTTCGCAATAATTCAATTATTTTTAAAAATAGTAAAATTTTTTGCAGGAATCCAATGATTTTCAAAACAATTTTGATTGAATTCCTCGGATGAATTAAAATATTCTTAAATATTTCCATAAATTTGAATTATATCCTAAAATTTGAATAAATTCTTCGAAACAATTCAATTATTTTTATAAATAGTAAAATTCTTCGCAAGAATTCAATTATTTTCAATTCACTTTTAATAAAATTCTTTATCATAAAATCCAATAATTGCTTTCAAAATTTTCAATTAAAATTATTAAAGAAACTCCATTAGTTGAAAAAAAATTCAAAGAAATTTTTCAAAAGAATTTAATTAGGATTTTTAAAAATTTTAATAAAATTCTTTGCTAGAATTCAGTTTTTTTTTGGGTTGTCAAGTTTAATTTTTCGATAGCTACTTTTTTAAAATTAATTATCGAGTGCGAAGTCTGATGAAATAAAATGATTAAAATATTGTGAAAAATTTGTTAGGAAATTATGAAAAATGACATACGTTTCGGTCCATCGTGTGCAATAGAAAGAACATTAATAGCAATAGTAAGGCCATAAGCGAGAGGCAAAATATTTAGACCCTGCTTTAAAGGTTCATTGGACAGTAACACAGTCTTCCTGATCAGCCAAAATATAATTACTGAGACGGTGCCACTGAGAAGGGGACTCGCAAACCACGAGGCTGCTATGTTTCTTAGAGCAGACCATTTTACCTATTTTGATTGGAGCAAAAAAAAAAGAGAGAAGAAAAAAATTAGTGAAAAACAAATTTGATGTTTAATTTTCGAGGCATTTTTTTTCTATTTGCCTTTACATACCCCTGCCGTTCCCCTGCATACAAGAGAGAAACCTACAGCGGCGCCAACAATAGAATGCGTACCGGAAATTGGAAGTCGCAGGGCAGTTGCCACCAATAACCAGACAGCAGAACCACCTAATGTCGCCAATGATCCCAGCATCAGTTCCTTCTCGTGGCCCACGTACAGGGAAACGTCCAATATACCCTTGCGCATCGTGTCCGATACCTGAGAAAATTTTTTATTATTTTTATTATTAAATTAAAAATTAAATTAGAAAATTAATCATTTTTAAATTTTATTTTTTTATTATCTATTCTATTCATTCGACTTATTTGTTCTATTTTATTTATTTCTCTTTCTTTTATTTAATTTCTTCTATTCTATTCTATTCTATTCTAGTTATTTATTCATTATCTATTCTATTTTATTCTATTTATTTTCTTGTCCCTAGTTTAAATTTTACAAGAAAATGAATGGAATTTTGAATAAAAGTCCAAATCCAACACCAGGAAATTTTTTGATATTTAAATATTTTTTAATTAAAAAATCAAATAAATAAAATTTTAATGAATTGAAGTTAAGAAAAATTCAAATGGAAATAAAAATTTGCTGACTAAAAAAAATAAACTGCAGGGTTATCACAGATCAGGAAAAAGTCAGGGAATTTTATCAAAAGTACTGGAAAAACTATTAAATTTCTAGAAGTGATAAAAATATTCCGGTTTTTGGTGTCCACGTTCAGCAATTTTTGAAAATATTAAAAACATGTTGAATTGAAATTGAAAATTGAAACTTCTTTAATTTTTTTATTCGCCTCATAAATTTTAATAAAAAACTTTAATTTTTTCTAATATTTCTAATATTTTACTCAACTTTTCAGTTTTTTACAAATAATTGAATTCTAAAAAGGTTTTAAATTTTAAAATTTTAAAAAACTTCATTTTTGTGGAAAATAGAAAGATTTTAAATATTTAATTTACAAACAAATTACAATTACAAATTTAATTAATAAGTTTACTTGCTAAACAAACTATTTATTAAAAAACTGAATTTTAATAATCAAAATTATAATTTTTTTGAATAATTAAAGTGTCTTAAAATTCCATTTAAAAAAAAATGAATTAGTTAGAGAATTTTATTAGAAATTTTCAAAAAATTGAATTTTTAAAGAATTTTTTTCGAAATTCTTGAAAAAATCGAATATTTAAGAATTTTGTTAGAAATTTTTGACAAATTGAATTTTTAATGAATTTTAATTAACACAGTTCATTTTTTAGTCAATTTTAAAAAGATTGAAATATGAAATTTTTTTAGAAAATTGATCTTTCCAAAAATGTTATCAAAAATTGAGAAAAATAAGGTTTTTAAAATATCTTAGTTCAATTTTTTTTTAAATAATTGAATTTTATAATTAAAATTTCAAGTAATTAAAAATTTTTTAAATAATTGAAATTTCTTAAAATTCTATTTTAAAAAATTGAATTAAAGAATTTTATAAGAAAATTTGAAAAAATTGAATTTTTAAAGAATTTTATGCGAAATTTTGAAAATATCGAATATTTAAGAATATTGTTAGAAATTTTTGACAAATCGAGTTTTTAAAGAATTTTAATTAACACAGTTCATTTTTTAGTCAATTTTAAAAAGATTGAAATATGAAATTTTTTTAGAAAATTGATCTTTCTAAAAATTTTATCAAAAATTCAGAAAAATAAGGTTTTTAAAATATCTTAGTTCAATTTTTTTTTTAAATAATTGAATTTTATAATTAAAATTTCAAGTAATTAAAAATTTTTTAAATAATTGAATTTTACAATAAAGTAATTAAAAATTTTTTAAATAATTGAAATTTCTTAAAATTCTATTTTAAAAAATTGAATTAAAGAATTTTATAAGAAAATTTGAAAAAATTGAATTTTTAAAGAATTTTATGCGAAATTTTTGACAAATCGTGTTTTTAAAGAATTTTAATTAAAATAGTTAATTTATTAGTCAATTTTAAAAAAATTTGAATATAAAATTTTGTTAGAAAATTGATCTTTCTAAAAATTTTATCAAAAATTCAGAAAAATAAGGTTTTTAAAATATTTTAGTTCAATTATTTTTAAGTAATTAAATTTTATTGTCAAGTAATTGAAATTTCTTAAAATTCTGTTTAATAAAATTAAATTAGTTAGAAAATTTTATTAGAAATTTTTAAAAAATTGAATTTTTAATGAATTTTATTCGAAATTTTTAAAAAATCGAATATTTGATCCAAATAATTAATCTTTTGAAAAAATGGTTGAAAATATTTGATCGATATTTCTATAAATTGTCTCTGTTTAGAATTCAATTCCCTATATTTTGATAGTAGATCGGGGAAAAAGTCGAAATTCTGTCTGGAAAAATTTGGAAAAAACAAAATCAAATTTTTGTGGCAACCCTGAACTCGCTTCATGGAATCTGAAAGGGTCAAATTTTGTACATAACAGAAAAATAACAAAAATGGAAAACAAAAAGTAAGAAAAATAAATAGATAATAAATAAATAATAATATATATATATAAAAATAAATAAATAATACATTGAAAAATTAAGTTCACCTTGTATCCTATGAGAACAGCTCCAGCGATTTCGAAAATGGTCGCAAGGATACAAGCCTGAAATATCGTGAGTACACCAGCTCCAACGCTGGTTCCAAAGCTGTTTGCAACATCATTGGCTCCAATTCCAAATGCCAGGATAAACGCTACTATAAATCCTATAACGACGATCCAAATCAAATTAATGTCGTACGCTTCAGTCATTGTTGTCCTTTATTTATTTAATTTTTTTTTTATTGTACTTTTGAGCTTTCGCAAATATAAAACTTAAACCTCAAAACCCTTATACAATATTATTTATAAGTTTTGAAACAAAACTTAATTTCACTTTTCGTCTGTGGATTATTTTTTTTTCTTTTGTGACTCTTGTCTTATGAGTGAACTTTTCTTTTCTTTTTTTTTTACTTGGAAGATACACTCTTGATTTGAAAAATTCTTACTTGTTATAATGTCATACATAAATAACTATTAAGAATATAATCATTTAGCAATATATCTATTTTCTCTTATTTTCTTTCTAAAATGCTAAATTCTGTTCTTGCAGCTTTGTACACGTTAATATAACAGAGGTAGTGTTTCGGTGCAGCACCGTCTTCGAGTAATCTTTTCATTTTTTTGTTTTTTGAAGGTTTTTTTTTGTTTTGTTTTTTGCTTTAGGGAATGATATTTACAGATTTATTGGTGGATTTTGTTAACAAGTAGTGTCTATTGTGTCAATGAATTTCTTTAATTTTAAACTACTCTCTTGGAATTTAGAATTGATCTCTAGGAATGTTCTCCTCGCGTGGTTGCACGCTAACCGCTGCGTTATCCTCATCTGAAAATTATTTTTCAAATATTAATTAATTATGCAAATTACCACAAAATTTTATTTTCAAATGTAAACATTATTTTTTGAATAATATTAAATTCAAAATTCAAAAAAAAATCAAATTCTCATAAATAATATTCTTTGGAAGAATTCAATTATTTTAAATTGTAATAGAATTCTTCGAAAAAAATCAAGTATTTTTATCATTTTTTCGAAATACAATTTTAATAGAATTCTTCCAAACAATTCAATTATTTTTATAAATAATAAAATTTTACGTAGGAATTAAATTTTTATTTTCAAAACAATTTTAATAAAATTTCACGAAAGTATTCAATTATTATTAAACAATTTTCAAAAAAATTCAATTATTTATTTTCAATTTTAATAGAATTCTTCGAAAAAATTTAATTATTCTTATAAATTGTAAAATGTTTCACAAGAATTAAATTATTTTTATAAATAATAAAATTCTTCTTAGAAATTCAATTATTTTCAAAAGTTTTGATAAAATTCTTTGTAAATTTAAATTATCTCCAAAAGTTTCAATTAAAATTATTTTAAAAGCTCCATTATTTTAAAAAAATTCAATTAAATTCTTCTAAAAAATTCAATTAATTTAAAAAATTTTAATAAAATTCTTGACAAGAATTAAATTATTTTTACAAATTAGTAAAATTTTTTGTGAAAATTCAATTATTTTCTTAATGTAATTTTAATAAAACTTTTCGAACAAATTCAATTATTTTTAAAATTTTCTAAAAAAATCAATTATTCTCAAAAGTTTTGATAAAATTCTTTATAAATTCCAATTATCTCCAAAACTTTGAATTAAAATTATTTAAAAATAATAGAAATGCATCAAATTTAAAGAATTTAAAGAATTTTAAAGAAATTATTCAAAAAGGTTTAATTAATTACGAAAAATCTAAAAAAATGTTTAAAAGAATTTTAATTTCTATCAATAATTTAAATAAAATTTATTTAATAAGAAAATTATTCATTACAGTTCTTAGTAAACACAATTATTTTAAAAACTTAAAAGAATTTCTTCATAACATTCAATTATTTTCAAAATGTTTAATAAAAATTATTTAAAAAGCTTAATTATTTTCAAAAAAGTCAATTAAATTCTTCTAAAGAATTCAATTATTTTTAACAATTTTAATAAACTTCTTGACAAGAATTAAATTACTTTCAAAAATTTAAATAATATTCTTTGGAAGAACTCGATTATTGTCATAAGTAATAAAATTACCAAAATTTTTTGTGAGAATTCAATTATTTTCAACGCAATTTTAATAAAATTTCTCGAAAGAATTTAATTATTTTCAAATCTTTTAATAAATATTTCGCAAAATTTAAAAAAAAAAACTTGAGAAACAAAGAAGCAAACGAAAACTAAGTAACGAACATATTACCGGAATACAACGATTAGTAATTAGCAAGATTTCTCCACCAAAATTTTTAAAAAAATTTAATACAAAAATTATTTTTTCTTTCTTTAATTTAGCTTTACTCCAAAGTGTAAATCCGATCTATACACTAAATATTTGAAAAAAGCTTTGATTTTTATTCAAGGACAAGTTTCCCTCTCTTATGCAATAGTTTTTTTTTTAGCAAAACTCGGAACTTTTTAGAAAAACAAAAATTACTTAAATAAAATTTTAAAAAAATCCAAAATTAGAATTTTTGCAATATTTAGAAAAAAAGCTTTGAATTTTTTGCGAATCGAAGGTTAAGGGTGGGTCATAGAAGAGAATTTAATATTTAAACACTAACAACCAGAAATAAATGTATAAAAATAAAAAATCAAATTATTTCTGAAGTAATTTTACAGAAATTATCGAAATAATTTTCAATATTTCGATTAAAAGTATACAACACGTGGTGAAACGTTTTCATGCTCCAATTGGCACTAGAGTAGAAAATGCTTGAAAATGATGCGCCACGTGAAATGTTGAAAAATGAATTTCCTTATAAAAAGGGATAAAAACGATTATTTCATTGAAAAAAAAATGTAAAAATTCTTTAAATTACAAGACAATTGAGATGAGAAAGAATTTTTCAAAAATTACCATAGATATTTTCATTTTCTACTGGGAATGTGTTTTTAAGCACTTTGAATATTTTCTCGATGATGATGATGCAATTCTGTCTCGTTGAATATTTTTCGGGTGTATATGCAGTAATTTCACTCCCGAATTTAAAATCAAGAATTATTAAATTGTACACATTCGATTATCAAGAATAATCTGAGGCCGTTAATAATTACGTTAATTTCTCTCGTTTTAGGGGAGAAAAATTCGTCGACAAACGTCGACTTACATAACAAAAGTCGCACTTTTTGAGAAAAAATTTCCTATTTCTCGATAAACTTTCTCACACAATGTTCACGCGGGGTGCCACTTTCGGTGATTACACTGTTGAGGGGTGAAATATTGATCGAATCCCCCTTTTTGCCTTCCGTGTCTCCACCACCATCAGCACACATTGAACTTTCACATTTATTGCGAATATACAATCAAACGTGTGTTATTTGCCACAAAATGATTTTTACCTCCTAAAAAAATGACACCAGAAGTTACTTTTTTTTTTTACTTTTTTCCTTAAATAGTCAAACTTTTATTCACGTCTGGACCAAAAGGGATGTTTTTTTCTACATCAACTCTTTTTCTGCGCAAACTCTTGCAATCAGGCCCACCACCTGGCCCCAAAATTTACCGGAAGTCCGAGAAGAATAAAAATTGTTGGCACTATTGAAGAACCGGGAAAAAATTAATTACTCCCAAAAAAAATATATTTTGTTTTTTTAATTTTTTTATCCCAAAAGTCAAAAATCGAAAGTCAAAATTAAAAATATCAAATGCAGGGCAAAATTTTTTCAAAAAGAAAAATGCGATCAGAGGAAAAAAAATTCGAGTTTTTGAATTAATGCTGAAGCACTAACAATGATTATTTTTACTCGACGATTTATTCGCAATATGGTAGAAACGAGAATAGAGTTCAAGTGGGATTTTGTCTATGAAAGAGGAATATATATGCTGGTATTTTCCATTAGATCGATCAACAATAACTCTTATACTCGTAAAATGGAGAAAAAAAAATAACGTCGAAAGAATAATGAGTATTAAACAGACATTGCGTAAAGAGTGCTAAACGCAACAACAAAACGATTGCAATTAATGGGCGAGGGCCTAATTGACAATAATCACATCCTTTCAATATTGGAGGTCGAAATCAAAATAAATTCGTAAATCAAGGATTTTTTTTCTTTTTTTTGAAACTTGAAACAAAAAGGCTCGTTCAAATTCCTAAAAAGAAAATTTACTATCAATTTCGCAAATCTTTTGAAAAAGTCAAACAAATTTTTTTTCTCTTATTTTTTACTCCGAAAAGAAACATTTATTTATTTTTTATTCAAAAAAAGACTATTTACTTATTATTTACTCCAAAAAGACTATATTTATAAAATAAATTTATAATTTATTGATTATATAATTTAAATTTATTTAATTTAATTTATTTATAATTTAATTATATAATTTAATATATAATTTATTGATCTTCTTAATTTATATTTATCTAGTTTTTACTCCAAAACCTATTTATTAATTTTTTACTCAAAAAAAAATATTTATTTATTTTTTAGTCAAAAAACAAACCATTTGTTTTTTTTATTCTTTACTTAATAAAATTAAAAATTTTTTGAAAATCGTTTAAAGACGAATCAATTTTTTAAATTAAGGAATTACAGTCCTAGGATAATTTTCAATAAATTTAAACTAAGTTTCATCTCTAAATCAGTTATTCTTAATAATTTTCCGAAAATTCTTCGAGAATTTAATTATTTAAATACAAAAATTCAATTTTTTATAATAATTGTAAGTGTAACTATGTCCACTTTTTTTTAAATTATTAAGATATATAATATTTTCAAAAAATGATAATAAAAAAATTCATAAAGTTAATTTTTTAATAAATATTTTAAAATAATTTTTGATATTTAAAAAATTAAATTTTATATTTTTTAAAAGTTTTTAAATTTTATACAATTGAAAAATTACCAAACAATTGAAATTTGGTAAAATACTTTAAAAATAATTAACTTTTTGAATAATATAAAAAAAAAAAATCAAATTTTTGCAGACTTTAAATAATAAATATGAACATGATTTTCTCCGAAATTTTAATAAGTCTAAAAAAGTAAATTATAAACATTTTATTTTACTCTGTTCGAAAATAATTGAATCTAAGAAATTATGATAAAACAATTCTAAGAATTAGTTTTTTAAAAATATTGTAATGTAATTCTTTAGAAATAAATGAATTTCTTAAAAGAATTTTTGTATAATTTATAAAGAAACTAATTAATTTTTTGGAGAATTTTAATTAAAAATGTTTTCATCAAAATGTTAAAAATAGCTGTAAAAAATTTTAATGTTATTATTTTTTGTATGTATGTGAATGTTTGAAAACATATTGTGGAAAATATTAATAAATTTTTTGAAATAATTGAATTTTAAAAAATTAGACTGAAAAATTTTAAGAAATTACTTTTTTTTTAAATTTACATTTGAAGATTTTTCATTAAAATTTTTGAGAATAAGTTGCATTTTATACTAAAAATGTGAAATTTTGTTACAATATTTAAATGAAAAGTCGAAATAGACTCAATTTTTGAAAATAAGTCGAATAAAGTCGCATTTTTTTGAAAATAGTCGAAAAAATCATAATATCCGAGGCTTGCAATTATTTTAACAACAAAATTGTTCTTTTGTGAAAATAAACTATTAAAAAATAGTTTCAATTCTAAATTTTTAAAAGTTTAACATATTTAATAATTATTATTATTTTTATTAATAATAATAGTATTAATAATAATAATTTAATTAATAATATTTGAATATGACTCTAATTATATGCTTTTTGCAACTTGCCTTAATTGATGACCGTGTCCTTGAAGAGCAATACTAGAAATGCTCATGGTTCTCTCCTCCTCACTGCACCATTTCTTTTCGATTTCTTTCTTTCTTTTTTTTTTGTGCAAACAGCCACGTGTTGTTGAAAAACTTGTCAGTTATCGAAACAGGTACCGGAATCGCAAGCGCAATCATTATTAAGGTCATTCAAGGACTCTTATTTTTTTCTTTTTTTCTCCATTTGCTATCTATTATATAAAATTTTCTTCGATTCTGCTAATGAAAACTAATTTTATTTCTATAAATAAAGACAAAGTGTATTAAGAAATTCTCGATAAACACCAACAATTATTCATCATTTTTTTTAAATTTAATTAAAAAGAAAATATACTCAGTTTATAGGGTCTCTTTTTATATCTTTTATTGTTAATATAAAATTAATCCATTAAGTTTTCCATTCAGTATTTTAATTCTATTACTGTGTGTATATAACAAAAAAATTAATTTCGTTTTAAAAATTTGCAGAAGTTTCGAATTACGAATAAGAAGTTCACTAATTAATAAAAATTCAATAATATTCAAATAAAGATAAAATCAAATTATAAATTTCTAATAATTTCAAAAGAAAAAGTAATTATTTCAGTATTCTAATAAAAGAGAATATTGATTTCTATATCATGAAAGTATTCAACTTTTATTTAACTTTAACAGAAGATTTTTTTTATTTGTACACGAAGAATTGGCGTAAATGCCGAATAATTAAATATTAAAATGTAATATTTTATTAATTTTTTATACTATAATTGATACTTCTCTTCTATTCTTTATCCCATAATTCTTTCTCCAACATCTCAGCTTCAACTTCTTTTATATATGGTTTAAGATATCTAATATCCTGTAATAAAATATAATATAAATTGTAGGCACTTAAAAACAAGTTTTTTCTCAAAATTTATAAATATTTCGTCACTTAACAAATAACAATTATCAAGTTTAATAAAAGAAAGATTTTAAAATGAGAAATAAATGTACCTCTTCGAATTTTGTCCATTGTTCTTTTGGTAAAATTGATTTTGTACAATTTACCTGCATAGCACGACAAATACGGAAATTACGTTCATCTTTAATGTCCTGGGGTAATCGGCGCAATGCCTCGACAACTGCTGGATTAAATTGATTGTACAAATCGTCGTGCAACAAACCTGAAAAAATTAATAATAATAATGTAAATGTTCCTAAGTAATCTGAATTTTAATATTTAGGAAAATAACTGAATTCTCGCCAAGAATTTTATTAAAATTTTTTTAAATCATAATTAAATTCTTTTCAAGAATTTCATAATTGAAATTTATGGAAATATTTAAATATATTTGAATTCAGAAGAGGAATTCAATTAAAATTGTTTTGAAAATAATTTAATTTCTGCAAAGGATTTTACTAAAATAAAAATAATTGAATTATTGCGAAGAATTTTACTATTTAAAAAATAATTGAATTGTTATGAAAAATTTTATAGAAATATTTGAAAATAATCAAATTTTTTAGAAAAATTCAATTAAAGTTGTTTCGAAAGCAATGGAATTTCTTTAAAGAATTTTATTAAAATTAAGAATATTCAAAATAATTAAATTCATCACAAGAAATTTAATTATTTTTTCGAAAATAATTGCATTTTTTCAATTTTTTTGACGAATATATTTAAAAATTGCATAGAAAGTAATTTAATTTTTATATAGAATTTTTTAAAAATATTTTGAGAATAATTGAATTATTTTTAGAGAATTTAAAATTGCTGTTGAAATTGAATTTTATGGAAATTTTTGAAAATAATTAAATTCTTTCGTGCAAATTTTATTTAAATTTGATTAAAAATAATTTAATTCCTGCAAAGAATTTTAGTATTTATAAAAATAGTTGAATTGTTTCGAAGAATTTATTAAAATTTTAGGAAATAATTGAAATTTATGGAAATATTTAAAAATGTTTGAATTCATCCGAGGAATTCAATTAAAATTGTTTTGAAAATAATTGAATTCCTGCAAAGAATTTTACTATTTATAAAATTAATTTAATTCTTGCGAAAAATTTTACTGTTTATAAAAATAATTAAATTTTTTCGAAGGATTTATTAAAATTTTAGAAAAAGATTAAATTTTTAGAAAAAGATTGAATTTTTAGAAAAATGTTAAATTTAAAAAAAAAATTGAATTCTTTCGAGGTATTTAATTAAAATTGATTTGAAAATCATTCAATTTTTGTAAAGATTTTACTATTTATAAAAATAATTGAATTACTCCGAACAATTTACTTAGTCTTCTTGAATATACTTAAATTTTAGAAAATAATTGAATTCTTTCGTGAAATTTTATTGAAAATATGAACAGTAATAATTAATTTTCTACTTAATAAGAGAATTATTTAAATTTTGATTATGAAATTATTTAAAAAATTTATATTTGAAAATAAAAAATTTTGTAATTTGCATAACAATAATAAATTGAAAAATAAATTAAATAAGAACCGATTGATAGTTATTTACTTAATTCGAAACAAGATCTGAAGTTTGATGTATATTTTCAGAAATAAATAACTTTTTACAACATTAAATAGATAAAAACATTGAATGTATGAAAATAATAAAAATTTAACAATCTAATGGAAAAGAGAGGTTATGTTTACTTTAAAAACATCTATAGTATATACGACAACCACAATATGATTATAATATTTATATATTTTTTTATATAAAAATAATGATTACCTAATTGGTTATACCGAGTCAGATTGAACGCCCATTTTTTAAAACCCGAACCTAAAATAAAACAAAATTACAATGTCAATTAAATTACGTAAGGGCACTCGAATTCCAAAAAAGAGTTGAATGTCACTGACAATTACTGTCTAGAGCATTCTTTATTTAATTTTTAGTAATATAATTACCAAACAACAAAGATGATGACTTGCTCATGATTCACTAAATTTATTTTCCTATTAAAACTAATTATTTTTATTCAAAAAAGACAAATAATTCAATGTCAATTTCTTCCTGATTTTACTACTAAAAAATTCCACGAATTTGTCTAAAGGTACACTCACAACTCAGTTGGTTGCCTGAAAGAGTAACCATGGTAACGTACGAGAGTGAGCGAGAGAGAAAATTTAAATTCAAACAGAGCGCCAAAAGGGAACTCAATGAACTAAATATTTTGTTTCCCATCACTGGATTAACTGCGATTGTTTGTCGTATTAACTCAACGTTACTAAATGTTAAAAGTAAGTTAACCTTCTCGATAGTGTTAAACTTTATGGATTAACTATTTAGAAGTTTTCTGATGTAATAAAATACAATCTGGTTGGAATTTTTAATATTTTGCTTTAAATATATTTATAAGAATCATCTAAAATATTTTAAAAAGAGAATTCAATAAATTTGCCCTAAAAATGTCTGAGGAAGAATCGGTAAGTTTCGTAATACCACTTAAATATTGAATCATTTCACCGCATGCATTCAGAAAGCATGGCATGTCATTCTGCTTGTAATATTGAAACTAATTATACTCCAAGGTATATTAAGTAAATAATTATAGTTAGTGCTGATTTTATTTATATTTACAGCAATGAAAAAGTCTTCAAATATTTTGTTTTATTATAAATAAATATTTCTATACTAAAGAAATCATTTTTTTTTTTTTTTTGAAGAGTGATCTTCATAAATATCTTACATTCCTTTTCACCATTAAGTGGGTGACATTTATTGAACCTTTCGACTCTGTTTCATTTCTCTTATTTGCTATTTTTAATTTTTTGGATTATAGATTTTGAAATGTTAATACATTTTTAAGATGGAAATTGATTTATTTTTAAAATTTTAGAGGAAAAAATGTTATTTGAAAAAATGAATATTTTTCTTAAATTTAATGGAAATTTTTTTCTTTTAAAGATGTTTGATCCAACTTTGAAGAAAAAGAAGAAGAAGAAGAAGACTCCTTTTGACATTGACGCAGCTCTTGCGGAAGGTGGTGATTTAGGTGATACTAATGAGGGAACAGGTGATAAAGAGAATCAAGAACCCGAGGCCATGAATGCCGATGACGATGAAGTCCTAGATCTAGAATCATTTGGAAAAAAGAAGAAAAAGAAAAAGAAGAAATTCAATCTTGATGAATTGGATGCAGCTCTGCCAGATTTAAAAAAAGAGGTTTGTAGTTAAAATTTTTTGGTTATTTACTCAAGGTTGGCATAGGTCAGGGAAAAGTCAGGAAAAGTAGAATTGGTCAGGAAAATCAGGGAAAAGTCAGGGATTTTTATTAAAACTACTGAAAATGATTAAATTTTTAGAATTTATAAGAAAATTCTGAATTTTTGTGCCTTTTCTGTTTGCCTCATAAACTGAAATTACCACGAATTCTAATACAAAACCTTCAATTTTTTCTATTTTTGACAATAATTTCTTTTTAAATAACTTAATTCTTGAAAAAATTAATGAATTTAAATTAATTTCAATTTTAAATGAATTTAATTAGAAATTTTAAAGAGATTTTCAAAAAATTTTAATAATTCAAATTTTTTTAAAATTAGTTACATTTTTTAATATATATATTTAATTAATTATTAAAAATTATGGATTTATAGAGGAATTTTAGTTAAATACACTACAAAAATTGAACTTTAGAAAAGTTTTAAATGATTGCAGAAATTTAATTATTTTCAAAAGTAATAAAATTCTTATCACAAAATTCAATTATGTTCAAAAATTTTAATAAAATTCTTGTCAAAATTTCAATTATTTTCAAAAATATTCCTCAATTCAATGATTTTAAATATCTACTATTTTAATAAAATTTTCCAAAAAAATTCAATTATTTAAAAAAATTTTTAATAAAATTCTAGGCAAACATTTAATTATTTACACAAATAATAACAATTGTATAGGATTTCAATTATTTACAAATTTTTTAATAAATTTCTTAGCAATAATTTAAATTTAAATGAATTTTATAAGAGTTGCGTTTAAAATTTTTATAAATACATGAACTTCAAAAGTTTTCAATTTTAAATTTTATAAAATTTCAATTTTTAATGAATTTATACAAAATAATGGATTATTTTTATATAATTTTATAAAAACACTTAAAAAAATTGAATTTTGGAGAAGTTGCAAATAATTGCAGAAATTCAATTATTTTAAAAAGTAATCAAATTATTCCCAAAAATTCAATTATGTTCCAATTTTTTTTAAATTCTCGTTAAAATGTCAATTATCTTTATAAATAATAAAATTCTTGGCGAAATTTCAATTATTTTAAAAAATTTTCCTCAATTCGATGCTTTTCAATATTTACTATTTTAATAAAATTTTCCAAAAGAATTCAATTATTTAAACAAAATTTTGATGAAATTCTACGCAAACATTTAATTATTTTCATAAATAATAAAAATTTCCCAGGAATTCAATTATTTACAAATGTTTTTATAAATTTCTTGGCAATAAATTCTACTATTTCCATAAATAATAAAATTCGTCGCAGAAATTCCATTACGTTCAAAATTTAAGAAAATTCTAGTCATAATTTCCAATTATTTTTATAAATAATAAAATTCTTCTCCGAAATTCAATTATTAGCAAAGATTTGAATAAAATTCTTAACAAACTTTCAATTAGTTTCAAAAATTTTTAATAAGATTTATGGCAAAATTTCAATTATTTACAAATTTGTTGTAAATTTCTTTGCAATAATTCCATTATTTTCATAAATAATAAAAATTTTTAAAGGGAATTATTTATTTTTATAAATAATAAAATTATTTTTAAGAATTTAATGATTTTTATAAATAATGCAAAATTGCAAAATTTAAATTATTTTTAATCCAATTTTAATCGAATTCCTCAAAAAGTGGAATTATTCTTAAAAATTTTATTAAAATCGTCAAAAGAATTATTCAATTATTTAAAAATTCGTTGATAAAATTCTTTAAAGAAACATTTAATTATTCAATAAATTATTTATATTTCTATTTAAATAATTGAATTCTCGTAGAATTTTCTAATAAAAATTGATTTAAAAATGAATTTTAGTTAAAATTTCAGATAATTGAATAAAAGCATTATAACATGGATTTTTGGAAATAATTGAATTTTAAATAAGTTTCATATCAAAATTTTTGAAAATCTGAATTTTTCATACTTTTGACTAATAATTCTGTAGAATTAATTTTTTTTGAAAAAGTTTAACTGAAGTTTTTTTTTAAATTATTTGAAGTTTTTATTTTATAATATTTATTTAATTGAAGAATTTCCAAAGAATCGAAATTTCACGTAAAATTGAATTGTAAACAAATAAATTTAAAAATTCTCAAAGAAGAATTTTTTCAGAAAATTATTAAAAATAATTGATTTAAAGAAGAATTTTAGTTAAAAATTCTAGAAAATAATAATTGAACTGAAATGATGAAAATAATTTTGAATGAGTTACAGTAACAATATTCGTATAATATAAAATAATCATTTTATCACTCGGTCATCTTTAATTATTATTATTATAAAACATGAAGATATTGATTGCTCTGAGTCAAAGACTCGGAGTGATCGATACCTTCATGTTTTATAATAATATTCTTATAAGTTATTGAATTTCAAAAAGATTTGAATTTAAAATTTTTGAAATTCTTAATTCTTATGGAAAAATAATAAAAATGTATTTATTTAAAAAAGAAGTTATTAATATTTTCGATTAATTTTACGATTAAAGAAATTCGTAAATAAATATAATAGAACATTTTTTTGAGTATCTAATAATTTTTAGAGTCTTTCAGAATATTCTTTAGGAAATATTATTCAGGGAAATAGTCAAAATTTTGTCTGAAAATCAATTTTGTATTAATTTCAAATTATTCTTTACAGGATGCATCGGAACCACAAATGGAGGATCCCTCAGTGGATGATAATTTAGATTTGGATATGGACTTTTCAAAAACGAAGAAGAAGAAAAAGAGAAAGAAGGATCTCGAGGAATTGATTAATGAAGAGGAGAAAAAGGAAGCAGATGACACTGAAAATGGTAAATATTAAATAAATTTGCATTTACTTTCGTGGATCACGAAATAATTGGATTCGCTTTTAGAAAGAGAGAGAGAGGATCAAATTTTCTCTATTTTAAAAAGAATTATAATAATTAGATTCGTCTCAATTTCGTGATTCACTTTTTCTTCACTAATCACTTCATTATTTTCGATTATTTACCTTTAATGTTATTTGTTAACATGCTGCACTGAATCTGAGCGAAGTGCAGAATACGGTAAGATAAATGTAGCCCCGCATCAATTTGTCCTATTATTCCCATATTATTATCTACCTAACAATATTTGCTCACAATTTAAAAATTAAGTTCAAACTCATTTTTTTGTAATTGTTAAAAATTATTTTAATTTTACTGAATGAAATTTAAATATTTAAAATGAAGTATTACTTTTAAAGTTGATTTTCAAAAATTCTGAACGAAAGTAATTTTATAAATTAATTAGGAAAATAGAAATCAAAGACGTAAATATTGCGGAATTTTATAAATTCTTTTTTAATACGCAACTATTTTTTTGTTTTTAATAAAATTGGAAATTTGAAAAAGAAATAAATTCTGTTCATTTGAACTTTAGGGACGCAAAGTTGTCTTGTTAGGAAACTAAAAAAAGAATTGTTTCACAGTCGAAGAAAGCAATCTTTGGTTTGGATCGGATAGAGATTACACATACGATGAACTTCTTTTGCGAGTATTCAACATTATGAGAGAAAAGAATCCTGACATGGTAGCCGGAAAGAAACAGAAGTTCGTTATGAGACCACCACAAGTCGTTCGTATTGGAACGAAAAAGACGTCGTTTGCAAACTTTACGGAGGTTTGTTACTTTAATTTCCACTTTTTTTTTTGAAAGGTCAGGGAAATAATCGACTAAACCGACTTTTTTTCTATTTTTAAAATTAATTTATTGAAAATCATGGAATTGTTGCAAAATATTTTATTTAAAAAATTTGATAATAATATAATTCCTTCGAAGAATTTTATTATTTAGAAAAATAATTGAATTCTCGAGAAGAAATATGTGACAATTTTTGATAATTCTAATTAAACTCTTTTTGAAAAATTTTTTTTTTAAAATAATGGAGTTTCTTTAAAAATTTTAATTAAAAATCTTAAAAATAATTGAATTTTATATTTTTATATATATATATATTTTCGAAGAATTTATTAAAATTTTAGAAAATAATTGAATCCTTTGAAATTTTTTTATAACGAATTAAGAAAAAAAATTGAATTCTTTTGTAAAATTGTTTTGAATATGGTTGAATTTCTGCAAAGAATTTTGCTATTTATAAATATAATTGAATTGTTTCGTGAAATTTTTTTGAAAATAATTGAATTTTTGCAAAGATTTTTATATTGAATAAAGAAAAAATTGAATTCTTTAGTGAAATTTTTTTGAAAATAATTGAATTTTTGCAAAGATTTTTATATTGAATAAAGAAAAAATTGAATTCTTTAGTGAAATTTTTTTGAAAATAATTGAATTTTTGCAAAAAATTTTACTATTTATAAAAATAATTTAATATTACTTACGAAGAATGCTATTATTTATGTAAATAATTGAATTCTTGAGAAGAATTGTATTAAAATTTTGTGAAATTATTAAACAAGAATAATTAATTAGTAAATTAGTTAATTATTGAATTTTTTTCAAGTTTGAGTCTGAAATTATTCAAAAATTCATATTTGAAAATAAAAAGTTTTCTAATTTGCATAATAATTTATTATTAATTATTAATTCTCAACGTTACGATTTTAGATTTGCAAAACTCTACACAGACAGCCGAAACATTTATTAGATTTTTTGCTGGCCGAATTGGGAACAAGTGGCTCTGTGGACGGCAATAGTCAGCTTATTATAAAAGGTCGTTTCCAACAGAAACAAATAGAAAATGTTCTGAGGAGATACATTAAGGAATATGTCACATGCCACACATGTCGTTCTCCCGATACTATTCTACAAAAAGATACTAGACTCTTCTTTCTTCAGTGCGAAACTTGTGGATCTCGATGCTCAGTTGCCAGCATTAAATCCGGTTTTCAGGTAATTTCCCATTTTCAATCATTAATAAAATTAATAAAATTAATAAAATATTTCCAAAGCTTTTCCCAAATTTTCTAGAAATAAAAAATATTTTTCCCCCATTATAATAATTATTTTTCCTTTTCAGGCCGTCACTGGAAAAAGAGCTGCTATTCGTGCAAAAACTGCCTAAGCATTTTTCTACATTATTCTGTAATACAGAAATTTTTACGGGCATCGAAATTGTTCATAAATTATTATACTTACTGTACATCTTAATTGAGTATAATATAACAATATTTGGATGAAATAGAATTTTAAACAAAAAAAAAAAAATAAATAAATAAATCTACTTTCTACTTATTCTAAATTGCAAAAAGAAATAAAAAATTGTGCTCAATATTTGTTTTGAAAAATAATTACATCATTCTTGAAATGATAATAACAATATAATGAAAAAGATGGGTGATGGAAAAAAGCCAGAATTTTTACAGGATAAAATCAATAAAAACACATTCACATTCTGAATAGCCAAAAACTTTTTATTTGTATTTTATACTTAAGTCATCTGAATAATATACTCGTAATACTCTTTACATGCGATAAAGCAGCATGTGTTGCATATTATGTACAAAGCTTATTTTTTTTACTTATTTTTTATAGTTTTTGTTTTTTTTTTTTTATTGTTTTTATTATTAGACTTTTGGCAGAAAAGTATAATTCTTTCACATGTAGTAGTTAGTACTACAGCTCCGTCTCAATCCTGAGAGTAAAATTTTTTCGAACCTTTATTTAAGGATAATCGAAAAGGTCGTTATGGGAACGATGATGGCGAAAATGATGGAACCTCGGTGTTTTCAGTTAAAGCACTCCTTTTTCGAAGAGTCGAAGATCTAGATCCTGAAAATAATTTTGATTAAAAAGGAAAAAGAACGTCGCATTAGTTGAAAATTATGGAAAATTTAGTTATTTTTCTAATTTTTAATTGAATTAAAATTATTGTATTTAGTTGAACTATCAATTAGTAATTACTACTAATAAGTTACTGTTATTGCTATTTATTTCCAAAAAGAATTTTTGAACTTTTTTTTTTACTATTTTCTGAAAAGGCGATTTTTTTTGACTTATTTTCAAAAAATGCGAATTTTCCTACTTTTCTTCAAAACATTGCACCACAAATTACAAATTTGTCAAAAAATGCAAATTACTTACTTCGATTTTTATAGTAAAAAATAACTATAGTCAAATACTTCAAAATTAATTTTTGATTAATTTTTCTCTGAGATAATTAAATTTCTTCGAAATATAATTGAAAAGTTTTTAAATAATTGAAATTTTTTAATATTTTATTTAAAATTTTAATATTTTATTTAAAATAATTGATTTTCTTCTTAATTTTTAATTTTTTTTATTTCATAAAAATTTTAAAAAATCAAACTTTAGAAAATTTTAATTGCAAATTTTTAAAATAATTGAATTCTCTTCAATTTTAATGAAAAATTAAAATGAAAATTAGTTTTAAAAAAGTGTAATTAAGCAATTATCTTTTAAAAGTAAATTCTTAGTTTTTCCATTGTCGAAAAATTCTTTCAATTATTTTTGGAAAGATAATTTTTTAGAATTATTTACAAAAAAGTAAATTAAAATTTAAGAAAAACGTGTTTTATTAGATTTATTATGAAAACTTTGGAAAAATAATTTATTTTTATATTTTATAATTAAAATTCTTCAAAAACCTGATTATTTTTTATACTTTTCCGAAAATTCTTTTAATAAATTCAATAATTATTTTCAAAAAATTTTACTAAATTTAAATTATTTTTAGAAATTTTTCAATGAGATAATTAAAAAATCTATAATTATTCAGAAATTATTTAAAAATATTTTTTAAAAAACTAATTTAAGAATTTATGTATAGTAATTTTTTAAAATTTAATTATTTTCAATAATTCACCTTAATTACTTTATAGAAAAATCATGAGACTATTATTTAAAAAAAATTAACTCTTGTACTTAAATAATTGAATTCTTCAATTCAAAAAAATTAAAAAAAAATGATTTAGAAAAAAAAATTGAATTTAATTATTATTAAATAAATTGAAAATAAATAACAAGTATTTAAATTGAATTAATTGAATTCAATTTAATAATTAAAAGAAAATTCTTGAAAATAATTAAATTTTGGAAGGATTGCAGTTTCAATTTTTAGAAATAATTATTAAGAATGTTTGAAATAGAAAAATAAATAAATGGAAAAAATAAATAACAAGTATATAAATATTTTGAACAAAATTATTTAATCTTTGAATAATTGAATTTGGAAATCAGTGAAAGATCAGGGAAATACAAAATGAAATTTTTGTGACAATACTGCGAATAAAATGAACAAATCGTTTCTTCGACTCTTTTTTTTTTTTTTTGATTCTTTAATCGACTAAAGCGACTTTGTTTTTGCGCGAGTCGATCCGAAGCCTGAATATAGTATATTAATTAAAAAATACAATAATTAATACAAAATATACTTTGTCATATAAAATTAAGAAACAAAAATACGTTTGCGTAGCTTCTTAGTAACTAAATATTTTTCCGTATAAATATTCTTTTTTTAAATAATTAAAAAGTGTTCTTACTATGTGTTGTAGGTTTATATGACTTTTTCCATTGAGCATGTGTATTTGAAAGATGTGCATCGTCCGTGTTTCCGTTTTTATATTCATTTTCAGTCTTTTTTCCAACATTAGGAGAATTTTCACGGCTGCTTTCAGAATCCTGTAGGGGATTTTTTATTTTGTTTTTTAAAGAAAGAAAAATATATCAAAAAGTTTCGAGATTTTTCTTAATATTAAAAAAATAAAGAAGGGAAAATTATTTTTGTTTTTGTGGTGAAATTCCATTGTTACCGTATCACTAGCAGGTGCCGAGAGGGTCGATGCATCTGAGCCAGTTGAACTCGAGAGAGAATCCATTTCATTTACTGTCAATGGGAATGTTTCTTTGATCCATTTACGATAGTCTATCACCTCGTCAGTTACTCTAATTATCCGTCCCAAAATACTATAAACGGAAAAAAACATTATTTACAATTAAAAATTTATTAAATTACAATCGTAAATCTTACATTTTTCATTGTTTTAGTTTTTAATTAAAACCATTTTAATTAAAAATTAAAAAAAGATTCAGTAAATAAAAAATATTTATAAGGAAATTATTTAACAAAGAAATATACTATCTTAATGACCAGGTATTGACGTTTAAATTTTGTAATCGCAAATTTACAATAAATTTTCAACAATAATAAAGGACTATTAAATTCTTCTTAAAGAATATAATTGATTTTAAATAAATAAAAATATTATTTATGGAAAATATTATTTGATTATTTAATTGTTGCGGGAGAATATTTTTCTTCATCTTCTTGTCCGTTAATTTGATTTGTCTATTATCGTTTTATATGCAGAAATTGAATCAATTGAACTCACCTAACTTTATTTGCGTCATTTACAAGTATGTTGAGAGGACTAACAGCTTGAGAGAGAACAAAGTATGCCCAGTCAAAAGCATCTTTCACATACAATGCACCATAACTACTTCGACCAATATCATTGCCCGGTGTTAATGGATCCTCTATGCAAAGTAATGAAGGACGATGGCCATCTTTCATTTCTCGTTGAACCTTTAAAATTTAACACTATTTTAATGAACCAGTAAATTTTATCACATTCATTAGAAATTTATTATTGTGAATTTTAATTCTCTATTTTATGATAAAACTAAAAATTCCTAATTGTTAATCTTGTTAAACTTCTTTTTATTTTAAATCTTCGATTAATTTATAATCTTTGAATCTAAATGTTCATATAAATTATATAATATTCAAAATGTAAATTTTCTTTCAATTTCTCATGAAAATTTGTTTTTTACTTTCATTTACTTATCACAAAATTTATTCCCATTTAATTAATAAATTTAAAAAAAAATGATAGTAAACAAGAAAAATTAAATAATTCTAATAAGAATAATTGATTTTTGACCTAGAATTTAATTTAGAATTGTAATTATTTATAAAGAACAATTACGTTTTTCAATAGCAATTTTGTCAAATTTATTATAAATATTAATTGTTATTTATTATAAAAATTATTAATTTTAATTTAATACAAAAAATTTAATTCTCCCGTTAATAAAGAAATAAATATTGAAAATGGAAAGTTTCTTTCAACTTCTCATGAAAAGTTGATCTTTACTTTCATTAATTAAAAAAAAAAAAAATCACTCCAATCTTTTTACTAGGTAAATTTAAAAAAATGATAATAAATAAAAACTATTTATCAATAAATAATTTTAATAACAATAATTGTTTTTAGATTCATAATTCGATTTTGAATAGTAATTATCCATAAACTAAAATTATCGTTTTTCAATAGTAATTAAAATTTTTTAAAACTGATATTAATAATCCATTGTTCTCAAGAATGTTATTAAAATTTTTGAAAATAATTGAATTGTTTCGAAGAATTTATTTCAATTTTTTGAAAATAATGGAGTTTTTTCTACTAATTTTTATTGCAAATTTTAAAAGCAATTAATTTTTTGCAAAGAATTTTTTTCAAGTTTTTAAAATAATCGTGTTTATTAATAATTTTATTTAATTATTTTATTATTAAATTTTGTTAAAACTATTTATAGAGATTAAAATTTTTTTAGACAATTTTATAAGAATTTTCGTAAGTAATTGATTTTTTTTTAAAGATTTTCTATAAATTTCTTGAAAATAATAATGCAGTTTTTTTAAAAATAATTTTAATTGAAAATTTTTAGAATAATTGAAATAATTTTACAATTTATTAAAATATTAAATTTTTTTTAAATAGTTAAATCCTTTCGTGAAATTTGATTAAAATTGTTTTGAATATAATTAAATTTCTACGAAGAATTTTACTATTTATAAAAATAATTGAATTTTATTATTTATGATAATAATTGAATTCTCACGAAAAATATTATTAAAATTCTTGAAAAAAACAATAATAATTAATTATGTACTTAAAAAGTTCATTTAAAAAATTTTAATTGTTTATTACTTAATTTAATAATTTAATTACTAAATTATTTTTCACTTTTTTTCTTAAATATTCACCTCTTCTTTAGATATGTAAGTACCACCGCTTTTAATTCGGATTCCAGTCTTTACATAATTAAATTTTCTGCCGTACAATTCCAAAAATTCAATTAATAATACTCCTAAATTCGCATTTGAACTATGTGCGTTTTGTCTTGGATGCAACTGAAAATAATTTATTATAATAATTTCACATCACTTTTTTTGTAATTGAAGAAAATAATATGTAAAAATTACTTTTTAAATAAAAACAATTTTCACTAAAAATAAAAAATTAAATCATAGTAGAAAATTTTGTTTAATAGGATTAATTAAAAACTAATTAGAAGAAGAAAAAATCAGAATTACGACGACTCCATAGAAAAAAAGACATAAAGGTCGAATCAGGTCAATTACAGTATACCTACAGCTACAGGTGTCCATTGTTATTCAAATGTAATTTAAATACCTGCTTTGGCGGGACAGTCTCATTTTAAGCCAGGTATTTTCTCAAGCAGGTAACTCAATTTTAACAAAGAGAATTAAAGGGATTTTTCGAATAATTAAATTACGTGCCAACTATTTTAATTATTAAATTCTAAATTTAACTAATAACTAAATGTAAAATTAAATATTTAATTAACTAAAATGTAAAACTAAACATTTAACTAAATTTCAAACTAAATTGAAAACTAAAATTTAAAAATTAACGAAAAGAAAAACTTCTCACATTTTTTGTATTTAAAAAATCTAGGTAAAAAATAACATAAAAATAAATCTAAAATTGTTTAATTTGTAACGTGCCTACCTCCATAGAAGCCAATGGTACAGGAATGTAAAGGAAAATTCAATTGACTCGAATTGAAAAAATAATTAAAATAAAAGTTATCTTACCTGCAAAAAACTTATAGTCATAAGAATTAAACTATAAGATGAAATACCGCCAGTAAAAACTTCATTAAGGTCACGTTGCAGTAAAAACTGTTTGAGTACCATGACTAATTTATCCAAAACTGGAAATTGTCGTTTAAATGACTTGATCAATTCTGCCGATTTAACCCCACTATTCATATTAAAACTGATGTCAACTTTGATTTCAGTTTCTTTATCGGTAAGTTTAACAATAGGAACGCTAGCCTTATCTAATACTTTAATAGACGAGGGTTCAGCAATATTTTGATCTAATAAAGCACGTTCTAATGTTCGAAGTGGTAAATTAGACCAGTTTCCAATTACGACCAGATCGATATCACTAAAAGAAAAGAAAAAAATTCGATCTCGTTCAATGATAATATAAATAAATTGTTGTCAGCTTTTCATAAAAAAAGGAAAAAAAAATTAATACAAAAAGAAATCCCAAGTTAATTATATTATTAAATTAATTAGTTAACTAATTAATAATTTTGTTATATTCAATTCTTTCATATTCTCAATTAATTTTAGTTTGTAATTATTTGTAATTAGCATAAATTCTGTCCAATAATAGAAAGCAATGTAAATTTTACCTCGTTGGCAAATATAATCCAGTCCTAAAACTTCCAAATACTTCTACTTTGGAATCGGGCCACAATTCATTAATAATTTGTTCTATTCTTTTAACTACACGCAGTCGTAAATTATGCTCTTCTGTTGACGGACACATATAAGCGAAGAAATCTTCAATTTCTTCATGTAGTCTGTTTGGAAAAAAAAATTATTTCGTTTTTAATATAGAATAAAACTGATTTTAATCTATTTCAATTAATCGCAATATTAATTTCAAATTGTTTCAAATAATTTCAAATAGTTGCAGACAATTTCAAATAGTTGCAAATAATTTTAAATTATATAAATTAAATAATTTACAATTATTTAAATTATTAAATTTCTTATTTAAATGATTAAATTTCAGATTTAAATGATTAAATTTTAGATTTTAATGATTAAATCTTAGATTTTAATGTATTTCAAATAATTTAAAATAGTTTCAAATAGTTTCAAATAACTTCAAATTACATAAATTAAATAATTTACAATTATTTAAATAATTAAATTTCTTATTTAAATGATTAAATTTCAGATTTTAATGTATTTCAAATTAATAATTTCAAATAGTTTCAAATAACTTCAAATTACATAAATTAAATAATTTACAATTATTTAAATAATTAAATTTCTTATTTAAATGATTAAATTTCAGATTTAAATCACTAAATAATTTCCAATTAAATGTAAATTATTACAGTAGAGAATTTTTTTATTTCCCAAAATGATGATCATTTCGTAATTAAAAAGTGTAAAATTAAAAATTAAAAAAATCCATTAAATTTTGATTATTAAAAAGATTAATTTTCATAAAATTTGTCTTGTGGTAATTAAAGGAGAATTTTCAATTTCATTCATAAATTTGTTTCGATTTATATTATTGTTTACTTCCTTTGCTGGAAGGTCAAACGAGACATAAGGATTTTTAAGATTTATTGCTCATTAAAGAAACTAAAACTTTGTATATTAATTAGAAGAAAACATTTTTCCTTATTTTAGTTATCACTTCCGAAATATTATCATTCTATTTCTAAATCTATAAAAGAGATTTCTCATGTTTAAACATTCGATTACATTATATTAGGAAATTAAAATATTCAAAAACAAAGTATTTTCAATAACATATTTGCAAATACAAGAGAATAATTAATTATATCGATGACTAATAGTTGTAATTACGGTATATAATTTCTCTATAGGGTCTAAATAGTTAATCAATGGTAATTAAGGTATTTTTCTTTAAAGAAAAAAAGAGAGAAAATTAGTATTTATTTTTGCTTTTTTTTTAAAGGATCGGTAATCAAAATCGTATGCCAAAAAGGAAGAACACGTGAATGACATAACCTATATGCCACATTTTTTTTTTAAATTATAAAAGTAATATTGGCGAAATATCAATAAGCAATAAAATTAATTGACAATAATTAACTCACCCTATAACACCTTTGGAATAATGTTTGTTTGGAATTCGCCAGGGACATCCACCATATGCACCAACTAAAGCATTATAATTATAGTTCATTCCGTAAGTACTAGCACGATTATCGTTTTTCCTTCTAGAAGGATTGTAATAGTTATTACAACTATTGTGGGGGAGACGATTAATTCTATCTTCACTAAGTCGATTGTAGTTGTCGGTCAATGAATTGTCCTGCTGAATTTTATTGCCCATTGCACACGAAATGTCGAGCTTAGATGTTAATATATCTAAGCCCTTTTCAGCTTCCCAAATATGTAACCACAAATCTTTTGCAGGACCGAATTGTTCTGGTTGATGCCAACCAATCGTGGGATCCATATGAAAAATACTAGTTTTTAGTTTAATTTATATATGTAAACTGTCATAAATGTTCCTTTTTTTTCGTATAGTCAAAATTAAGAAAATAACTTTTTCAAATCTTCTTGATATTAGAGTTTAAGGAAGTGTACATACTCGCTTTTTAAAACATTGAAATATAATACTGGAGCCCAGACAAGCTCCTCTTTAACATTTACCACAGAGTTTTTGCACAAAAAGATAGTAAAGAGGTTATGACTTTTTAAAAAATTCCTACGTCAAGTACGTTCGTTACATTCATTAAAGTTTAATCCACATTGTTTATTCTACTGAATTTTTCGAAAGGAATTTACTTTACCTGTCAAAAATTCGATAAATCGAATAACTGTTCTCTGATTGGTTGATTGGAGTTACTCGCAACCTCCTTCTCAACCCTGCCTCTGGACTATTTTCCACACTTGCCCATCCTTGAAGAAACCATTGAAAAATTCACCTTCCCATCCTTGTTCTCTAGGCAATTTAAATGCCCCGACTTCCCCAAAACCGTTAAACAAAGTTTCGAATAAAACGCTTCGTTTTGTAATTATTTTTAAAAAAGTAGTATATCAATGATTGTCGCTTATTTACACAAATCAGGAATTTACAGTTATTGTTGACTCGAAATTTTCTTTTAATTCAAGCATTGCCTCGGTGAGGTTTCCGATATAAAACCTTAGCACTTGCAGGTATGTTACTTTTGCTCATTTTGCTTATTAAATATTTACAAAAAAAGGGTTATATTTCACAAAAAAGTATCTGTCAGAATTATCCTCGTGAGTGATACTTCACATTTGTTGACAAAATTTTGTATTATTCCTTAAAAAAATTAATTTTCCAGTTAACCAGAATGTTGAAAGGAAAAGAAAATTCCGCTCAGGTAACAACACATTTCGGTATTCTGGATAACGCTACAAAACCATTGAAATCAAGGAATGCCATGAATATACAGGAAAACGATAAGAGTTCAGTGACTTGTAATAAAGAATTGAAAATGGACAATGATAATTTAGTGAAAAATCCAATTAAAAGTAATCTTAATGATAATAAATCGAGTGTAAAATCGCCGGATTTAATGCCACCACCGAAAATGCCACCTACATCGAAATCGAGTGATTTAAGTGAACAGAAAAATAAAATTCTAGAAAAAGGATGTATTGATAAAATGAAAGAGGGTACGAAAAAATGGGTGTTGACTGATTTCGACATTGGCAGACCATTGGGTAAAGGAAAATTCGGAAATGTTTATTTAGCTAGACATAAAGATACTTCATTTATTATTGCAATGAAGGTACTTTTTAAGGATCAAATAATAAAAGCTGGCGTTGAACATCAAGTGCGTCGGGAAATTGAAATTCAAACACATCTTAGGTAAGTGTTGAATAATTTTTACTCTTTTCATTATTTTCTATTTTTTTGGTATTAATTTGTATTTTTCGTGTTATTTTCTATATTTTTCTGTATTTTGTTTGTATTAATTTGTATTTTTCGTATTATTTTCTATATTCTTCTGTATTTTTTTTGTATTAATTTATATTTTTCGTATTATTTCTATATTTTTTGTATTAATTTGTATTTTTCGTATTATTTTCTATATTTTTTGTATTAATTTGTATTTTACGTATTATTTTCTAAATTCTTTGTATTAATTTGTATTTTTCGTATTGTTTTCTATATTCTTCTGTATTTTTTTTGTATTAATTTATATTTTTCGTATTATTTCTATATTTTTTGTATTCATTTGTATTTTTCGTATTATTTTCTATATTTTTTGTATTAATTTCTATTTTACGTATTATTTTCTATATTTTTTGTATTAATTTGTATTTTTCGTAATATTTTCTAAATTTTTTGTATTAATTTGCAATTTTCGTATTATTTTCTATATTTTTTTTTGTATTAGTTTGTATTTTTTGTATAATTTTCTATATTTTGCTATAGTTTTATTTTCTGTATTTTTTAAAAATGTCTTTTATTTTCAGACATCGTAATATTCTTCGCATGTATGGCTATTTTCATGACGACAAACGAATATATATAATTTTAGAATATGCGCCTAAAGGAGAATTGTATAAAGAATTAAATGCTCAAGAGAATAAGAGATTCGATGAAGTTAGGTAAGTTAATATCGTTAATATTACTAAGAAAATAATTAATTTTTTTCGTTGCACAAATTAATTTATTTTACTAAAGAATAATAAGAATAAAAAATCAATTATCCTAAAGAAAAATAGATATTCTATTACTAGTATTTACTATTTTTTTAAAAATAATTTTCTAATATTTGGATATTTTTTTTAATTTTGTACCAATAAAAACTACTTTTTTATTTTTTTTAAACATTTTCATTACTTTCTATCCGCTAAACAGTTGAAATAAAAAAATAAATATTTATTTTCTTCAAAATAATCATAAATTCAAGAATCATTTATTTATAAAATTTTTTCATTCATATATAGAAAAATTTTATTACTAAATTACTTTATTAAACCAAATTATTAATCTAATCTAATCAATAACTGATTCAAATTTCCCTGTATTATCCAAATTTTAAACTCTTATTTATTTATTTATTTATTTATTTGAAATTACAAAGTCCAAAATTTAATAATTAAGAAAAATAATGTTAACTTAGTGAAATTAAAATTTTAATATCTAACATTCTTTAGGACCGTTTTTAAAAAATAATTCCCTCTTTTTATCAATTAGAATAAAAAATAAAATAATTTGATTTCTGCAAAATATCTACCATTTTTAGCACATTTTTTGAAAAATAATTCCCCCTTTTTATCAGTTTAGAATAAAAAATAAATTAATGTGATTTCTGCAAAATTATTTTTGAGTTAGAGTTTTGTTTACATTTTTATGAATTTTAACAATAAAAGGGTTCTCACAGGACGGGAAAATAAGAGAAGGAAATTTTATTTAAAATAGTAGAAAAATATCACAAATAATTGAAAATCTTAAATTGTCTTTGAATTTTCTTTCTCACTTTAAAAATTTTAAAAACATTAGAAACAGTTACATTTGAAATTTTTAGAAATAATAAATTATTTTATCAATTATTTATTTTCGTATTAAAATAATTGAATTCTTGTAGAACTTTCTGATAAGAATTAATTTAAAAAAGAATTTTAGTTTTAAGTATTGAAAATTATTGAATATTAGAAAAGTTATAAATAGGAATTTCTAGAAATAATTAAATTTCAAAAAGATTTTAAAATTGAAATCTTTGAAGATTTTAATTTCAGTAAAAGTACAATAATATTTCAATATTTATTTTAGAAATTATTAACTTAATATTTTTTTTTAAATTATTAAGTTTTGAAAACTTTATTATTGAAATAATTTCTAAAATAATAATTTCTAACTAAAAATTTCAAAAATAATTGAGTTTTACAAAAATTTAAAATGTTTTAAATGTTGATAAAAAAACTACAATTACCAATTAAAATTACAATACGTTAACTAATTTACAAGTTAATTTGTTTTATCTTGGTTTTTAAATTGAATTTTATATTCAAATAATTGAACTCTTTTAGAATTTTTTAAAAGTAATTGATTTAGAGAAGAATTTTAGAAAAAATTTTAGTAAATAATTAAATATTAGAATCGTTTAAGTTAAAATTGTTGGAAATAATTAAATTTCAAAATGTTTTTACATTTAAATCTTTCAAAATTTCAATTGCTGTAGAAGTTTAATAATATTTAAATATTAAGTATTTATTTGAGTAAATTCTTAATCTACTCTTTTTCTAAAAAGAAATTAAATTTTTGAATAATTTTATTTAAAATTTCTGAAAAAATAATTGAATTTCGTATTTTAATTCCTGTTGAAAAATAAATAAACAATAAGTATTTAAATATTTATTTAACGAAAGTAATTGAACTTTTGAATAATTTAATTTTGAAATTTTGAAAATAATTAGATTTTCGAAAAATTGTAATTAAAATTTTTTGACGATATTTGATTTCTAGAAAATAATTTTAAAAACCTGAAACAATTGGAAATTTGGTCAGATTTAATTGAAATAAAGATTTTACATTTTATTAGATTTAATTTTTTTTTTACTTTTGAAAACTATTTTTAAAAATAATCGTATTTTTGAAAAATTGTAACTGAAAATTTTGAAAATAATTGAAAATAATTGAATAATAATTGAATAATTTTACAAAAATTAAAAATTAATGTTATTATCGGAATAAGGAAAAAAGTTAACATTCTTTCTGGAAATCGGGAAAATACGTAATAAAATTTTTGTCATGACCTTAAAAAAATAAAATAAGTTACTTTTTTGTACATCATATCGACTAAATCGAGTTTTAGTTTTTTAATTAATTTAAGTAAAGTACCTAGTTATGAAAGCAGTTTTCGATTTGATCAAAGTAAATTATTTAATTTAATTACTCTTTTTTAATATTCTTTTTAGATGGAAAATTTTTCGATAGCTACATTTTTTCCTACTTCTTTTCACTACCTCTTCGCTTTTTTAATGCAACTTTTCGCTAGTTTTTCTTAATTAATTAACGAATGCGAAGCCTGAAAATATTTTCCCTTTCAGGACAGCTACCTACATAACTCAATTGGCCGACGCTTTGAGATATTGTCATAAAAGAAAAGTAATACATCGTGATATAAAACCGGAAAATCTCTTACTCGGTCTTCATGGTGAATTGAAGATTGCCGATTTTGGTTGGTCCGTTCACGCTCCATCATCACGACGGACGACATTGTGCGGAACTCTAGATTATTTACCGCCTGAAATGGTTAAAGGACATACGCATAATCATACCGTGGATTTGTGGTGCATTGGAGTTTTGTGCTACGAATGCTTAGTTGGAGAACCTCCTTTCTTAGCGAAAACATACGATGACACTTATTTAAAAATCACAAAAGCCCGTTACAAGTGTCCCGCATTTGTTAGCGAAGGTGCACAAGATTTAATGGCGAAGGTAATTTTTCTTTTATTTCTATTTAGAGTATTTTTTTCTCAAAGAATTAATAAAATTAAATGTTCAAATCTTATTTTATATTAAATTTTCAAAAACTTTCGTATCTGAAACTTAAAACTGTGAAATTATTTTTTTAGTTATTGGTAGTTGATCCTGAACGACGACTGAGTTTAGACGGAATTCTTAATCATCCCTGGATTGTTAAAAATCGTACAATTGAACCGACACAAACATGAAAAGTAATGAAATACCGTGGGTTAAATGAATAATTGAATGTAATTTATCAATCTAATGTTTTATTTTATTATATGACATTTAATTTAATTTTTAAAAACATTTTTCAGATATTTTCTCTTTATTACGAATAAAATTTTTATTCAAGAATTGTTTTAATAAATTTTTTTTTTTTAATTTGATATTCAGTAATTTTATTATATTTGTTTTATTTTTCATCAAATTTCTATCTCCAGTAATGTAATTAAACTTGTTTAAAATAGTAAATAAATTATATATAATCACATTACAAATAAAAAAATATTGCTTTCTCTACATTTTGTTGTTTTTCTTGAAAAAAAACTTCTCCAATGTCTATAATAATTTTAATAATTAAATTTTAATATTAAGATAATTTCAAAAATGTTAAGTTAAACAATTTTTTAAATATTAAAGTAGAACAATATTTTTAAATATATAAATTTTTTAATTAATGTATTTAATATTCTAATATCAATCTATCTATCTTTCTATATTAATAATCTTTGTATTCCGGTAATCTGTTCGCAATTTGAAGTTAATTTGTTTCCTAATTTTTCAAATAATTTTTCTTTTTAAATTAAAAAAATTTTTAAATTTTATGTACCTATTGAAAATCATTAAATTCTTGCAAAGAATTTTGTCAAAAAATTTGATAATAATTGAATTTCTTTAAAGAATTTTATTATTTATGAAAATAATTGAATTCTTGCGAAAATTTTTTTTTAAATTTTCGAAAATTCTAATTAAATTCTTTTTGAAGAAATTCTTTGAATTTTTTTTAAATAATGGAGTTTCTTTAATGATTTTAATTAAAAATTTTGAAAATAATTAAATTTTATGAACAATTTCTTTCAAGTTTTTAAAATAATCGTGTTTGTTAATAATTGAAATTGAACATTAAATTACTGAATTTTATTAAAATTTTAGAAAAAAATTGAATTCTTTCGTGAAATTTTTTTGAATATAATTGAATTTTTGCAAAGATTTTACTATTTAAAAAAATAATTGTAATGTTTAGTAGGATTTATTAAAATTTTTAAAAATAATTGTATTCGTTCGTGAAATTTTATTAAAATTTTGTTTAAAAATAATTGAATTTGTGCAAAAAATTTAACTATTTATAAAAATAATTGAATTTTTACAAAGAATGTTATTATTTCTGAAAATAATTGAATTCTTGAGAAGAATTTTATTAAAATTTTTGAAATAAATAAAAAAGAATAATTAATTAGTAAATGAGTTAATAATTAAGTCAATGAAATCAGCAAATTCATAGAATTCTCAGGGATTATTAACAAAAGTATTGGGAAAATATCCACTTTCCAAAATTAAATTTATTTTCAAATAATTAATTTCTAGAATACCTTTTCTAAAGTTATTACCTAATTAAAATAATTAACTTAGAAAATATTTTAGTTAAAAACAGTTGCAATTTTCAGAAATAATTAAATTTCTGATTTTAAACCAAAAATTGTAGAAAATTTCAAATTTGGTGAAAATTATAACTAATATATTATTCAAATTTCAAATAATTAATTTCATTTCTAAAATAGGTAAAGTATAAAGTTTCAAATAAAATTTTTACTTCTAAAAATTATCTTCTTTTTCCTTTGAATTTTTTTTCTCCGGGTAAAAGTCAGAGATATTTTTTTTATGAAAATTAAAAAAATGATCAGTTAGGGTTTAAATTGAAATGAAACAGTAAGAAATTACGACTGAAATAAAATTTTTATTTGTAAAGAATGCCATATGGCTATGCAGCTTCACTGTGATAGATGATAATTGTGTTTTATTTATTAGTTTTTTTTTTGACATTCTTGTTTACCAAAAAATGGACAGATACCTTCAGTCGCAATGTTTCCTTCTCTCGCATATTCTCATATTATTCATTTATCAATAGGTCAATAATTAAGTCTTTAAACGTCATTTCGTGAAATGATTCATTTTTCTTTTCATATATAATTTGTACGATAAGCAAACGTTGCGCCCGAGGCAAGATTATCGTTATGCTCACAAATATTACATGTAATATAATTGATTAGCGATAATATTAGTATTGTTCTAATTGGACAGAAATGGTTTTTTTTATTATTATTATTTTTTTTGCACAATATGGACAAATTTGAGTTTGAAATCTCAATTTTTTATTAAAATTTGTTGTTGTGTTTTTTTCAACTTATCGTCGGTGTTAGTACGTTGTTATCTCTCTCTTTTTTTATGGAATCAAAAAATATTGTGATTTTTCTCTTTTCCTTTCCATTGAAACTTTTTGCTCTTTTTAAGATATTCAAAAAGACTAGGACATTGGTTTTGGTCAGCCAAATTAGAATAAAAATAAAGAAAAAAAAAATTAATGAGCAAGTCGCATTGAGATAATTATTATAATGTATATATATATATATATATATATATGTATATCAAATAGATAAACAGTTCGTACGCAGACAAGTGTATTAGAGAATGAATGTAGTAATTACATTGAATATTTTGAGAATATGCTATCAAAATGAAAGGAAAATTATTTATCAGCGCGATTAATGCAATAAAGCAAGCTCGTTTTTTTTTTAAATTTATCATCTAGTGCCCTAAGCTTATGAGTCTAATATTGCAGCCCTGCAGCCTTTTTGTTGTTTTTTTTAAATAACGCACACGATATATCGAAAAAACAGTAAACTGATTTTTTTTAAATTAAAATTGTATTCAACTAATTAATTAACAACGCCCCGACCAGCGTAAATCGTATTTATAAATTAACGTCCTATAGTCTTGTAAATTAACATAAGTAAAAGTGACAGAAAATGTATGGTACAATAAGATTAGAACTTAAAAAGATTGTGATAAAAAAATACAATATATGAAACAACTGTATACATATAAAATCTTCAAATAAACTACATAACGCAGTAGTTGACTTTTCTATTTGAAAAAAAAAAATTCAAAAAAAAACAATCAAATAATTTTACACTTTTCCAAATTCGAAATTACCATCTCGGTAATTTATGGAAAGTGTCGAATAATTATTTAAATATCACGCCAAGTTTTTTTAAATTAATCAAAGAGTCACTGAGTTAAAAACAAAATGCAATACTTTCTTCTTTCTTTGTTTTTTCATTGTGTTTTCTTTTCCCTTCTTTCAATAGGTAATTGCCAGAGCAATTTTTTTTTCTGTTATTAATAGTATTATTTAATTATAACTATTATATTGATGTCGCTATTTTTTTTTTCTCTCGAGAGCGCAAAAAATTCTTTTGATTATTTCTTAAAAATGTACAATTAAATCACAAATACGAATCTATTCATTTACTTACAATCTTGGGAACATGAAAATAAAAATTACTTTCTGCGGTTCCAATTAATTAAAAAATAAAATTAAAAAAAAAAACAATACGGTGGAATGCTTATAAATCAGTTAATAAAATTTCACGTTTCTACGCCCACGACACATAATTATGATTATTATTATTATTATTAATATTATTATTATTATGCATTCATACTATTCTAGAAAAAAAGAAAGTAATAATAAATGTAGCGCCTACATGTTTTTTTTCTGTTTTGAAGAAACAAAAAGAAAATAAAAAAAAGAATTGTTAAACATGTCTTTTTGTTTGTGATATACGCATTAGTTACTAATATCATTCAATATTTATAATTATTGACAATCAATAGCTGCCCTAAATTCTAAGGGACTGAAAACACTTTGCTACATATATCATTTATAGACATGTAGCCTTTTTTTTGTTAAGATATCGTTTTTAGTGATTCGAAACGAAGATGTAATTTAAGCGATGTTGTTATAATTTACTTGTTTCGGGGTGATGAACGTGTCAGAGTTGTCCAGAGGCCTTCTCCCCGACTTCGACTTCGACGCAAAGAATGTAATCCCTCGCCTGTCATTTAAAAAATTTGTGCAAATTAATAAATTTTCAGATAATAAAAATTATAATAGAATATTTGTTTTACTAGCAAATATTTTGGCTGTTTTCCATTTATCATTATTTTGCAAATTACAAAATTTTATATTATCAAAATTATAAGCATTAATATTTAAATAATTTCAAATTAAAATTTTAAATAATTTACTTCTTAAGTATATAATTAATTATTCTTGTCCATTATTTACAAAAATTATTCGAAAGAATTGAATTATTTTCAAAACAATTTTAATAACATTTCACGAAAGGATTCAATTATTTTTAAAAAAAATAGTAAAATTGTTCTCAGGAATTCAATTATTTTCAAAACAATTTTAATAAACTTTCACGAAAGGCTTCAATTATTTTTTAAAAACATTTAATAAAATTTTTCGAAATAATTCAATTATTTTTAAAAATTTTAATGAATTCATCGAAACAATTAAATTATTTTTATAAATCGTAAAATTATTCATAAGAATTAAATTATTTTTATAAATAATGAAATTTTTCACAGGAATTCAATTATTTACTATACAATTTTAATAAAAATTTTCGAACAGGTTCAATTATTTTCAAAAATTGTAATAAAATTTTTCTAAAAAATTAAATTATTCACAAAAGTTTTGATAAAATTCTTTGTAAATTTCAATTACTTTCAAAAGTTTCAATTAAAATTATTAAACAAACTACATTATTTTCAAGAAATTTAAAAGAAATGTTGCACAGAAAAATAATTATTTACGAAAACAGTAATAAAATTTTTTAAAAGAATTTAATTTTCTATCCATAATTTTAATAAAATTTAGTAACAAAATTATTTATTAGGATTAATAAACATGATTATTTTAAAAACTTAAAACAAATCCTTTATAAAATTAAATACTTACAAAATTTTCAATAAAAATTATTTAAAAAATTATTATCATTGTTATTTTTAAAAAATTTGAATAAATTCTTCAAAGTAATTCAATTATTTTCAAAAAATTTAATAACTTTCTTTGAAATAATTCCATTAATTTTTGATTAATAAAAAATTCTTTACTAGAATTCAATTATTTTGAAACATTTTGATAAAATCCTTTAAAGGAATTTAATTATTTTAAAAATTTTTTAATAAATACTTCATAAGTTTTCAATGATTTCCAATTTATTAATTTTAGAATTTAATTCATTTAAAGAGAAAAATTTGGAAACAAAGAATCGAACAAAATC